TCTTGCCGCCAAGCTTGACCAGACCGCCGATTTCGAGTGCGGTGTTAAGTGGGCCATTGCCCGCTCCCCCGGTGCTCTCGGCCTGACCAACGTTGCATCCGCCAACGGCGAGAAGGTCAACATCGACGCTGGCCCCCCGATGGAGTTCCCCGCTCCTTTCGGACGTGAACTGACCAAGGAGGAGGCTTACATTGCCGACCTTGACGCCAAGACTGGTGCCTCCCTCAAACTTACTGTCCTCAACCCCAACGGACGTATCTGGACTCTCGTTGCCGGTGGTGGTGCCTCCGTCGTCTACGCTGATGCCATTGCCTCTGCTGGTTTCGCCGATGAGCTTGCCAACTACGGTGAATACTCTGGTGCCCCCACCGAGTCCCAGACCTACCACTACGCCCGCACCGTCCTGGATCTTATGCTCCGCGCACCCGTGAGCGAGCAGGGCAAGGTCCTGTTCATTGGTGGTGGTATTGCCAACTTCACCAACGTCGCCAGCACATTCAAGGGTGTCATCAGGGCGCTCCGTGACTACGCTAAGCAGCTCAACGAGCACAACGCCCAGATCTGGGTCCGTCGTGCTGGCCCCAACTACCAGGAGGGTCTTAAGAACATGAAGGCGGCGACTCAGGAGCTTGGTCTCAACGCCAAGATCTTCGGTCCCGAGATGCACGTTTCCGGTATCGTGCCTCTGGCTCTTGTCCCCGGCAAGTGGGAGGAGAGCGGTGTTCAGGAGTTCCAGGGTTAAGGTGGTGAATTATAAATGTGGCGGTGGGAATGATGCTAGTCAAGTATCAAGGGTTAGACGAAAGGAAGTTTGCCTGGTGCTTGAGACGGCATCTTGCCCACTTTCTTGTACGCTTGCAAGTTTACGGTGTTTATGACGGCTGGTGCACAATACCTTTGACGGGAAGTCGAGGGTCGGGTCCTTGTATCGTATGTATGGAGGGCATGGTCGACGATCAGATGAGCAAATAATTAGACGCTCGATAATGTGATGTTGACTGCGGTTACCAATAATGGTTCGGTTTTATGTGCCTGGTGCCATTGTTAGTGAATGTTTCAATACTCAGCATTTCAAGCCTGGTGAAATGATGCATTCTGTTCGTGAATGTTGCCATTGCACATGACCACAAGCTCAACGAAAGCCCTCGCCAGAGGATGGTGGGCTATTCGCTGTATATAGTACATCCATAAGGTCGAGCAGTATTCAAAGACAGCAACACAAGACAGGTCAATGCGGATGCCCGGAGTAGTAGTAGAACGCCATGCTCTTTCTTGGAATAGTCAATATTCCAGTAGGAACACCTTGTTCGGGCATGACCATGTAGATGGTGGCACGACATATCTTAACGGGCCGGTAGTCCAATATCTTTTGATGCCGCATGAACTTGTCGAAGATGAACAGGACCGCGCCCAAGATGTTTTGGCAATGACAAAAACAAAAATCGGCATCATAGAAGTTGATCACATGTGCTGAGTTAGTCACGACAGTAGAATAAGCTGTTTTTCTTGGCCTGCTCGAACAGTTCTTGATCAGGAGAGTATATTCCAGGTATTCATTTCACAAATTCGTATAATGGCGCCGAAAGCAATACAGAGTTTCTTCGATGGTACGAGTCTATGACCACAGGGCGAAAGAGGATAGATAGATAGTGTCGGGACGACGAAAGTGTCTCCTGAGCTTGATGGGAGACGGTTTCAGAAACAACCATTGCCAAGCTGAAGCCTTTCCTATGAGGGTGGCACATGGCGATAGCTACAAGGCTTTGTGGTGTCTTGCTGCTTTCAACCCATTCTACGAAACGAAAACAGAGGTCGGTTACAGCAAGTCGGCTTTATCAGGGTAGAAATCCGCAGAAGATCGCGGCTACCACATGACTTCCTCCTCGCAAGATGGAGGACATGGATTGCGGCCCATGAAGGGACTCGGGGGGTTCTTACTGGAAGTCTCTGGAGCTCTGATCCCTTCGATGTAGCTCTTGGCGGGACGAACATGCCGAAGTAGCTCAGCCGCGGTCATCTGTGACGACGACATGACGCAGGTCTTCTAGTCGTTCTGCACGGAAAAAGAAAGATAAACATGCGGCAGGCAAGCATATGACAGGCCTCGTTGGCGAATGGCTTGCTGAATAGCCTAGCCTTGGCCCACGGCAGTATATTGGATAGCACCTCAATTTTCGTGGTGGACTAGGACAGCGCTCGACCATAGCTGCTCCTCCCATCAAGAGGCAGACTGCGCGGCAAACATGGCAAATGGTTTGCCAAGATTGAACCAATTATGTGTCGACGATCGTTCGAGTAGAAAAGTACATGGTGATTACATTTCACAGCATAGAGGCAGTGTTCGGGATACGGCAAAGAAGGTGGCACAGATGGCTTATTATATCTCATCTATCGGAGCTAGCCCCGGGATGTGCATCTTGAGGTGACGTGGCCGTCTGGGGAGATGTGTTTGTATGTTTCTCGACCCGGCCAGGTGGATGGAACGGAAGACGGATGTGACGGCGAGTGTGATTTTGGAATAGGCGCCTTCGGAGCCGACACGGGTCGGAAGTGGCATGCCAGTCCAGGGCCCATTGAAATGACCCTCAAAATGGGGCCCGCCTATCTCACTCTCTTGTGTAATTTGTTAAGGGCCAAAAGTGGGATACAAAGTCCATCACAATCATGAGGGAGCCTGATGCCCACCCAACTCAGAGGTCATTAGGGCAAAAAAAAAAATTAACAAAGTAGAGAAGATCCCTGGTCGAATACGATGCTGGCGCTCATCTGAATGGAGCCAGTCATAATCGTTCAGCACAGGTGATGAGGGAGGGATTGGGCACTTTGCGGGGATTTTCTGTTTTACGGCTCCTCGGCACACACGAGGTTTTCCGCGGTCCTTTCCAATGGTGGTAAGGCTTGAGCGATAGGGTGCCACTCGTACCTGACAGCAGAACGAACTGGGAAGGGGTGGGAGGCAGACTGCATGAAGTGTGCCCTGGATTTGGGTTTTTGTTCGTTGCGGCTCGGTCTAGCGACCGGCGTGGCTGATCGAGCTTGTGAATATGGCTATGCCGCATTTCAACACCATTGAGGCTTCGCAATTTCCACTAACACAGCCTAAAAGTCAAAAGGGGGGTTCACGTGGTTTCAAGTGCTCTGGACAAAGAAACTCAGCAACCTGCAACAAACAATGGAAGAGAGTTGTGAAGACAGCGGGTTGTCTGAGAGTCGGATGGAATGACAAAGAGGGGCATGCAGGCCGACCCTGGTGACAGGGGGCACCTATGACACCATTTGAAGGAAGAAATATCGGATTCTCTTTGGGCTGGTTGGTTTTGTGACTGCTATTGTGTCGTTCGCCTGTGTCGTCAATCACTCGGAGCTGTCTTGTCCCCTCCCCCGGTCTTGCTTAGCCTGCGCATTGTCCTAAAAAGTTTGCTCATAGTGTCTCATAGTGTTTCGAAGGAGAACGGGGAAGGCTCTTCTCTGCAAGTTGGTCTGAAGTCGGAGAAAATCAATAGTTCAGAACCTAGCTGCGATCAGGGACCATGGGCGGATAAATAAACGGACAGATGTTGGGAGGGTGCACATCGTCCGTTCCCAGGTGAAGACACAGAAGGCTACATAGTAGAACAAACGGGGATGCATACTAGACCTGCAGATAAACGAGGGCTTCAATAGAGAAAGAACTGCGAGAGAGATTAGTTGAGACAGGGGCAGTGTAATTAGGTATGTAGCCAAGCTTTCACAACATGCAGGACAGAACAAGAGGGTGAGCAACTAGTCAGCACCCATCACCCATTGCATTACCCAGCGGGCAGCCCGGACCAGCGCGTTGCCCGAGCCATCCCATCCATCCGTTCTAGGTTGTTGGCTCCTCTGCTCGGCCAAAAGCCCCTGTGACGCTGCACGCGAAAAAGAAGCAATAGAGAAGCGAGAGTGGCGGGATATATCCGTACCACAAGAAAAGAGAGGGGAAGAGGCCCCTCCACTCTGATACGGGCCCCAGCCCTGTCGCTGTTGAAGACGGCCTTGCCTCAGAAGTTGAGATCCCGGGAGGCAGTGTCTGTGTTGTTGGCAGAGTATGTGACGGTTCTGACTGTTTGTGTCTGGCGTGTGAAGGGGCAATTAACTGACGAAACGACGTCCGGTAAAAGAGGCAAAGAGGGACCTAAGGCAATAGTGACACGCTACGGGAGTGACGGCGAGGCTAAGACGAAGGTATAGATCTAATGCAAGGGAAAGTCGGCAAGTATCCGTATAAAAAGGGGGGCGATAATAGGTGGTGGTGGTGGAGGGAAGGGAAACTGCAGGTGGCCCAGCGGCAGCCAATAGCCGGGTATGCAAGAGAAGTTGAGACGACTGACCTGACGGGCGAAAAGCTGCGGCAAACGAGGTAAAAGTCGCCGCCGTGTCCACGGACCCATATGTGAAAAGATAGGTTGGATGGCCGTGAAAGTCGGACGTATCCAGTCTGTGAGGGAAGGTAGGCTGGAGATGATGTGTGACGCTAGGCCAAGATGAGACAAATTCGCTGAGCATCGTATCCAGCTGGCGGGAGCCATCAGTTGCCTTTCCCATTTTTAATTTACATGTCACGATTCGACCTATTCTTGTTGGTGCCTCTTCCCTTCTTCTCTCTTTTATTCCTCGCCTCGTCCATCCTCTTTTTTATTATTTATTTTTATCGTTACGAAATCCTTCCCCAACGTCAAACCACGCAGTGTGAGTGAAGAGCACCGAACATCCCGGCTCTCGCTGCCCATTCTTCGTTTCTTGTCACTCACTCATTTCACCCACCAATCTCGCGGAAGGTCTGTTTACTCTTTTGTCCTTCCACTGTCTCATTTCTCTGTCTGTGCCTCCTCTTGGATTCCTCCATACCTACCCTCATATTCTCGTCATTCCTTTGGAATTCGCACTAGCGAACGACCTCTACTACAGAGCGTCTAATTACTCGACTTCTTCCCAAGACAACACAAGAACCAGGTTGAAATAATCCTGTGCGTTTTACAAACATGCTTGTAAGTATAGTCCCGGCCTGTTATGTTTGCTATCCCTTCCTGTTGGTTTGGTCTTTCAACCCGGAGAGGCTTGTCATCTGCAGCCACTGGGCGTTGCGACGACATGGGGGCGCGAGACATCTTTACTTGTGTTTTGTGGAGAGCCAACCCCGTCATCCGGAACCTGCAAGCTCACAACGCCTCATTCTTGTCGATCGTCCTCTCCATTTGCTGCCTCAATTTATCTCCCTGCGTCCATATGCAGAACGCCCAACTCTAATCTAACCGTATTGCGTTCTCTTAGGTTCAAGCTACTCTCGTCGCACTGAGTGCGACCTTGGCTGCTGCCGTCAAGCCTCTTACCGTCCAGGGCAACTCTTTCGTTAACCCCAGTGGCGAGAGATTCCAGATTGTTGGTGTTGACTACCAGATTGGTGGCAGCGCTGGTTACGACCCCAAGCACGGCAAGGACCCTCTTAGCGACGGCGATGTGTGCATGCGTGATGCCGCCCTGCTTCAGCGCCTTGGCGCCAACGCCATTCGCGTCTACAACCTGGACCCTAACCTGAACCACGATGCTTGCGCCTCCATTTTCAATGCCGCTGGCATGTACATGATCATCGACGTCAACTCTCCCCTCGTCGGCGAGAGTATCACCAGCTTCGAGCCCTGGACCAGCTACTACGCCGCCTACATGAACCGCACCTTTGCCGTTGTTGAGGCTTTCAAGAGCTACCCCAACACCCTTGCCTTCTTCTCCGGCAACGAGGTCATGAACAACGTCGAGACCGCCAAGGATGTCCCCCCTTACCTGCGCGCCATCACTCGTGACTTGAAGAACTACATTTCCAAGCACTCCGACCGTACCATCCCCGTCGGTTACTCCGCCGCCGACGTCCGCTCAATTCTCGTCGACTCCTGGAACTACCTGCAGTGCGCCGAGAACGGTGACGAGAAGGACCCCAGCCGTGTCGACCTCTTCGGCCTCAACTCCTACTCGTGGTGCGGTGATTCTGACTTCAAGAAGTCCACCTACGACCAACTCGTGTCCAGTCTGAAGGACACTTCCGTCCCCGTCTTCTTCTCCGAATTTGGCTGCAACGAGGTTACCCCTCGTGTCTTCACTGAGATCCAGTCCATCTACGGCAGCGACATGAACGGCCTCTTCTCTGGCGGCCTGGTCTACGAGTACAGCCAGGAGGCGAACAACTACGGCCTCGTCAAGGTCAACTCCGATAAGTCTGTTCAGCTCTTGGTCGACTACGAGAACCTGGCCGCCCAGTACAAGAAGGTCGACTTCAAGACCCTCCAGGCCACCAAGGCTCCCACCAACGCCCCTAAGCCCCCCAAGTGCGACTCTTCTCTCATCAAGGAGAAGGGCTTCAACAACAACTTCACCCTGCCCGTTGTTCCTCCCGGTGGCGACGATCTGATCAAGAACGGCATCAAGAACAAGCCTTCTGGCAAGATCATCAGCATCTCCGACTGGAAGGTCAAGTACAAGGTCCTCAGCTCTGACGGCAAGACCGAGCTCACCAACCTTGCCGTCTCCCCTCTTGCCGATAGCGACACCAACACTCCTGGCACCAACACCGCCGGCTCCACCCAGGCCGCCACTGCCTCCGGCGCTGCCGCTACTGCTTCTTCCTCCAGCAACCCCGACAGCAAGAACGCTGGCGTCGCCCTCCGTCCCGCGTTCATGGCCATTGCCGCCCCTCTTCTTGCCCTTCTTTTCTTGTAAAGCTTTTAGGAGTACGCATGATGTTGTGCTTGGATTAATAGTGCAGTAGTACAGCTTGGAGGTTATGACTTGATTTCTTTTCGGCAGCATAGATTCCCCGCAGTTTGTGTATTACTTGAATAAACGCAAAAACGCCATTAAAAAGTTGCAATTATATAGTCCTTACGCCAAAGGAAACTTCCCGCTTGGTGAATGATGGTCTACAAGGATGTAGTCTTGAGATACTAGAGCTTTAATAAGCCAAGATATCTACTTCCTACTTAGTTTTTCTAATAATACATCATTTCACCCTACTACCCAGTCGCCTCCAGATATGTTCCATGCTACGGCCCAGTGTTCAAATTGTAAATGGCCCATTGCCTCAAACCTCGCTACCGCTATTCGAATGAAAGTTACTCAAAAAGTAGCTGTTTCTCGGTTTGTTTTCGTTAGAAGGCAATCTTAGACTACGCAATTGTGCATTGTGTTGGTGCAGTTCCAAAAGCACCAAAATTGGCCAGCCAAAATCACCCTGGCATATCTAATCCTTGTTCACGGTAAATTGCACAAACCGCCGGTTGAGATGTAAGATCGCTGCTTCCAGCTCACCGCTTGCTGACTCAACGTTCCGTGAGATCTTCAGCGGCATCTCGAATTCTGCCGGCATTAAACCAGAGTAGCGCCAGCGCCCAGCGCCAGCCACCCCACCCACCACAACCCAAAGGGGTAGGGTACGTAGCCGTCAGGTACCCAAGGGATGGAATGTGCCACAGCATAATTTGATGGCCTCCCCCTCCACGACCCTCAGTGACTCCTCCGTATGCGGTGACTGACCGCCCGCCCGCCAGCCCCTCCGTCCCCGAATCCGTGGGACCTTTGAAACCTTGCGCCTCCCCTCGATTTCCCTCCTCCGGGTTTCCATATGCTGCTGCTGCCCCGCCTCCGACCGCTTGCCCGCGCCATCTCACGACAACCTCCAGTGACCGTCTCCCTCTTCCAGAGATCTTTTACGCGCACAATGGCTCCCAGTAAGTTTAGCTTTCATCTGTTTCGTCTGGCCTGTAATTTTGTAGATACCTCGTAATCCTGTTTTCCTTGAGAGTTTCCTACCGCCTCTCAAACGTTATGAAATTGCAAAAAGCAAAATACACAGAAAAAGAGAAGAAGATGAAGACGCCAGACACAAAAAGCTGACAAGACGCCCGCCCCCAAAAAAGCCCTCCCCTCCGACCGTCGTCCCCTCGTAATCTCCGGCCCTTCGGGCGTCGGTAAGGGAACTCTGTACAAGCTGCTCTTCGAGCGCCACCCGGACACCTTTGCCCTCTCCGTGAGCCACACCACCCGCGCCCCGCGACCTGGTGAGCAGGATGGCGTCGACTACCACTTCGTGACCCGCGAGGCCTTTGACGATCTCGTCGCCAAGGACGGCTTCGTCGAGCACGCCACCTTCGGCAGCAACGCCTACGGCACCTCCAAGGCCACCATCGAGGAGCAGTCCGCCAAGGGCAAGGTCGTTGTGCTCGACATTGAGATGGAGGTAATACGAACCGCTCCCCCCACCCCCTCTCCCCATCCCCATGGGGATCTTAATTGGAGCATGAGCATGACAGGAGGGACACGCTGACCATGAAAATACAGGGCGTCAAGCAGATCAAGAAGTCGTCGATTTCCGCCCGCTACGTCTTCATCGCGCCGCCTTCTGAGGAGGAGCTCGAGAAGCGCCTCCGCGGTCGCGGCACCGAGAAGGAGGAGAGCATCCAGAAGCGCCTTTCCCAGGCCAAGGTTGAGCTCGACTTCGCCAAGACCCCCGGCGTCCACGACATCACCATCGTTAACGACGACCTTGAGAAGGCCTACAAGGCTCTCGAGGACTTTGTCTACAAGTCCTCCTAAACTGAAAGGGGCAGCAAGGCGGGCATCTAGAGAGCGGAGAGGATAAAATAGGGCTAGAGACGGACACGGGCTGGCGGGGTACATACCGAGGCGTTGGGAACTGAATACCGTATTCAGGATAGAAGAACTTTTTTGCGGGTTTCTTCGACATAGCAAGGCGGTCTTTGTGTATGCATTTCTAGACTTCAAAAGCATTTCTTATAGAGCCTTGACTGGCAGAATTATGTTCCATTTGAAGATACAAAGTGTCACATTATTAGGCGAACGGGATCGAACCAAAGTCATAAGCCATGTCAGGTGTATTCCTTGAGGTATCGAAACGAACTCTCTATTAGAGTACGAATGGATTAAAACGTAAGAAGAAAAAAGTGAAGTCGAGCTGAAGGTGCTGCTTAAAAGCGAAATAAGAAAACAGAAAAAGTGCATCCAGCTGTAAGATGGAAAAGGGGGAATAATGGACTATTTCGCCAGCACAAGTACTTAAACAACGACCACAGGGCCTGAGGGGGTATGACTTATATCCGTGTGCCACGCCGGCATCTTCATTCTTCCCATGCAAACTTCCCCCATGGCTTCCCATGGAAATAGCAGCCGCTCCTTCCCTTGTAATTATTGGTCGAAGCAGCTCTCGCTTGCTGTTGAGGCCGTGCCGTGCCTTCTTTTTGTCTGCGCATAACACCATGAGATTGAAAAGTCATCAGAAAATCCGGCCGCCCAAGAATATCATTGCCGTCTGGCTCCTCGAGTGCGCGGGTGGGGATATCCGTCAACTAGTATCCGTTCATGGTCATTCGTTGAGAGCTCCGGCTAATTTCCCGGTCGGCGGCAGGGCTGATGGGTCTGCTACCACCACCGTGTGCGCTGCTCTCCTTGAGGGCCAGGAGCTGCTTAGCACGGAAGGTCTCGTAATGGATCTGAGATGTGGTCTCAATAAGATCCTGGAGGTGGGTGCGGAGCAGGAAGTTCCTGAGGTAGGTGAACTCGCAGTGGTTCTCATCCTCGACGTTGATGACACCCCAGCGGTTCTGGCGGCCGCGGACCTGCTTGCCGTTGACGATGATGGACTTCTCAGAGCCAACAACAGCGAAGGGGATAAGATCCTACGTGTTTGTTAGTGACTAAAGTATGCGATATCTAATGGACACTACGCACCTTGATCTGGGTGTTCAAGACGCGCTCCTCGTCGTCAAACTCCTCGTTATCGTACGGGTACATCTTGAGGTTGTGGAACGCGAATTCCTCCTTGATACGCTCCTTGAACTCAAGGCGCTCCTCGAGAGTGAGAGTGTCGGACTTGGCAATGACAGGAACAACGTTGACAACATCGGACAGCTTCTTCAGAACGACAATGTCGATAGGCTTGAGGGAGTGGCCTGAGGGCTGGATGAAGAAGAGACAGCAGTGAATGCGGGTATCTTGGATGTAGCGTTCACGCTGGGCAGTGAGCTCCTTTCGCAAGTAAGCGGAGTGTTGGTCCTTGATGTACTTGACGATGGGGTCCCAGCAGCGGTCGTTGTTGACCAGGTCGCCGTAGCCGGGGGTGTCGACGATGTTCAGGCGCAGACGGACGCCATTCTCCTCAATGTTGTGAGACACAGCCTGGATCTCGGTGGTAGAGCGAACGGGCTCGTCGGGCAACAGGCGACCCTTAGAATCGATAAGGTGGGAGGCGAAGATGGTGTTGATCAGGGTGGACTTGCCCAAACCCGTCTGGCCTATAATGCGGAACACCCAAGACCCAGTCAGTCAACTGCCGACGCGATATGGCGGGCACGCCAGCCCTTGGGGCCAGCGCGGGGACAATTCAAGGGGGAGACTCACCGACACAGATGACGTTGAACTGGAAGCCACGCTTCAACAGCTTCTTCTCGATCTGGGACGTGATGCTGTCGAAACCGACGTGGGACTGGGGGTAAATGGTGGAGGCCTGCGCCATGGTGACAGGTTTTCCGCTCGGAACGAGAGTGGTGTGTTAGAGGTAAGGAGTGAAAGTGAGATACGTTTCCTGTATTCCAAGAAAGGTAATCGAGTCTCGATTGGGGCCGAGTCGAGGGTCGGAAAAGCGGTGGGCAGGGAGAGAAGAGAAGATCACGAGGTTGGAGGATGTTTCGAAGGACAAGGAGCCGGTGAAGGGTAATTTCTGTGCTGGCACTTGCTCTGCTGTTCCGTCCCCCCGTGTCTTTCAGTCAGGCACTGGCCGTTGGCTGCAGCTAATAGGTTGTTCCTTCCACCTCCAGCAAACAATAATTTCCCTGCAGGGAGCGTACAGGGGTTGAGGAGGGAAAGGGGGAAAGGGGTCCTCATCGTGTTGATTGGTTGAGACGCGTCTGTGCGCTAGCCAAGCTATGATTGGCTAGCGATCTCAATTGACAGCTCCCCGGCCGCAAGTCATTTTTTTCCGGCTCGGAAGGGAACGATGAAGCTTGAGCCTCGTCGTCAGATTGTGATGTGAGAATTGGTGCGCTGCTGCCGTGACACCAACATCAACGACCAGCCACAGACTGAGACTGACGACCCTTGTTCCCGAACAAGGCGCTCAATTCACTGCTTTTAGAAGTCGCGCGCTTTCGCCTCGACAACAAATACCACTTCCGAATATCCTCTTCGAAACGAGCTCGAGCCGATCCGTCTTCAAAGAAAAATGGCCGCCGTTGCGATGACCGCGCAGCCCCTGCGCATTCTCCCCCAGATCTCCTCGCCAACTATATTCCGATCCACGAGGATATTCTCTCTCTACACGCGCCAGCTCATCCAACCTGTTCTCCCTACGCTATCCTTCGCCCTTCCCGCAGTCCATCTCAACATCCCCGCGTGGCTTGGTGGCATCTGGGAGTCTATCCTGCGGGCAGTGCCCAAGAAGAAGACCTCTCACTCGAAGAAGAGACACAGGCAGATGGCTGGAAAGGCGTTACAGGATGTCAAGTCTCTGTGCAAGTGCCCGGCTTGCGGCCATACCAAGAGGCAGCACGTCATATGTCCAAACTGCATGAACAGTAAGCATCTCCCTTCCGATCCATGTGAGGGGCTGTCGTTGACATTGTGATGCGATAGAAATCAAGGATATGTGGACTCAGGAGAATCCCTCGGGAAAGTTCGTCTAAATCGCCAATTGGCTGTGTAACATTTAAGACGTGTATATTCGAGTGTACAACTGGTTAGCATATTGTGGCGTTTGGGACAATCCATCACCTTCAAAGTGCGGTGCTGCTCTTTTGTGATTAAGCCTTGCGTTTTCACTTCGGCGAAAAAGCGCCGATCGTCGACTATGTACGAGATGTGGCCTTGAATCATTGTTACGGCTGGAGCTCACATGCCTAGCTTGAGGTGAGGAATTAGAATGATAGGGCGGAGTGTGTATGATGTACAGGAAACCCGTCTGGAAGGATTGGAGCAATGGTCTTCTGGTCGGATACCCTATCAAGACTGGTAATACAAGGGTTATATCCTCACGTCTCCATGGACACCGGCATCATATCTCCGCCCATGTCAACAGTGAGCTGTTAACCCTAGAGCCAACAACACCAAGTTTATTACTTTATGCCAGTACAAAAACTAAATTTCTGTGTAAGGCGAAAAGCTTGGCCTTGTTATAAACAATGCTTACTCTCTGCTCCCGCCACAATATCTTGGCATCTCGATTCGATCTCTGACCTGGCCCTGGGGCAGTGTATGGGTCAGTTCCTTCGATAGATAGCTCATACAAGCTTAGTTTTGAATTTGGTAACGTCTGAAGAAATTTCTGAACAACTCGAAATCACAACTTAGCTTCTTTGATAGTATCTTTCGTCAGTCTGTGTGTCGGTTGGGGACAAAGTATGCATGATGAGGTGGTGTAGAACAAATAATACTGTACTTCCACAAAGCAGCCTTAGTTTTCCATGGGAAGGTTTTATTTTACTAAGAATAAATAATGTTGAGAGCATTTTTACAGGGTATTGAACAGCATACAAGGACGTTTGGTCAGTATCACCAAGAGCAATAGACTCATAATAGTAAAAGTACAACGATTGCGTCAAACTTCTCGAACTTCTACATGCAATTCAAGGTGCCCAAGCATGCCGTTTCCCAAATCAAGTGCTGTACACTAACAAACAACCTTGACGATGTTTCCTCTGGGAATCATTCTCTAAGTTGCTTCGCATTTGAGTCATTCTGGTAGATCTCACTCAGTGCGATGTTCAAACCAGCAGGTGATATGAGCAAGGCTGCCATTCAAAGTGACATTCAGGACTTAAAATACCCGGTAGTATCATTTTAGATATTGCGCACATTCTCCTAGCTATACTATATGTCAGAGATGGAGAGGGCAGCTGGTACGCCCTCTGTCGGATTTGTTTTTACCACTTTATCCGGATAATGGAAGCTGCTGTCTTGGCCAGTGCACTTCTCAACTGCCCCTCAACAGAATCACTCTAGGCTGGCTATATGATGCTGCAGACTGGTATGGCCCATCGAGCTTGATTCCTCCTCTACCTGTAGTGTATTGTCGGGAAAGGACTGCACACGAGTGTGGCTTCTTTGACAGAAGCTTCTAATCATCTTTATATATTTTTACCGTTAACAAAATTATCCAATCTTGCGGCTTTTGGGGCATAAAATCTGAGTAGTCCCTTCAGTTAGGAAAATCACATATGAGAGATCTCAGGCCAAACATTATCTTCAATTTACTCATCTTACCCATCGCATTTTTCGTGATTAAGTGCAGTAGCTCCTTGTTCTAGTGACTGTTTTTCAGTGCTGAAATTACATACTGCTAACCAGTGGCTAGAACGGGATCATAAATATACCTAGCCAAAGGTGAAAAGTATATAAGATCGATCATTTCCCCCCTCATACTGTCAACATGAGTAGTGTTGTGCTGGATGAGACCAATTCCAGGAGCTGGGTAACTCTATAATTCCATTTGGTTATAGGGGGAGGATGACCAGAATGCCCTTTCTCTTGCTTCAACTCGTGCTTGAGTTTGACTACTTCTTTGCCAAGTTAGTCTCGATTCTTGGCAACTTACACATTATGAATGTGCTAAGTGTTGGAAAGAGGTGAGGCTGAATGGACTTGATTGGGTCTGGCCAAAAGAGCCACAGCCGAGCGAAAGCATCGGCATTGATTTGAACCTGTCATTACGTAAAATGTCGTATAGAGTCAGGCTTTCAAGATCACTATGTCTGGTGAAGCATGGCGGGTTACGAATATGCAACACTGGTGGCATAAGGGGGCGTTGAAGAAAACTCTCCCAAAGAGAGCAATCATTATCGTGGCAACCCCGTGTATCAGTTCGATTCATGTAAGATCTTATATATTCGCGCATGGTCTCATTGTAACTGACTTACAGGATTACGCTGCCTTTGCTACGACAATGTGGGCAGTTCGCAAGTCACAGTTCCCCAATGATTAAAAGGAATATTTTTATCGAATCGAAAAAGAATGGGGATGTGGTTTTATCTTAAAGAAGCTTGTGAAATTTAACCGCCCTTAAATCTGGATCAATACTATCGCCAGACTATTGCCCAGCCCATCAATGGCCCCGTCAAATGGTGAATTTTACATCGCAAGACTTTCCCAACGCTCAGTCGACTTTGCCCCCGATACGCTGGAGAGACTCCAGCGGCTCTAGAAATAGCTGCGAGACGGTTCAATTACACTTGGGGGTCAGTTGTATGTCAGGGAGTAGGATTGAGTGGGATACGCACTTCCAACTCCAAGAAATGTAAGTTAACAACCGTCGGAGACTTCATTATGGCTTCGTTAACTTCTCTATTAGGTAATTGTATCAAATCAATCAAGCATTTGATCAAACCGTCAAACCAAGTCTGTTGAGACCACCAAACAGTCAAGCGATAAGGTCGGATTTGATCTGTTTGAATTCATTCGAGCACTGCAAATCTGGCATGTTCAGACATAAAAGAGCTCTATAATACACACCGAGATTGTGTCAGGCCTCATTGACTGGACAAGAACCTATTAGCCTGAAATCAGGTCTTCCATCTCCAAGAACACCAGTAGTTAATCCCCATTATGAGCCATGTTCCAAGGTTGCTCAGAAGGAGAACGTCTATATCAAAATGTACCTAAGATTTATGGTTATGATTCTTATCACCAGAGTCAGTAGCCAAAAATATAGCCGGGAACCATTTTACAATCTCGTCGACCCATTGCTTGAAGATGGTAGGCGTATGACCACAAACGATTCTCGGTTGGTGGTAACACTTCCTAGACTGGTCGAGGGCGAGGTTCCTACGCTGGTGTAGTGGCATGATCAGACTAGTACGGAATACGGTTCAACACGTATGATCTTCTGTCACATGGCGGGATAATTAGTTGGATGCTGCATTGTGGGCTTCCACAGCCCCCTTGCCAGTTCCCGCTGATTTCAATTTCTACGACTTTACATCGAAAGCACAGCTTCTATTATCAAATCCTGGCCCACATGAAGGCTGCGATGGATCTTTAGTTACGAGAGCCTTATCTTATTCGAATCTTAAGTTTACGAATGTTTATCGTGATGATCCCGTGCCGTACGACGGCCTCAGGGTCACAGAGGTTGCTCGATTCTTGTGGAAACACAAACTCGATTTGATTGAAACCAAACTTACCCCACTGACCAAAGCGATACGTGGCTTGAATCTTAAATCAGTCAATTTCTCCTGTAAGAAGCTCGAGTTTCTTTTGAGATTGCATTCAATCGTGGCGACTGCTCAAGAGCTTGTCCGCTTAATCCCTCAACCGACGACAGGGAAGAAGTATGCCGCCATATGAACTGAACGACACTGACACGAGAACAAATTCCTTCTCTGTACTTGTATAAGGTGTTTTGGCTGTCCCATATACTTGACTATCTGCTTTGAACGGATCGTAATAATACCAAGCCCCTCAGGTTGATTGCATGTGTCAAAAGCAAACTGCAATTTATCGAGTTGTTGAGGAGTGGCCATGTTATGTCACCACTTAGTGATCCATGAGCTTCCGGTCTTGCACTAGATAACTACAATTATTGGATGGGGTTCAGCGTAAAACGGAAGCAATGAAAAGGTGCCTCTAGTTCGAACATGGGGTGGTTGCGGTGCCCCTCAATTGCCCCTCCTCCCAACTGGCCACTACAGGGGTCTTTCTCGCAAATGGGTGATGTCAGCCCCCACCTATCCGTTCACATCGCGATTGCAACTTTCCACATTCGCAACCGCGCAACTCCTACAGCGGCAAAGCTTCACATGGACTGGCAGCCATGGTAAGTCTGGCATAAGAATTTTGTCAGATTTGAAGTAGCTAATCTCTGACAGTCTAAACAATACTTGACCACACACACCGTGGACAATGGTAAATTGCCTGTCCCTAGGGAGCTTGAAGCTTCCAGCTGTTCCCTTTGCATAGCCTTGCTAACACTTCGACAGCCCACATAACCGACATTTTCGGACTGGCTACGACTTCGAGAGCTGTTCTATCTGCCAGCGGTTCGTCGACACTTCATATTCACAACACCGCCGATCCTGCGATTCCCATTACCCAGTCCATCAGCGGCGCCCATAAGCTCGGGTGTCACCACATTTGCACCTCGCGCGATGGCCGTGTGGCTGCGAGTGCTGGATTCGCTGGGGAGCTGAAAGTTTGGGTGATTGACAAGGACACAAACGAATGGAAGCTGCACTCTGAAGTCAAGGACAAGAACTCCAAAGCTGGAGAGACGTGGGCTATTGCGCTCAGCGAAGATGGCAAGTTCCTGGCGGGTACGACGTACGACGGCCGGGTAAATGTGTGGGATGTCGGTGAAGAAGGAACGCCCAAGATCCGGGAATACGAAACGGGAAGCCCGGGTTCAGGTAGCTTTGGCATGTCTGTAGATTTGAGTCGGGATGGACGGTATACCGCGAGTGGACACCAGAACGGCTCCGTCTACGTCTTCAACAACGACAGTGGCCGACTTGCGTACTCATTACCTGGTATGATTTCCTAAACAGAGCTTCAGAGGATATGCAGCTAACTTGATTTACAGGACTGGCCAAGCCTGTACGCGCCGTTGCGTTTTCACCGGGTAACACAAGATTGGCGGCTGCCGGCGACTCTGCTATAATCGCCATCTACGACCTCAAGCATGGCGAGCAAGTTGGTAACATGACGGGCCACTCCTCATGGATCACATCCATCGACTGGAGCGACACGGGCGAGTATCTCCTCAGCGGAGCAATGGACGGCAAGGTCAAGGTCTGGTCAGTGGAGCGTTACACCTGCGTGGCCACGCACAGCGAGACAGACAAGGCACTGTGGTCCGTCAAGTGGCTCCCCAAGACTGGAAAGAGTGAATCTTTCTGCACGGCTGGCGCCAACAGAAGCATCTCGTTCTACAGGGAGGCTACGGGAGCATAGAGGAGATACAAGATGATGAGACTTTGCGAAGCTAGCATGCATACAAATACCCTGACAAGTTGCACGGTGTCTGCGTAAATCGCAAAAACAAATGATAGACATTCTAATACTAAGGCTGGAAGAATAGTGCAAATACAGTGCCTAGAGACAAACACACTGTTCCGCCACATTGCACGTGCTTTCGTAACAGTCTCGCGTTGCCCCGCCAAAATCAGGCCCCTGCCTCCTTCCTTATTTCGTCATTCACCTCACATCTACCTAGGACCCTGATTGCATTACGAAGACTACAATTGGTGACAGTACCGTTTACATTTTTCAATCAGAGTCACCCTGCATCCGTCACTCCACAAGTTGTAGAGCATCATTCCGATAGAAGCTTTACCAACTGCGCCCATAACCTCCCATTTACCACTTAACCCCCTAGTCATTATTCACATCAACATCCACTATGCCCACAACTCGGAGATCAACAGGCGGTGCCCGAGCCCGACCCGGTCCGGTTCGGGGTCAGTCAACCATCAGCTTCTCTCACAAAGTCTCGAAGCCTGTGCCCAAGGACCTGAAAAAGGCCACCGCCCTTGTTTCCGCCGTTGAGAGGGCTGAGCAGGCTCAGAAGAAAGAGGAGCGGGTCGACGAGATTCAGGTCGACGAGCCCGAGACCAAGGAAGACCAGTTTAGGGAGAAGACCCCCGAGAAATCTGAGGCAGTGCTTCGTGCCGAGAAGATCAGTGATGCGCATATCAAGAAGTACTGGAAGACCATTGAGGATGAGCGCCTTGCACCTCGGGTTCACCAGGAGGGGTTGAGTTTAGCGGAGAAGGTGCTGCGGTACTTCGACGTCAGCTCGCAGTATGGTGTAAGTGGTCCTTGGCATTGTTCGTTATGCAGAAAAAGCTAATCTTCACCTAGCCCTGTATTGGCTTGCAGCGCATGAAGCGTTGGGAGCGGGCCCAGAGGCTTGGCTTAAACCCGCCTGTTGAAGTTCTGGCTGTACTGCTCAAGGAGGAAAAGAAGGGTACTGCCAACATCGAGACAGCTCATATGGATGAGCTCATGAACTCGACGGCTGTCGGCTCTGCTTGACTGCCCGTATGTCTCTCGGCGTGAGTCTGGGATAATTGAGTCTCAGGGCCGAATTGTGCTATTATAATGAAGCAACTGGCGTTTGGAGTTTGACATGACCCGAGAAATGTCTCGATGTATAATACGGGAGACATAGGACTTGCTGTATGTAGTCAAAAAACCATAAGGACAACTGGACAATTGATTGCCGACATTATACCCTTTTATTCAACTCTCTATGTCATGCATGTCATGCGACGACACGAAAGTACCTCAGTACCAAATGCTCCTCGTCCTGTGATGCTGCACAGTCTCTGTGCCCGCAGCCTCCAGCTCCTTCATGGTATCATACAAAAAGAAATCAATCAAAATGGCATTCACACTCGTTCCGGGGTGCGCTTTTTGAATCTCCCGCTTGATCATCTCCACACACCAGATACTGCATGCTGCTCCAAGGTCAGTGTTCACGTCAATGTGCTTGGTTTGCCAGAGGAGAACTCACCTCTCATCTGCAGCTCCCACCTCGATCCACTTTCGAGCACTCTCTTGGAGTTGATGGCGGTCGCCAGCGACGGGCTATAGTACAAGCAGCCCATTGTGTTGAGAATTTGCGGAACACGGTAATCGGCAAACATGGTAATCTTGTCAATGTCTCGGAAGGCGCCGATGCCTTCACCGCCAAAGCAGGCCCATATATCTGCGACGAGAATTTGGGCTCTCTTGAGGAGCCGAACAGGCTTCCGGCGGCCCTCAAAAATGTGCTCATCACGGAAGCAGTCAAAGTCCCGGGCAAGAAGGTTGACGAGCCTGGCCGCAGAACCGTCGGCTGCCTCGACGAGTTTCGTCACGCTGCAGTTGTACTTTTCGTACAGCACGGTACCAGCCTCACGTAGACAAGTGAGACGATCTTCGAGCAGGGGCATCTCTTCCTCTGTCTTGGACCTGAAGACGTGTCTCAGCACCTCCAAGTTGCACTCATCCTCGCTCTGCCAGAAATCAGAGCTGGTGATAGGGATGCCCTCATCGAGTGCTCTCTGCAGCGAGGCGACCATGCTCCAATATCCGGTCCAGGTCTTGCCGCGGTACTCAACGGCATACCTCTCGTCCTCGGACTTCTCCGACCAGAAGCAAAAGTTGAGCAGATCCATGGTGAAAATGAAGGCAGCAGTGCTGTCGTCCTTGGTCTTGGGGTGCAGTTCGTGTTCGGCCCAAGTCGAGGTTGAGTACTGCTTCTGTTCCATCTGAGAGTAGATAGTGGCAGCAGCCCTCTTGGTAGCCCTCATATCAATGGCGACATCAATTGAGTTGTCGTAGACGAACTCGGCGCCTTCAAGCACACCCGTCTCCGGCTCATCACTAACGTTCAGCTTCCCCTGGAAGTGCTGGCGGAGGAGGGCCAAAAGTTCGGGGTCAGCCTCGTCGTCGGACATGACTGCAGTTTTGTTGGTCTTGCCTTGACCGGACGGTGCTGGTGGTTTTCGAAAGAGGCTTAGACCAAGACGTGGTTTTCGGTCTTTCAGAGCCGCACGAACAAGGCCGTGGATGTTGCACCTGTGTGATTCCGGGCGACTTTGCAATCCTTTCACTGAGGGGACGACGCAGGTTTGAACTTTGGACAAGGCAGCAAAGAGACCCATACAGCTGCACTGACCCGTTTGTTTTTAGTTGGATAACCGGTCTATTGCAGGCTACGATCATCCTAGGAAGAATCTTGAATGGGCCTCTTACAATCCCATCATCCAACTCTTCCACCCCCCTCCGTGATGAGACGGGACAAAAGGTATGCTTGAATATGGAAACTACTTAATTGACTTGACTGCCATGTGAAAGGGGGCAGGCAGGCACCCAGCAGGTCTGCCAGGAACCGGTGGAGGCCTGCTGAACCTTCCGTGGGCAGATGCCTGTGTCAGGGCCAGGCATTGGTCTAGCGTTTCAGAGTGGCCGGATGATGCACTAATCCACTGAGGTTACAGCGCCTTTCAGCGAGCTCTCAGTGAAGGCGTAAAACCCCACTTATACCACATGTTGTAGCCAACCAGAGTCAGAGCGCGGGAAATCCCCCAGGAACCTACAGGTCAAATCCCTGCACCATCTCGTCACCGGCTGCCGGTATTGGCTGTAACCTTGTCTGTTCTAGGGCGATCGTTCCTTCCGCTGACCTTGCTCCCGACTACGGCAAGGAAAACATCAACCTTCCTCTTCGCAGCCTTGCTCCCGTACTGAAACCCGCCATCATCATCCCAGCCCACCTGGCGCGGCCTCACGTTTGCTTCTCTCTTCGCGCGCCTTGCTGCCCTGCCTCAACACCCAATTCTATCTTGCATTCGATTGGCTTTATCAAACACGACGAAGACGAACTCCAGAACAGACTGTGCCGAGCCGATGGATCCCACCACTACAGATGCAGCTGCCGTAGCTGCAGCGACCACCGCGGAACCGACCGCGCCCCCCGCGACAGCATCCGCAGCACCAGCAGCAGCAGCAGCACCACCACCTCAGGAGCAACCGCAACAACAGCCCCCCGCACAACAGCAACCCGTCACGGCCCCCGTTGCGAAGCCTTCTGCACAAACGGCCCAGCAGCGTCCGGCCCTCGTTCAACCGCGTGATAGATTTTACCAGCAGTCTCTCGGCGCCTCGCTGAACGCAAACGTCAAGAAGGTACGTCGCAAACCTCGCCGAGCCTGGCACATCAGACCACGCGATCATTCCTTCCATCGCAACAACCATCCTACAGTCGTGCTCGCCCCATCAGAATGTCGTTTTATAACACGAGGGTGCTTCACGGTGTAATTGAAGATTCAATGGAGCTAACTATGGTCCCGCAGGCGCGCGTTTTGATGGTTGGAGCTGGCGGTATCGGATGCGAGCTACTGAAGAACCTCGTCCTCACAGGCTACGGCGAGATCCACGTCGTCGATCTCGACACCATCGACTTAAGCAACCTCAATCGTCAATTTCTATTTCGACACGAGCACATCAAGAAGTCCAAGGCTTTGGTATGGTCCTTCGCGCCGCGACAGGGCGTAGGAATGTCGAAAGTGCTGACATGTTGTAGGTTGCCAAAGATGCGGCGCAGCCCTTCAACCCAAAGGTCAAGATCGTCTCGCACCATGCGAATATCAAGGATTCTCAGTTCAACATCAGGTGGTTCAGGGACTTCGACCTTGTTTTCAATGCGCTGGACAACCTCGAGGCCCGGCGGCACGTGAACAGAATGTGTTTGGCTGCGGATGTTCCCCTCATTGAGAGTGGCACAACAGGGTTCAACGGCAACGTTCAGGTCATCAAGAAGGGAGTCACCGCGTGCTACGATTGCACGCCCAAGGAAACGCCAAAATCTTTCCCTGTCTGTACTATCCGAAGCACGCCAAGCCAACCCATTCACTGCATCGTGTGGGGCAAGAGCTATCTTCTCAACGAGATATTTGGCACCAGCGAAGACGAGTCTGCATTCGATAACTCGACTGATGCCGACAACGCCAAAGAAATTGAGGAGCTGAAGAAGGAGGCCGAGGCGCTGCGAGCCATCCGCGACTCTCTGGCTACCGAAGCCTTCCCTCAGCTTCTCTTTGACAAGGTCTTCAACAGTGATATTGTGCGATTGGCGTCGATGGAGGATGTATGGAAGTCTAGAAGAAAGCCCGAGCCTCTTGATTATAAGAAACTTTCAGAGCAATCCGCCGACGCTCTTGCTGCGAAGGAGGCGATCTTGCAGGATGGTCAGAAAGTGTGGAGCTTAGAGGAGAATTTCGCTGTCTTCGTGGACAGTCTGGATCGGCTTAGCAAACGCATGCAGGAACTGAAAAAAGCGCATCAAGACGGTACTGGAGCTGAGCCTTTGATCAGCTTCGACAAGGATGATGAGGATACCTTAGACTTCGTCACAGCAAGTGCAAACATTCGCTCTTTCATTTTTGGTATCGAGCAGAAGTCTCGCTTCGACATCAAGCAGATGGCTGGCAACATCATCCCAGCCATTGCGACAACCAATGCCATCGTCGCAGGTCTATGTGTTCTTCAATCATTCAAGGTATTGAGGGGTGAATTCACTCAGACTAAGGAGGTACGTTAAACCCTCGGCTGCAGTTGCTGAGGCTGCTGTCTAATATCTCTCCACAGGTGTTCATCTCTCCCCACAACCCGGCGCGTTTGCTCAATTCTAGCAAGTACCGGGCTCCCAACCCGGACTGCCCTGTCTGCAGCGTATATCAGACGACCATCTCCGTTGACATGTCCAAAGCCACGCTAAAGGACCTTGTCGAAGATTTCGTACGCTTGGAGCTCGGCTACGGAGACAAGGAGTTTGCCGTCAACAACGACACTGGTCCTCTATATGACCCTGACGAGACTGAAAATCTACCCAAGAAGCTCAGCGAGCTTGGAATCAAGGAAGACTCCTTCCTTACTATTATTGATGAAGATGATGACGAGCCTTTCGTCAATGTTGTCATCAGTATACAAGAATCGTATGCCCGCCCATTCGTACAGTCCTTACAACCACTTACTAACACCATACAGTAAGGAGTCCCTTGGAGATAAGCCCGTCAAGGGTTTGGTCGTAGACCAGAAGCCCGAAATCCCTCGCAAGCCCAAGAAGGAAGTACCTGCGGCATCCGCGGAGTCGAACGGCGCGAGCCAACAGAATGGAAAGCACTCGTTGGATGTCTCGGTGGAATCGCCAACCCTCAAGCGTCCTAGGCCTGACGATGGAGACGAGCCAATCGAAGCCAAAAAGGTCAAGGTTGCGACGGCCAGCAGCAGCGATGATGTGGTCATCGTAGACGATTCCACAGGTGGGGCTATCGTCATCGAAGACTGATGTTGCATGGGTCCATCCACCCAAAGCCAGGGATCTCCCTCCAAACATTGGAAGAAATCCAGCTCAGACAGCACTGAGCCCGCCATCTAGATTCAGGATGCAATTATTGGCGTAGGTATTTTGGGCCAGAAAGGCAGCAGCATCTGCCACCTCTTCGGGCCGACCCAAGCGGCCCAAGGGAATACGCTTTTCGAGGGGCTCCCTCGACATTGCTATGTATTTGTATATTAGCACAGTTCTGGCCAAAGGACGTTGGCTTACGGAATCCTCGGAAAGCCGAGTTAGCTGCTGGGAGATAGAGGAGGAGTTTGCTTACAGGCAAGCATATTGGTCTCTATGTAGCCAGGGACTATGGCGTTTGTCCGGATGCGCAACGGTCCCAGCTCGACGGAGAGAGCGTGAGTGAGGCCTTTAAGCAGAGAGCGCACAAAATGTTAGATTTTGATGTATGGGGGAAGTGGAAAGGAGGCGATTAGAACACCTCTTGAAGGACGGGGGATGAGTAGGTTGCGCGATGACGAGGAATGAACCAAAAGAGAGAGAACACACCAATAATACCAGCTTTTGACGCTGCATACACACTAGTCCCAGGACTGCCCTTTTCGGCCAGCAGGCTGGCAACGTTGATAATGCAAGCTTGAGAGGACAAGTCAGCTGGGCTCTGTGCGGTTTGCGATCGGATCGATCGTGTGGCAAGTGTCAAGACTTACCATCCCTGTCTGCACGTCTGCGCTTCATGCGCTGGGCCATGTACCTCGACATGAAAATGGTTCCCATGAGGTTAGTGTCAACGAGCTCCCTGGCAGCTTGAGGAGAGGTGTTCTGCAACAGCTGGAATTGCGCAATACCCGCAGCGTTGACAAGGACGTCTATCTGGCCCGTCCGTTTCTTTGGACAGCCATTTCCCTGTTAGTTAAAAGAGTCCAGCAATTCAAGGCGTATGTGTATATATATCGGAGAACCAAAAAAAAAAAGAAAGAGCAAGGGGGAAAAAGGCAAGAAATTTGGTAACTGTGAGAAGTAAAGAAAGGGAAAAAAAAAGGGGGGGGGGGGGGGGGGGGGGACTCGAACCCAGATGTCATCTAAGACGGCTTCATCACGGCCATCAGCGGACACGTCCATGACAGAGTAAGAGTGCGCTGGCGGTTTGTCGTCGGGGGATGTTCGGGTGCTGGCGGTACCGGCGGTGAGAGGGGATAGACGGGTATCCCGGAAAGGGGGAAGCTGGGCACAGAGTTCACGCAGCTTATCTTCTTTGCGGCCGAGAAGGGTTACAAGAGCGCCCTCGGCAGCGAAACGGGCGGCGATGGCAGCGCCGATGCCACCGTAGGCGCCGGTGATGAGGCAGTGGCGAGCGCGGAGGGGAAGAAGGGCACCGGACATTGTTGAGGGGGAGTGGCCAAGCAATGTTTACGTGGTTGAGGTGTTCGCGACCGTTGTCGTTCACGGGACCAGGTAGAGCATGCGTTGATCTAGGGATGCTTGGGCGTGTATAACGGGATGCCCGTAGTATGGTTTGATGGATATGGAGACGTTTACGCGGCAAAAAGGGAGCTTTGATTTTTGACTTGAGGCGGGATGGAGGGTGGGCGTCTGAGTTTAATTTTGGAGTGGTGGGGTGGGAGCGAGAAGGAGATGAGGAATCCCGAGTACGGATACCTTGCCAACGGATAAAGGTTGAGAGTTCAGAGTTGGGGGGAGGAGGAAGTGTGAGTGAGGTCAATGTGTCGTGTTCCCGCCAAAGGTTGAAGGGAGGAATAGATATTGGTGTTGGTGTGGGTTAGTGTTGGCGTTGCTGTTGTTGGTATACACTAGATGGCGGTGGTCAAGAAAGCTTTCACAACGCTGAAGCTGATTCAATGCAAAATGCACATTTGAAATCCCCCACCCCATTGCGGAGACTGGAGAGCAGTGCAAGACAAGACAGTTTCAGAGACTGGGGCATCCCATCATGGCTGGTGCTTATCGGCTGTTGTATGTGCGCGTGTCCGCGTGAGAGTGAGGATGATAATGGCATTGCTGGAGAAGGAATCTGATTCCGAGGTTTGCTTTCCATCCCGTGTTTTATCCAATGTTCAAGCTCTCAGATGGTGAGACAGACACCCGTTGAAAACACCCGTTGAAAACACCCGTTGAAAAAGCCCGTCATAGTTCTCCACATCCAAGGTTATGTATACTATGTTTGTTGTAGAAAAGACATCCCCTCATACATACCGCCCAAGAAAAACGAGGCTGCTTTCATTGGGTCCAGTATAACAAACCTGGCAGTAAAAATGTATGTAGCTGGCGAGGATTGGGGGAGGGTCTTTTTTTTCTCTAGCTCGCATGCGCCTCTGTAACGGTTAGACAATGTATCTATGTACCTTTTGGAGGTTAAAGTGTTCTAGAGTGATCCCTGTGGGGGGGCCCCCGATTCGGTACCTCGGTGGAAGTACCGTCGACTTCTCATCCTCTGAAAGGCTATTGGCGATACTGAAGCTAAGATGCGCTTGTCCCCGCTGCCCGCTGTCGATTCAAGGGGCGCTATGTACTCTCTCACTCTCTCTCCAGCGAATGACGCCTGTCACGCTACTGCGTCGTTGCTTGTCATTTTGGTCAGTCGAATCGCCTCAGTCAGGTACGCAATTAATACCAGGATAGATATCGCTTTAGACTTACTGCCTGATACCTCCAATGCGGGGCGAAAGCAAAGGGTTTGACATGTACTCCTAAACTTCTTGTTTACTGACTGCTTCCTGCCCTGCCACTCCCTATTCGTAAGAAAGAGACGGGGGGTTTTATCAGCACCTCGGCTGGCCAACATGACTTGGTTCGCATGCCCTCTTGGCCTGTTCAGGGTACTTCCCAAGAGGTATCTCCCACACCACCACCACGCCAGTGGTTCCAGTTTCTAGTTTCCAGTTACAGTTCCACGTCCGTTGTGGTGCGAACGCAACATCGCAATCCCACCACTGCTGCAGCTGCAAATTTCCCTTTTTTCCTTTCTCTCACTCCTGCATCTTTCCTCGCTTCTTCAACTTCTCTCCTCTCAGCTGCTACTTCATCTTACTACGCCACAAAACCCTCGTTTACCCCTTTGCCAAACGAAGCTAACTCCTCCGTCCTGGCAAATGCGCACTCTTGCGCTGAGGTGCCGTGCAATTGCAGTAGCAGCGTCCGTATCTGCGTCTCTTCCTCCACCCTAGACGACTGCCTTACACCGACCACCCCCCCTCTCCCGGCACTACGAACCCACTCTCACAAACCGACCACCACCACCACGGAAAACGGATGGCCGTATGCCTCACGATCACGACCTCCGACAACGCCTAATGACCACCCATACCAATGGCGCCGCGTCGGCGCCAAAACCTTCCCCCGAGCGCCGCGATGCTACCGTGACCAACCCAAAGGTCGCTGACGCCGCTGCCATCGCCGAGGCGCCCGCCCCGCCCGTCATTACCGTCAAGGGTCCCAACGATGCGCCTGACGCGGGGCTGAGAAGTCTCGATCACTGTATGCTACAATCTGCCTCTCCAGCCGTACTCTCCTGTGGCCAGCAGGGGGCTTGCCGCCTCTTCCATGTTCGCGAGTAATGAGCAGCCCAAGCTGACGTCGCCTGTTCACAGACAAGAGAGCGTTGCCGACATGGCGATACCGACTGCGCCAGTGGATGTTGCCTTTGATCCGCTGGGAAACACCTTATCTGGCTTACTTGCAGGAGACGATGCGCACACCATGGCTGGATAGTTACTTTGCGATCACGGCGAATCTTGGTACCCATACCTTCTTCATGATCGGGCTCCCGATGCTCTTCTGGTGTGGTTACGCCTCTTTCGGCAAAGGGTAAGCACGATAAAACCGCTTTCATGGGAAACGAAGAACCACGTGTTTCTAACAAGTTGCTACATTGCAGAGTCATTCACATCCTTGCCGAGGGCGTCTTCTTCACCGGCTTCATCAAGGACCTCTTCTCTCTTCCGCGACCGCTGTCTCCGCCCCTCCATCGAATCACCATGTCCGGATCCGCTGCTCTAGAATATGGTTTCCCTTCAACACATAGCGCAAACGCTGTGTCTGTAGCGGTGTATGGCATATTGGTCCTGCGTAGTCCCGAGACTGCCCTACCAGAAACGACCAAGACCATCCTCGAGGGTCTCTCCTACTTTTATGCCTTCTCCATCGTCTTTGGTCGTCTGTACTGCGGCATGCATGGATTCATCGACGTCATTCTGGGATCCGTCCTGGGTGCTGCCATATCTCTCATTGAGTTCTACTACGGCCCGCCTCTAGATGCCTACATGCACAGCAGCTCATGGTGGGCGCCCGCCATTGCGGCCCTCATCATCATTGCCCTGGTCAGGATTCATCCTGAACCTGCAGATGACTGTCCTTGCTTCGATGATAGTGTAGCCTTTGCTGGTGTCGTGATCGGGCTGGAGATCGGGACTTGGATGTATGGCCGGACGTCGCTGGACTCGTTTGGGGCGAATGCCCACAGTGTTCAGTCCATTGACCTTGGCGCGCTAGGTTGGCACATTGTGGCCGCTCGAGTCGTCTTTGGCGTGCTCGTCATCTTTGTTTGGAGAGAGGTGATGAAGCCAACCTTGCTTAGGGGGCTTCCGCACATCTTCCGTCTTCTGGAAAAAGTCGACATGAACCTTCCCCGACGATTTTTCACACCGGCTTCCAAGTACAAGGTTGTCGATCCCGGCTCAAGAATGGACACTCTCATCCCATCCGTCAGGGACCTCCCTCGTGTGGTCCAGTCTATCCGGCATCCAACTACACGTGGCCGTTCCGTTTCGATTGGTCCCCAGAGTGCTGCGGACGCGTATGAGACGCTTGCCTATCGCGAGCGTCGGCGGCGAGAAAGTATCGGTAGCAACGGTAGCATCAAGAGCAAAGGCAGCATGTTCGAGCTCCGGGAGAAAAACGGCGACTGGGAGGCCAAGGGGGCCGCTTCAGGCGTGCAGGGCCATCACGGCAACACGCTCGACGACTTTGAACGAATGATGGGCACTGGGAGTGTGTTGGCTAGCCCTAGCGAGGAGAAGGGCGAGCTGGACTTGACCGTCGGTCAACAAGATGAGATTAGCGAGAAGGAGATGTTCTTGCGTCTTATCCGGCCGCGCGTGCGGTACGATGTCGAGGTGGTGACGAAATTGGTGGTTTATACAGGTAAGTGTCGTGGTTCACTTCCGCAATATCCGGATACCCCTGGACTATGCGACCAGGTGCTGACAGCTGGTGACAGGCATAGCGTGGCTTGGTGTCGGCCTGATCCCAATTATGTTTGAGTTGGTCGGGTTAGGATCCAAACATCTTCGCAATGCGTAATCGGGTCGCCCGGCCCTTTGAAATACGGGAGTTGTTTTGAAAGATACCATCATGAAATCTTTTCTTCTCATTGCATGATGCATGGGTATGATGTAGTTGATTTACACGGTGTAGCCCTTTTTAAGAGAAAGGAAATTTGGTGGGGTCGTCCCGATGCGAGAAGAGGACGCATCCATTTTGACGATAGCACGACGTATTGTATATTCTTCTGGCGCTTGCATCTACCTAGGGCGGTCTTGACATTGTTTCCCCTTCGTTCCGATATGAGAACGAGTGGGTTTTGTATGTTCTGTCGGCGTCCAGGAAGCTTGATTCAAGGGGTGGGGGAAGCTGTTGGATCAGGTGGTAATGTGTTTATTCTTTTTAAAACTGATAAGATATATCAGAGTTCAGTGGGAAGCTTTTTTAAACGTCCCAAGCGTTACATCGGGTGGTCTGCAAGTCACCTTGGGCCTAAGAATAACCTGTGAGACGTGCACGTTGAATGCCCTGAGTTGCCTGAGAGAATGGATGGGTGAGACCCACGACAGCAGCCACGTTGACCTGCCATTTCTAGCGTGTACTTTTGCATATCCCCTCACTTTTTTATTTTCTTGCTCATACACCTCCGGTCTCGTCGTCTTCATCTCCTGCTCATTCAGGCATGGTTTCGATTATCACGGATTTGCTAGTGAAAGATTTGTTTCTGACGCCCGCCCCCATCATGTCTGCGACCTTGATGGCCCGAGATGATTATCTTGTCTTGATCGTCGAGGTTTGATACCGAACTGAAGACAGTGTCATCACATCCGCAGAAGAGGCCATGGCCTGACTTTTAAGCTGGGAATTGCCTGACTTAGGCTACCAGTATCATCATACCATTGTTATACCGCTCTTTACGCAAGTGGGATATGCGCAAGGAAAGGCAACTCTTTTGTTGACTGAGTTGGCACCCAGAGAAGGTACCGACCTACCCTTCGTCGCAACGCAACATATGCTGACACCGAGGTAACAGGATGGCGAGCAGCACCACTGCCCTATGAACATGCCAGCTCGCGATTCAGGCTGGGAGTACTCATTGAATGGCCAACCTACGTGGAGCTTGAGTTGAGATCCACGCCAGAGCTTACGCCATGCCCAAGGGCAGACACGCCCATGTGGGGTTCTCGCAACCTAGCAGATCCCCCCGTTGATTCCCCTCACCCATTAATACGACAGAGTGCGGAGCTGGTGATGGACTCCAGGTGGGTGCGGCCCCGATAAGGGGAGATGACGACGAGGAGATTAGGACCATGACGAACACAAGACATCTCCTTGGTACTTCATGGCCAGCAATGGGCACGCTCATAACCGGCAGCTCGACCAAACCCAATCGTCGTCGGAGTGAGGCAGCACCTAGGCCATGATCACTCACAGAGACCAAGACAGGGAGGCTTAGGTCTGGACCCCATGACTGCAACCCAGGGGACAGGATCATCGGATGATCCGCTGCGGCCGATCCAGCCCGTAGGGCTGGACGGGGGGTTGCGGGACTCCGGCATGCCAGATTATCAGATCTCGAAGCTTGCGTCCATTGGATGAAGCTATTGGCGACCTTCGATTGGGTTCCCGGGTCGATGTTCCCCTGAACTCCCCTGTCATTGTCTGCCGCTGCAGTGCCACTGGAACACCAACCGACGATGAGACTTGTGTATCCAGAGCAGACCCGCATCCCACGCGCGACATGCCCATGACAGCGATATGAAAGAAGAAATTACCAGAGAGAAAAAAACAAAATGCAACGGTGAGCTTGGAAGACATAGGATTCAATCAAGGAAGCAGATAAGACAGACGTTCCTGTCTCCAAATCAAAATGTTCGGAGAAAAGGTTCTTCAGCAAGGTACCTTGTACTTGAAGTGCCGCTCCAACTGGGAACGCTGGTAACCCATTTGCGCATATCTACAGTTGCGGTTATGGACGAAGAGGTGCATTACGCCGCAATCAAAATGCCCGACGAATTTTTGCGGTTGTTTTTGAAATTGCGGGCTTGCTTTACAAAGGGGCGACGTCATTTGCTCTTCCGGTGCCATCTTCGAGATTGCCTTACCGCCTAAGGCACGAATACACAACCAACTCGGGTTTAGCGCAGATCTAATCGGGATAAGCGGAGGTAAAAATGGAAGGAAGCGACAAGTGACGAGGGAGAAGGGGGCACCACCACAGTATCCAGGTGCTGCTTTCCTGCCCACTACGTGCTACAGATCCCTGAGGTAAGCGGAAGGGAAAGGTCGACCTCATCCTCCCCCACTGCAGCAGCCGCTTCCGCCCGATGCTGTGCAGCTTCTTCATTGTCACCTTTGACTCCAAAGCAAAACTGGTTTCCCTTGTCCATAAGCTTCGAGGTCTCATGGCTTTTTCGAGCTTTGCACCTGCCGTGTACCTGAATTCTTGAGTCTAATTCTTTTTTTATTAGTTTTGTTACCACCAGAGCTCATTCCGACCAAAAGTGCAAGGTGCAGAATCCGACAAACCTTGGGAGGTGCACCCCTTCGCCCCTTCCTGCCAGTCCAGCCCTGTCCCATCAGCCCAGATTCGCCAAAAATCGGCCCATTTAGCGAGTTGACCCATCTGGAAGCAGAAGCTCCTGCCGCTCCCTACAGTGGCCAACTCCCCGCAGGATCTGATAACCAAACGAACGAATCTATTCTCCGCACTCCACGAGACCTCTGCACCTCACATTTTCGGCGACTCGACCAAACCGTCTCGCGCGCCCCCATTGCCACTTTGTATTTTCCCTTTTAGAGGTGCTACTCGTCGCCGCATGCAAGGTCGCATGTAGTCGTCTTCAAAATGTCGACCGACGCTGCCAGCGCTCCAGTTTCGGAGCCTGCACCTCTGCCGGCGCAATCGACTGCCGACAGCGACCAGGAGGAGCCTACTCTGAGCCAGATTGAATGCGCGACGAAGCCCGCCTTCCTCCACTCCCCTCCCGACAGCAACAATGCACCCAAGTCGGACGCCAGCGACTCGGAGCTCAGCGACCTCGACGATGACGCCGTCGAACCGCCTCCGAAACAAGATGAGGCCGAAGTCGAGGACGACATTGGCGAGGTTGTTCCCGATCACTGGTCCGGAACGGTCCCTGTCTTCAAGCCGACTATGCACCAGTTTAAGGACTTTAAGCTATTCGTACGTTGCACTTATTTTTTTTCTCCCCTTTCCTCGCCATCCTATTCCATGTTAACGTGAATGCGCCCGTAGATGACCAAGGTGGATAAATATGGAATGAAGTCTGGTATTATCAAGATCATTCCTCCCTCCGAATGGAAAGAATCCCTTCCAAAACTCGACAACCTCGTCAAGCAGATCAGAGTTAGGGAGCCGATCAAACAGGATATCATGGGATCCAATGGAACATATCGACAAGTGAACATCCTCCACGGAAGATCGTACAATCTCCCCCAATGGCGACAACTTTGCGACCAAAGCGAACACCAGCCCCCAGCGAGGCGTGGCGAACGCCGAGCGAACGTTGAAAAGCCAAAGACTCGATCCGCTCCTAAACCACGACCAGCGCCCAAGCCGGCTGCTTCCGGCTCTAAGAAACGTGGCCGTGGACGACCGGCCCGAGGCAAGGCCAAAGTCCAGGAAGAGGAGGAAGCCCAAGAGGAAGAGAAGCGACCGATGACACCGGTATCGCCGAAGCCTACCGCCGAGGTCGACATCAAGAAGGAAGAAGTCATTGACTCGGTCGAGGACCCCGGCATGGAGGTTGACGAGGATGAGCCGCCTACGGTCGGCAGGATGGGTCGCATGGGTGGCGTGAAGCCTGCGAAACCAAAGACTCAGTCTGTCTCAGCTCGTCGGAAGTACAGTAAAAGAGAAGGCTCTGCGATGATTGATGAGGAGGCGTTCAAGGATTTCAATTATCAAATGGATGTCTCGGACTATACGCCAGAGCGTTGTGAGGAGCTTGAAAGGATATACTGGAAGACGCTCACATATGCACCTCCATTGTACGGCGCAGATCTCATGGGTACGCTTTTCGACGAGTCGACAGAAAACTGGAACTTGAACAAGCTGCCCAATCTATTGGATGTTCTCGGCACCAAAGTTCCCGGTGTGAACACCGCTTACCTCTATCTCGGTATGTGGAAGGCTACCTTCGCATGGCACTTGGAGGATGTCGACTTGTACAGCATCAATTATCTCCACTTCGGAGCTCCCAAGCAGTGGTACAGCATCTCCCAAGCTGATGCTCGTCGGTTTGAGGCTGCGATGAAAAACATCTGGCCCACTGAAGCCAAGGCTTGCGACCAATTCCTCCGTCACAAGGGATTCTTGATCTCGCCCTCACATTTGAAGCAGCACTACAACATCACAGTCAACAAATGTGTCTCCTACCCGGGAGAATTTGTCGTCACCTATCCTTACGGCTACCACTCAGGATACAACCTGGGCTATAACTGCGCTGAAGCAGTCAACTTCGCTCTTGAGTCTTGGCTCCCCATGGGAAAGATCGCCAAGCGATGCGAATGCGCACAGGCACAAGACAGTGTGTGGGTTGACGTTTACGACATCGAACGTAAACTCCGAGGCGAGGAGACAGAGTACGAAGAAACCGATGAGGATGATGAAGAAGAAGACGACGAGGACATGGAGGACGCCAGCGGCCTCCCGTCACCGCCTAATAGCAACACAATTGTCATCAAACCCGGTCGAAAGAGGAAGCGTGCAACAGGAGACAAGGATGGGAAGAAGAAGGTCAAGAAAATTCGCCTCAAGGTCAAGACACGCGCGGAGCCAATTTGCTGTCTCTGCCCCAATGACATCCCTGGCGCAGAAGTCCTCCCGACAGATGATGGCCGCAAAGCTCATCGCATGTGTGCCCTTTATCTCCCTGAGACGTACATCGACACGGTCGACGATAAGGAGGTCATTGCAAACGTTGCCAACATCAATAAGGAACGACTGGATCTCAAGTGTCTCTACTGCCGATCCAAGAAAGGCGCTTGCTTCCAGTGCTCGCAGAAAAAATGTGCTCGGGCTTACCATGCCACCTGCGCCGCGGCAGCTGGCATCTTTGTCGAAGAAGCCGAAGTCCCAGTCTTTGGCGAAGACGGGACCGAGTACAAGGAACAGGCCTTCGAATTCAGCTGCCGCTTTCACCGTACCAAGAGAGACAGGAAAACCGACGGAGACACTCTTGAAGATGACGAGCGTATCCGGAGTGCTGCGGCTGCACTCAAGAAGGGCGAGATTTGCCAACTACAATACTACAAGGGTGATATCTTTGCTGGTGTTGTGGTGGAGAACCGCGCAGATGACCAGACCCTACTTCTGGATATTATACCTAACGGGTACGTATTTACCGGTAACGCAGAGAACCGCACGCTAATAAATCTTAGTGACCGTCTGGAAGTCGAGTGGAAGTGGCTCTTGCTGCCCGATCCCGCTGATTATCACCTTCCGAAGGCATCCGCCCAGGCCATCCCGATGCCATCGTCGCAAAAGGCAAAGGACCAGCTTAACGCGAAGCGGCCTACCGATGAAATACCCAGAAAGGATGCTCCGTTTGTCGAGGGATTCACTTGGGCAGAATTCCATCCATGTGATGAATGCGCCAACCCCAACCAAGTCAGGGTTGATCTGGCGAAGGATAACCAAGTATGGCATTACCTGGGCAAAACATCAACAGAGGCCAAGGCACAGTATTCTGAGGACCCTGCGAAGCAGCAACACAACCCCAAGAGCAACTACCTTGATACCATCCCCAAACCCCCGAAGCCGGTCTCTGCGACTGCGGCCCAGCGGAAGACTTCTAATATCCCGCCACAGCCAGCACCTATGCCCACCCCCGGGGTTGTTATTCAGCCTGGAATCAAGACAGAAAAGCCATATGTGTACAAGCCACGGAAGCCTGTTGAGCCCAACTACACTGGGTCTGGAGCCTTTGCGACACAGAAACTCACTCCCAAGATTTCTCCCTCGCCTTCGCCTTCATCAGCGGGCCAGCAACTTCCTTTCGGATCAGACCCCCGTTACCAGATGCAGAATGGCCAGTTTGTCCAACAAAGATTCGCGCCTGATGTCCATCAGTCGTACATCTCGCGTTACAGCCCCGCTGAACCTGGACAGTACGCGGCTCCCAACACCGCACAACGCCCCAGTCCTTACGGCAATCCGCCATCGCACCCGGCAGGTCCCACACGGCCGGCACAGCAGATGTGGGCAACACCGGCACAGAACTCCATGCCTCAGCCGCCGGCAAACTCACAAGCCTCAACTCCGCAAAGCCACAGACGGTATTCGGCAGCACCCACACCTTCGGTTGCCATGAAGTACGCATTCTTCCAAGTGCACCATAACAGAGATTCGAAGACGTATCGGACTCCGTATGCGCCCTGGGGAGGCTTCACCAACGGCTATGAAGGTAATCTCAGGGCTCATCTAATGCGGACGTCGCCAGAGGCTTTCTTTAAGAACAACCGACAGGGTTCTGCCCATAGCGGGTCTCCCGCACCCAACTCAGCCGCTCATTCTCAAGCCCCTGCGCATGGCAGCCCGTATTACAATACCTTTACGAGCACGATGTCGCAGGGCTCCATCGGCATGTATGGTCGAAAGACAGCATCCTCATCGTCTTCATCAAGTTCAAGGCCGCCGCACGACCCTTCAAGAACACAGTACTCCTCAATATCACCAAGCCCAGTACCAAACACCTCACAGGCCAGCCCGAATGGCTACAATAATGGATGGAATGCACAACAAACACACTCGACGCCTCTTCACCCGGCAATTCGCCCGCAGTACGGGACGTGGATGAGCCAGCCTCAGAGCCATCCTCAACCTCACGCCCAGCCTGCGCAACCGCAGGCTGCACACCAAACCGCGACGGCACAACCGGCTCATAGCCAAACACAAGCTGCTCAGACAAAACCTCAGGCTGCACCAAAACCAGCTGCGCCCAAGGTGCAGTACAAGGTACATCCATCTCAGCAGCTCCTGATCCAACAATATCCCCGACATCAGACTAACCAAATAATAGATACCCGAAAAGCAGACCCCGGTTCCATTGCCAGCCAAGTACCTGGCGGCTATGGGAAAGCGACCCTCGACGGCTACCCCTTCCAAGGCTAGCTCACAGTCGACTGAGCCGTCTTCACAAGACACCAAATCGCCCTCGGCTCCTGGCTCGACAAGTACTACCAATACGGCTTCGGCACCCAGTGCTCAGAACACTCCGGCCCAGGCCAGCTCTCCTCCGGCGGCGCCGACACCTGCAAAGCAGACAGCGCCTTCTGTTTCGCAAACCCCCGTCCCCGTCCCTCAGACACCTGTACCAGTTCCCAAACAGAGGATGCCATTCACGAATCAATTTTCTGCCAACCGGCCTACCCAGCCCCAGTATCAGGTTCATGCCCCGGCGTCTACAGCACAAACAGCCCAACGGCCGCTTCGGCCAATGAGTCATGTCCAGACAGAGCATCATTCGTTGAACCCAGCGGAGATTTTGGCGCAGATTGCTACGCAGCCTCGCATGAACCCTCCCACGCCCACGACGCCTCACCAGTTAATGCCTTCGCCAGCATCGCAGCAAGCCCCAATGTCCCAGCACTATCCGGCGCAACAGGCGCAGCAGGGAATGATACAACAACCTACGCACCAGTACCATTCGTATGCACCACAACAAGGTCAATATCAGCCGGTACAGCCCCATCAACATATGCACAACATGGCGCCTTCCAATCAAGCTCCGCAAGCCCCGACTGGCGAGGTGCCACTACCAGAAGTACCTGCAGACTCGACGGCGTTGGTGGAAAGGATGATGCAAAACCTTCGCCGAGCCGCCTTCCATGGCTGATTACTGCTTTTCTCATTCCCAAGCGTTTTCAGATGTACGAATAGTTTCAAAAGTTTCTCACGCACAGTAGTTCGTCTCCGGCGCGACACAGACGCGACATGGCCGGAGACGCCTGGGAAAAGCACACGCATGCACGGAGATTATGAGTCTGCCGGAAAAGAACATGGCGTTTGAAGGGGTTGTGTTTTTTTCGTTTCTTTTTTTCTCTCTCTCTTTCTAGGAAGGCTTGAGATTGCAATCGCATAATCGCAAGTCTACGAGAATTAGTGACGAAACGGCATTGGGAGGAATGCAACTGTTTATTATTACTGTTGTTTGCTTGCGAAAAACACGCGCAGCCAGCGTGGCTACGAGACTCGGTGGTCCGTAGAAGGACTACAAATCTCTAATGTACATATTCGATTGTGATTTTCATCCGTCCATCAGTGTGCTGTGCCGTTGTTCGAGATGAAAACCGTGACATATCTAGTTATTGAAATCGTCACAAGCCTTGTAGGACTATATAGGTCGCAGGTATCTATCTCGCCGTTCTGGTAGCGTGATTTTAAACGTTGGTGGGAAAAAACATCGAAGAATACTCGGGAAGACATGGTTTAGGTTTTAAGACGTTTAAGGTTATCGCGATGTACTTACTCATTGGCTTTGTATTAAGCTGTGTGCATGTGAGATAATCGCATCAGGGATCAGTTCGGTCGCGGCATAGTGACACGGATAGCGAGGACGACGCCAATGGGACCAAATCATGACAACAACTAGAAAAAAATAAAATTGGTATGACTTTTCTACAAAGCTAACATCGTTATCGCTAGCTACAATTTGGGCGGGATATGTGGTGATTCTTCTATCCCAAACACTTCCCCTCTTCCTCCTTCGATTCACGCGTACTTGTTAGCGACGAGCCACTCCTTGAGGGCGGCGGCGTCACGCTCGCGGTAGGCGGCACGGCCACGGACCTTGTCCTTGACGGTCTCCAGAGTACGACTGAAAGCACTGGTGTCCTTGTCGGCGAAGAAGGCCTCAATGTCCTTGACGGATTCGAAGTCGGTGAACTTGCCGAGAGAGACCTGGATGAAGCGGTCGACGACGATGGGGTTGCCGAGCTTGGAGACGCAGGCGTCCCAGTTGTTCTTCAGGTGCTGCCACTGCAGGTCGCGGGCGACAGAGTTGCCGGCAAAGGCCGAGCCGAGCATGTGCATGTCGGCGGGAGGGATGGAGTCGGAGGCAGGGGCAGGGGGAGACTTGTTCCAGAGGAAGGGCAGGAGGGTGTTCTTGATGATCTCGGGGTCGCGGACGAAGCCGAGGTTGGAGAGGCAGATCTCCTTGCCGTCGATGGCGGGGGTGGTGAACCACTCCTTCTTCAGCACCTCAACGGTGCGGGCAGCGTCGTTCTTGACAGCCACGCGGAAGACGGGTGTGCGGAGAGCAGGGTGCAGGGGGTTGGCCTCGGGGTTCTCGACCCACGCGTTGAAACGCTTGGTAGCCTCCTCGGTGACGGCGGCGTGGCCGTTGCTACCAGCAGTGAGGAGGAGTCTCTTGCGCAGGAGGCCGTCGAGGTAGCTCTCGCCCTCAGGGAAGTCCCAGCCGTACTTGGCGACGACATCGTTAATGAGCTTCAGGGTGAAGGTCTCCAGTCCCTTCTTGATGGTCTCGTCGTCGGCGAAGATGGACTTGACGAGGGCGATGGAGTCAAGAATCTGGCTCCACACGAGGTAGTTGTCCTCCTTGGCGAATCCCTGGACGAAGGACAGGAGGGCAGCAGTGGTGCCGTAGCCGGAGAAGGCGAGGTCGGCAGCAGAGCCAACGATGGAGATCTTGTCCTCGGTGCTCAGGCGGTCGAGCTGCTGACCGAGCTTCAGAAGACGCTCAGGGGGGTAGTTGACGCGGTAGAAGCCGGACGCTCCAGAGTTGAGCTTGTAGAACTCAGTGTCAACGTCACGGATGGTATCCTCCTTGGTCTCCAGAGAGAGGGAGGTGACGCCCTTGGCGCCGACCTTGCCCTCAAGCTCGAGAGGAATCCACCAGGTGGTCTCGTCATCCTCAGGCTTGACGTCACCGGTGGACAGGAAACGGGACTGCTTGACAGAGATTTGACCAGGCTCCTCAGCGACAGTCAAGACGGGGTGGCCGATCTTGGAGATCCAGGGGCCCATGAGCTTGTTGACGTCCTTGCCAGAGGCCTCGCTGAGAGCATCCCACAAAGCCTTGGTCTTGGCGTTGCCGTACTGGTTAGCGATCAGGTAATTGGAGACACCCTTGAGGAAGGTATCGACACCAAGGTGGTTGGCAAGCATGCGAATGGCGGAGCAACCCTTGAGGTAGCTGATGTGGTCGAAGATCTGGTTGACATCAAGAGCGTCCTTGACAGGGACGTGAATGGCGTGACTGGCGCGGATACCATCAAGCTTGAAGGCCATCTCCATACCCTCGTTGACGAACTGGGACCAGACCTGCCACTCGGGGTGAAGGTAGTCGGTAGCGTGCCAGCCGACCCAGGTAGCGAAACCCTCGTTGAGCCAGAGCTCATCCCACCAGTCCATGGTGACCAGGTTTCCGAACCACTGGTGAGCCAGCTCGTGGGCGACAACGTAGGCAACACGGTTGCGGTACCTGGCCTCAGAGGTCTTCTCGTCGAAGAGGACGGCAGTCGTGCGGTAGGTGACGAGACCCCAGTTCTCCATGGCACCGTGGGTGAACTCGTGGACAGCCAAAAGATCGGCCTTGGGCAGGGGGTACTCAATGCCAAAGATGTCGGAGAAGAAGTCGATGATGCGGGGAGCGTGCCACAGAGCCCAGCGGCCCTGCTCCTTCAAGCCACGAGTGGTGTAGACGCGGACGGGCAGCTGCTTGCCGTTGTAGCGGCGCTCGGTGAAGTCCTCGACGTACTCGAAGTCACCGACGGCCCAGGCGAGCAGGTAGGTGCTCATCTTGGGGCTGGTCTCGAAAGAAACCAATTGCCAGCCATCGCGGGTCTTCTTGGTCTCCTTGACGGGCATGTTGCTGAGGGCGACCTGGTCCTCGGGAACCTCAATCTCAAAGTCGAAGGTGGCCTTGAGGTTGGGCTCGTCGAAGCAGGGGAAAGCACGGCGGGCGTCGCAAGACTCGAACTGGGTGCTGAACATGTAGTGCCACTCATCATCGCGGGGAACAGACTTTGCAGGCTCGACGGTAGGCTTGTACTTGCTGCGGTAGAAACCAGCCATGTCGTTGTTGATGATACCCTCGAACTCAATGGTCAGGACGGCCTTCTGAGCCTGAGGGATCTCTTCATCGAAGGTGATGGTGGCGCGCTGCTGCTTCTCGCCGTAGCTGAAGTTCTTGGACTCCCATGATTGCGTTGACTTGGTGTGGCCGACGGCGATCTTGGCGTCGAGGAGCTTGATCTCAAGAGCGTTGAGGACGATTTCCTTGGTGGGCTTAACAACCTCGGCATCGATGCTGCAGAAAAGAAAAAGAAAAAACGTCAGCTTCAACGGCAGCACAGGCGTGGTGGCGGGCGGGAGCTAGAGCTCGAGCTGGAAGCTCAAGATTGAAGCTTGAAGCTGAAGCTTGGCTAAGGCGGGGTGAGGGGCAATTCTTACGTCACGGTTCCCTTGTAAGTCCAGTCCTTGAAGTTAAGGTCGCGGAGCGACAGGACATAGTGGGAGGGCTTAATAGACTCGGGGAGAACTTCGCGATCCGCCATGTTGCCTACTCTGCTGGCGTACAAGGCCTTGTCCGAGGTGGTGATGGTTGAACAGTAGTTGCGGTGGGCAACAAGAGATGCGGGGAAGAGAGATCGGCGGCTGTTAGAGCAGAGAGTGGAAGAGGAAGAGTCAGTCAAGCTTTGGGTTAAATAAGCCAAGGAAGAAAAAAGAGAGAGAGAGAGAGAGCAGGGAATGGGGTAGACGCAAGAACGAAGAGGAGGAATAGATGAGAGGGCAGTGCTGAGAAAAAGAAGAAGGTGATGGATAGATGCAAAGTTGTAGCTCCACAAGCGTCCTTCCTACTTGGGAATCCAACAAGCGGCAAGCGGCAATGGGACGACGACTGGAACACACTGTGATGGCCGTGTGGGTTTCGGTCTGGCGATGCAACTGGCAAAGCAGAGTTCCAAGGTGGACCGTAGTGATGCTCCGAGGTGAGGGGCAACGAGGGGCAGACAAAAGGTCCCTGCATGGGTAAGGTTGGTTCGGCGGCGGCTTTAGTCACTGGCGGGCTTGATTGGGAGTGGGAGGAATGCTCGGTGCTCAGTAACCCAAGGTGACCCTAAAGGGAATGCTGGCTGCGTTTTAGGTACCTCCCCTGTCAACCTACCGAAGCTGTGGTCTGCTGTACCTTTGTTTTCCGCAATACGGGCCCAGAAGACGGGGGGCGACGGGGACGGGGACGGAGAGACCATATCATGCCTCGGAAGAAGATACGCGGGCAAAATAAAAATAAAAAAATAGAATAAAAATTAGATAACGTACCGAGAGTAAACGAAACCATTGCGGGCAACAGCATTCCAAACGTTGGGAGATGACCAGAGAGAATTATTCGTAGTGGTAGTAACACTAGTAGTGGCAGTAGTAGTCTTGAAGACTGATGAGGAGGAATTGGAAAAGTGACGTCTGAAGCCTACGTTATACAATGACGAAGTGAAAGAAGCAGCGCCAAAAGAAGGAGATGTCGATGACGATGATGATGATGACAATAATACAGAGCTGCGAAAGATACCCTGGGCGCAAGGACCGAGAGAGGCCGCAACATTGCTCGCCTTCTGCTCGAATCCGCGTGCCCAGGTCCGCCCGACCAGCTGCCCGATCGGGTTCATCCTTTGTTCAAAGCCCGCAGGATAAAGAGAAGGAAGCTTACAATAGCTTTACCCCCCGGATTGGAGCTGGGCGGTTTGAGGCAGGTCGTGGCCGGTTTCCTCTGACCATCGACTTTGGCTGTGTCTAGTCCCTTTTTTTTCTTCCTCCCCGGGTCGGCTTGAAAAATCTCTGAGGCCACCCCTTTGCCAGGAGTCAGCCCGTCGACCACGGACGGTTCGGCACGGGTTTTAGCCCCTTTGGGAAGAAAACGGGGGCCTTCGGCTTCGGTACGAGGCTGTGGTGGCTAGTGTCTTTTTCCATACGCCGATGGGAAGCGAGATGAAAACCAGGGTTATGTTATTGAGGAAGCTAACTCTACGTACATACAGACAACAAAACACTATGTGAGTTTGCTTATATTGATGTTGTTGATACTCAAAAGTCAAAATGGTTTCACAGATATAGCACATGATGAAATAAAAAATCCTTCCATTCTGGAAAATGTCTTCATGGTCCCAAGACTACGCTCCTCTCTCAAAAGAGAAAAAAGAAAAAGAAGAAACAAAGTTCTAGCAAACGCTTCCCAACCATATCATTTGCTGCCAATGACAATGTGCGTATGTATCCTTCCCGTCAGACGAATTTCATCTCTGCAATGAGTGCGCTCTTCAACCCAATGCTTCAAAAACCATGCTGGGAAATGTGTCGAAAGCAACCAGCCAACCCGCCTGTAACTCCGGTCCCAGTCGAGCCCCCAAACAAAGTACATCATCGTGTCATCAAGAAGAATTCTTGAGGAATGCGTCCCTCCTCTACTCGTATATCGTACCATGCATACCCATTCCCTTCTTCATTACTTTACTTTAGGAAGGCGACCCGTTAGTTGCCTCCGTCTCCCCTGCCACCTTGGCCGCTACTTCGTTCCACCACGTTCCGTGAGCTGCCTTGTCCACAGCCCCAACCTTTGATATCTCATCCAGCATCTCTCGCACCTGCACCGCAAACTCGGGCAATCCCAGTCCCGCCAGCTTCTCCTGTGCTGTCGTGGCCGCGTTGACCTTCTCCTTCGCCGATCCAGCCGTCAGCCTGCTGTTGAGGTGGCCGCGCAGACGAGCCAGGAGAAGACGCAACACAGGCTCCGTGGGTTCAACACCCTTCTTGATTGAGTCTTGGCTGGCGTTGAGCACCTTGGTGACCAAAGCCCTGAGATGTGTCTTGGTCGCCGCCGGCATGGATCGACCGCCTTCGAGTGCCGCCATGACACCTTGCACCGTGGAGTCAATGTTGCCGTGGTCCGTCTCCAGCACCGTCATGATCCGTGTCGCTTCCGTCTTCCACGGGGCCCGAACGTCACGCTTGAGGAGGTTCTTGCACTGTAGCAAGATGGCCCCGGTGGTAACGATCCTTTGCGAGGCAAGTGACAGCCGCGTCATCCGCTTGTAGTCCAGCAACAACATCTCAGGCACCTTGTCAATGGAGATGGGCGCTGGCTGCGTGAAGCAGTCGACAAGCATTTGCGCGTAGAACTTGTCGTCCGTTGGCCGAGACTTTGGGTGGTTAATGCCTTCAGGGTCTCGCTTGCGAACCTCGGCCATGGCCTTTGACCGAGCTGTACGCCATGCTGCCTCCGCCGCTTTCAAGCCATGCTCGCCGTTCTCCAACGCCGAGGCAAACCTCTTCTTCTCGTACTCAGGCGAAGACTCTATCAGCTGGGGGGCAGCTGTCGAGAATATGTAGTTGACGTAATCACAAAGCATCAAGTCGACAAACTCGGTCAAGGCCTCAACGCGGTCGACGAGGCTCCCTTGGTGAAGTTTGTTGGTAACCAAGTCCTTTGCCTCCTCGTCGCGGAACGGAGCACACAGCTTCGGTAAAAGTGACGCCATAGAAGCGAAGAATTTCTCGTACGAGAAACTTCCCATCTGGAACTGGCGCTCGGCCACCTCGACGTCGAGTATCTCTCCAATCGTGGTGTGCATGTAAGCGCCAGGCTTGACGAGCCGTTGAAGGTTGTCCTTGAAGTATCGCATCATTATGACGAAGTATTCAAAGCTGGCATCCATGTTGTCTTGCTCCAAGCTGGCCCGCATTCCAGCAAATAGGGGTATCTGTAGCAGCGTGCGATGTTCCCGGAACTCGCTCGCAGGAATGCGATACTCTCGGTTGATCGCAAGCTCATGAACCACAATGCGGTTGTCCGGCAGCAACCCGCTCAAGCCGGGCTTCATCTCGATTGGCTGTGGCTTGACATAGCCCTTGGCGGGAGTTGGTGGCGGCGTCAAAGTCTGCGGCTGCGGGGACACAAGACTTTCTGCTGTAGCTGAAGCTTCTCCAGCAGCGGTTTCGGCGACACGAGGCCTCATGTCTCCTGTAGGTTTCTTTGCTGCCCGCGCCTTGCGCGCCTTGCGGACTGCATCGGCAATAATTTTCTTGCCTCTTTCTTGACCAGCGAGCTTCTTGATCCGGACAATCAGTTGGATCTGGTTGCTCTTGATGCTTTCCCGGTACTGGTCTGCAGCTGCATCATCGGTGCTTTCTTGGACTGTCTGCAAGATCATGTCGAGCTCCACAAACTGCATCAACATTACTTGCACGAGCGATTCCGAGTCGCGCGACTTCCACGAGAGGAACGCATTGTAAAAGGTTGCATAGATCTCGGGCAGCGCACTGCGCAGACTCGGCGGCGGCGTGTAGTTGTTGGCAGCCGTCAAGCGAGACAGAATGTTCTCAAAAGAAATCAAAAGATCCCGAGCCTTGGTCACGAGGTCCTGCAGCTGCGGATTAGCAAGGTCATCACGGGGTATCGGCTGAGACTGTAGCAATCCAACCTGTTCCGCTTCCCCCGTGCCATCCTTGTTGCTTAGGACCTGCGTAGGGTGACCCAGGATGAGAAAGGCGCTGAGAAAGGTCCGCACAGCGGCCATCTCATCGACCGATCCAGACTCGCCTTCTTGCAGGCCACAGATCCGTAGGATGCGGGCAGTGCGAACAACCACCTTGTCCTGACCCAGCAGCTCCAAGACCTGGTCAAAGGACGTGTCACGCACGCTGTCGATGGTGAGTCCCAATTCGGAAAACTCAGCAACAGCATTCTTCCTAACGAGGCTCCTCCACCACCACTGCAGCCTTGCCGCAGCTGCAGCCTCGCTCAACACCGGGGTATCAGTCTCCGCCACTTGCGGAAGCGTCTCGGTAGGCTTCCGCGTCACCAAACTCTGGCCACGCACTCTCTTGGTGGCATTTCGATTCTTGAGCTCTTCCCTCCTCCGCTCCGCCTCAGCCAAGCGCTCCTCCATCTGTTCGCGCAGCTTGACCAGCTCCCGCTCTCTCTTCTCCTTCATGGTCTCGGCGACAGCCTTGGCCCTCTTAACCTCCTCGGCACATGATGCGACGATCTCTGCCAAGTTCCGCTCCCGGGCTTGTTGGGCGGCGATGGCGCGTTCTTCTGACACAGTGGTATCTCGGTGGGTGGCCTTGGCCATGGCGGCTCTCAGACGGACCTTTTCAGCGTGGGCAGCTCGGTCCGCAAGGCGGGCCTTTCGGTCTTCGAGGAAGGACGTGCGGCGGAGGTGCTGCGCGATATGCTTGCTCTGGGGGGCACCATGGCGGGTAAAGGTCTGCGTCGAGGAGCAGCGGGAGTGTGCGGAGGAGATGGAGTTGCGGCGGGAGGAGGCTGCGGAATCCTTGCGACGAGCCTGAGACGGTCGGTAAAACCGCGCGGCGATGTGCGGAGGCGGGGTGAAGATACGACCGTCGCCATCGTCTATCTCCTCGTCGGAATTCGGGGGCATCGAGAGGTCAACATCGGCAGTGTCGAAGTCTGATGAAGGAGATCCGATTGACTCCTCCAAGTTGCGCGACGGGTCTGTGAGGTCTGCCGAGGGGCGACGCATGCTGACGGCGTGCCTGGCTTCGATGTTATGGGGTTTCGATAGTATGAAGGTGTTCCGCAGTAACAGACTGAGACGACAATGATGATGGACCAGATACAAGAAGATCAAAGTCGCTACAAAATGGGGCCTGATGTTTTTATGTACCGTCGAGTCTGAGTGTATCGTATTTAACTAAGGAGGATCTCTCTCTCGGTGTGTTGTGCGCGTCTAACGGTCGCAGTCGTCACAATGATGGAGGATGAGTAAGTGAAGCGTCGCCCAAACCAAGTGTGAATCAACAACAATTTGATTGACTGAAGCCTAGCTGAATGGGGGGCAAAAGCGAGCGTGTGACGGGAGGCCGATTTAAGAAAATTTTAAGAAAAAAACAGCGAAAGTGTTTTTTTGTTTTTTCCGTGATAGAAACGACGCTCTAAAGGCTGAACCCGAAAGAATACAAACGAGGTAATACGACAGAACCGAAAAGGCTGGTAAGAATGGCGTCTTCCAAGGACGGGCTGGCAAGGATGGGAATCAAGAAGGTCTAGGTCTAGTTTAAAGGAAGGGGAATCATGGCTGAAGATGTGCAGGTGCAGGTGCAAGTGCGGTGCGGGTTACAGGTGCAGCAGGCAGGCAGGCAGGCAGACCAGGGTGGGCTTGGAAAGGCTGGGCCTCTCTCTTTTTTTTTTTGGTTTGGGCTGTTTGGGCAGGTTGGGCCTGGGTTGTGCTCGGTAAGGCGGGCTGTTAGCGGCGACTCAGAAGGCCAAAACTAGAACTAGAACTAAAACCCAGGGGTGGAAAAACAGAAAAAAAAACAAAAACTACCTGGCGACCTTCCCAGGAAACCCGGCTTGCTGGAATGACGGAAGCTTCCAGTTCTATTTTCGCTGTGCGCCGCAGTGTTTCCGCCCTGCTGACCGAGCACTCTGGGCGGCTGGCTGGGGGAGACGCATTGCACAGGATCTGCAGGTATGACAAACAGTGCATCACCCACTAAAATGATGCACTAGCGTCTTTCCACCACTTAGCGAAGCAAGGCCCCCTCCAGCGTCCCACCATCATCTCTCCGTCTCCCCTTATCATGCTTACCTTATCCGACAGGATGGATGGATGGAAACTGGGAGAGCGTCCGGTCATTCCCGTAATTTACTGTCTTACAAAGGGGTTGATAACCACTGTTTAATCAACTCTGGAGTCATTTCCTGACGCTGCCGGAAGCTTCAGGGACATCATCAGCGGAATCAGCAATCTGCTGTGTCGCATTCATCGACCCAAATTCCCGGGGTCTCACGGATCGCAGAATTCTTTGATTAGGGTGCAAGATCGCGGACTAGTCCGCATTCGGAAAGGCGCTGGCGTCATAGTCCTGCGATAATGCGACTCCAGTCACGTGGTGAGGCCCGGCCCCGTGGTCCACTGTCCACTGTCCACTGTCCACCGGCCGCCGCCACGGACACTCCAAAGCGGCTGTGGCGCGGTCCGGATAAACCTTGCCCTCTCCTGCAAACCGAACTGACCCCACGGCCATCCGGTCCGTCGCAGCGACACCGACCGCGATAGCCTTCGTGTGCCGTAGCTTCAACGGTTTGGCGCCCTTAGCGAGTCGTGGTATAACAGCACCTCCCATGCCACTAGAAAAAAAAAGCCAGCTCGGTCGCTAGACTCGGCACCATTTTGAAATCATGATCAACGTGCATAAGCCTGCCCAGTTCGCGCGTCCTGTGGTGCCGGTGCCATGTGGCCCCCGGCCCGGTGGCTTTCAAGTAGAAGGTCTCATGGCCTATTTGGGCTCTTGGCAAGAGGCACTCGAAGCACACTATCCACGGTTTTAAGAGTCAGTTATCGTGCTAATTTGCAAGACAGCTTTGCCCCCGGCCTTGCTGACCACGTAAAACACGAGTGAGATGGCGTCGAGACATTCGTTAGCGACGCCGAATATGGACTTACTATTCAGACATCAATATGTCTGTTTCTCAAGCCACTATAGCCATGCGACGAGTCTTTGACTACTCGATGCGCCATTCTAATCTGCGAGGCGGAAACACCGGCGCATAGATTCTCAGTCATCTTCTAGCTATATCACCGATACCTGTCGGCAGGCATCGAGAGAACTTGGTGATTCAAGGGTGCTTGTAAAACTGATCGGCTGATCCCTTTGTCGCTGCTCAACACGTAAGCTGGTGATGACTTTGTCTAAGATGTCAACGTCAACATCCGTTGTCGGTGATGAGATTCGGCTATATAGGCATACAACAAGCATAATCTTGGTCATCACCGTCGTCGTCATAATTGTTTTGTGTGGTAGGCTCCCGTAGGAGGGGCTTCGTCATCGCCAAAGACATGCGCCGCACCGAGGAGTGCGATAGGCAGCAACAAACTTGCGGCAATCTTTGCTTAGGAACATAGGTACATGATATTATGCCGATGGTGTGGCTGTAACAGGCATCCATCCTGGGTGGTGGTGGTAACCTGCTCCAGAGTCTCTTGGTTCGGTCCGTGGAGCAAGAGTCTCGACAGGGGCCGATACAAGCGTTGTAACTTGGACTTGTTACGTCAAGGACAAGATCAGCAGATTGTCGAGCCTGTGAACACGCCGTCAAATATCTTGAATGAACCACTCCAGCTCATGACGTTGTTGTGATGCCCAACTGGAAACAAACAGGTGTAATGTAGAACTTGCTGAGTATCATGCCACTCATGTGATTTATCCAAACGAACCTTGCTGTTCATCATGGGTCAAGGGAGCCTTGCAGAAGACAACTGCCTCAAACATGCAGGGCATCGGCAATGACTCTATGGTTCTCGTCGAAGAAGTATCCGGTACTCCTGAGTTGTTTGGTCATCAAGGCCTGTCGTTCAGACAAAGAGGGATACAACACTTGCTCACTAGTGCCGTCTGCTTCGCAAGAATATCACTGCACAACGGTTGACCAGGCCCTTGTGGGTATAAACTATTTCTGTCACATTATCACTAGACGAACAAGCATCTTTGCAGAGGAAATCAAGAAAAGAACCCCAAACAAGGAAGTCCCACATCCTGGCCAAGCCTGTACAACCTTGTCGAGGGCATCATATGTAGCTTAGTTCGTGGACAAGCTTCAGGGAATTTGTGTTTAGCCGGTTGGCTTACACTTGGTGTGTATAGAGAATACAATGCCAAGTGGCCGTACAGAGGCATTTACAGAAATCAAAGCAGATCTTGGTCGTGGAAGTGATTCCTGATGTCGACCTCGGGCCGAATGGCGAGAATACAGCAGGCAGAGTCTACACTTGCTGAACAGTGTCTCACCTGTCCTTGGTTAGAATATGTTGTGAAAGCACTTGAATGTAACTGACCAGATTCCGACGATACTCAGGGGTTCTGGTAGAGAATCAGCCATGGGTGTAATTCAAATACTTTGTCCCTGATGAAGGGGGGGCCGAAATGAAGCAGGAAAACAGAGCCCACCAGGACCATCTCGCGAAATACAGTCCCGTAGATACTGAATGCTACCAAAAAACAGCTCAGAAAAGGGCGTGTGAGTATCAGGTACTTGTCGTTCGTCGAATATGCAAAAGCATGGGCATGAAGCCATGGCCGTCTTTTGGCCAGCCGAACGGTTGCAGGCGAGGTTCCTCGAGGCACAGCTCTACCGGCGCCAGCAGTGACACTATCCTATTCTATTCCCTACTTTGGGTTGTTATTTGATAATTAAGCTTGCACTTTTCTTAGGGCTATTATAGTGTTCTATGCTCCTGACAAAAGGGTAGCAAGAACGGTTCAGGTCGAAAATCAAGAACATCACGATCACGATCAATGACAAGCAAATCAGGTTCATAACATCTACGGGATTCTATTGTAAACAATTCCTAGTTTCATAAAGTTGCCGTAATACAAGGCGATCAGTTGTATCTCAGTTTGAGATCGCCTGGAACTGGAAATAGGATACGGTTAAATGAAAGGGGGGAAGTAAGCAGCTTACCACTGACGAAACCACCACAACATAAACTTCAACTAGAACATTTCAGAAAGTCAATGTAAGATTACCGGCGCTTTCATACAAACAAATAATGTCCAATAAAACTCCAGCGCAACTTACTGCCCAGGTGAGGTTGAAGTTTCTCCATCACAGCATCGCAAGGGCGGCACGGTAATCCAGTCGGTCGGAATATCATGGCAGGGCGTGTTAGAACATAGACAGAAAGCCTATAACAAACCCTTTCAACAAGACAATCTTCCTGTCTATGACACTTCTGTCGTCCCAGCACGCCAAAGATCCGCAAAGAAGTAGACATATCAAAAATTAGGAGACTAAGTCATCATGTTTAGTTTTATCCAGTCCATTTCCATGCCAGCAAACCCATTTTACCTGCCATATAAGCCAAAAATTTAGAACAATGAAGCCCCTTCTGATACTCTTCCCTATTATTTGCAACAACAAACGTCTACAGTCGGGGCTCAGCAGCGACACGGTGTGTCAAAAACAGGCCACAGAAACGAACACCTCGTATGTGAAAGGACGCCATGACGTGGCCCGTCGTCGATCGAAACAAGACGCACAATTCCAAAAAAAACTGGGTTCACGAGAATACAGGGAGGTCCGCCACAAAATCGACAACCGGATTTTGTGCTTCTTGGCCCTGCGTAGAGAACCTCGGCGATCCCATTAACACACGCCGTAGAGGAGAGCTACACTCGGTGGCTCTGGCGAAAAGATACCGCACCACTGTATATCTGGATTTAGCTCACTCTCCATAATCCGGGGGAGGGTAACTTGGCGTCTGTCTCCGTTATACGGCTGGGGTTTCGGAAACTGACCGAGACAACCAACTCCTTCCCACCGCCTTGTTTGTTCGTTGGCCAGCCATTTGGTATTACAAAGTACAGGGCTCATCTGGGGCCTAGTATCGAGGGCAAGGAGTCCAGAAGTAGTTCCGGACGAGCTGTGATTATGGAAACCGAAAGGCGGGAAGACGTCGTGCGCGGGGATTGTAGTAACTACTGTGGTGAACACCAGGGTATCGCGGTGTCTGGAAGCCATGTCACATAGCCTCGCACCAAGAAGTTAAGCTATCAAGCAAGATCATTAGCACCGAAGAAGCTTCATTGTCCTCTGCACATCGTCTACGGAGTATGCAAAATGACTTGGGAAAGACGCGTGGAACTCTTACAAAAGATTCATCGTTGCGGCCCATTAGTATCGGATCAGTATGCCGACCTGTAAAGAATGCAGAGTGCCGACACTGCTCCGCGGAAACCTGTATTGTAACAAGCATCTAGACGGCAAACTTGTGGAGCGAGCTCAGGGGTAGCTGCTTGGAATTCCTTCAGTGCCACGACAGCTTCACAGAACGACCCCTATTCCGATTCGCGACGGCATTGAGAGATGCCATCGCGCACACATCTACTCATCTGTCGCGCTGTCTAGCAGTTCTCATTAGTCTCGTACAGTTCATCATGACAAGAGACACAAAGACTTACCAGTCTCAAGGAACCGTTTAGTCCGTCATCAGGCACGTTCAAGGAGAGAAAGTAACCCCCCTTGCCGCCGAGAAAACGGATAACGAGCAGCAAGACCATCGATGACGCCCACAATATGGCAAGCAGCACACCCACACAGGCCATCAGAACACAGACCTCGAGTGGCAAATGTTCGGCGACAAATGTAGAATAACCAGGGGATCATCGCAGCGCACCACTGTCACCAAGTAACAAGAGATCTAAGTCAAACATTTGCAACGCTTCATACAGCATAAACGAAAGGCACAGACAAACGCCCCTAACCCCCCACCGCACGTTAACCCAGGGAGCCCTCCGATCATCCCCGTAGCCTAACACCCAATACCTCAAGAAAACCCTCCGCCGAAGGGCTGAGATCTTCACCTTGCCTCCGAGGTGTATCAGAACGAAACCTTCGCGAGCGTCCAGAGTACATCCAACTAAAATGACATCCCGGGCCTCACTAAGGCCATGTGTGAGTCAACAAGTGCCGGAAAATCTCTTCCTGCAGCTCTTCACACCGCTTCAGCAAGTCATCCGTATCCGGGGCCTGCATATTCTTGACGAGACAAATAAGCTCCCGGAAACCTCGAGGTAATCCGGAAAACCAGACGGATCCTGCGTTGCAGAAACCCCTGAGACGGAGTTGACTCCGAGCGGCGGCGTCCAGCCAACGACAGCAGGAATGCGGCAAAACTGACCTCGGACTGCATGCGACACGGCACTACCGGCATCATGAGACGCCTTAGCTCAGGGAAAAAATTGGAAACCAAGCAAAAAAGCCTTGGGAGTCCGTCATCAAGAACGCCGCCAAAAAAACCGACCGCGTGACACTAAGGATGCTGCTCACCGACAAAACATATCCAGACACCTCAGCTACCGTCGAAGGAGAGAGCGCGGCAAAGAATTACAGTTTTGATAACCGGCTTCGAACCCTGCAACGCCCGCCCTCTTAGCATGACACCCTATTAGTCCCCATATGCCGTCTAATTCACACCCTCGGGACGTATCGCAGCTCTCTTCTCCCCTTTGCTTCGTAATATGCACAGGGCCATCGTAGTCGTCGGTCCGAATTCTCCCAGAACGAACTAGAAGACACAAATCACGCCCCCCCTCCCCTCCCCAGCATACGTCTGCTGACGGGCAATGATTGGAACACACCCATCGTTCCGTCGGAGCAACCTCCGATGTTGTATTTCGCGATTTGACAGAAAGTTAGTCAGTCAGGGGCAGGCAGCCTGCGGTTTCTCCTCAGGCGCAGGTTCGATCTGATCCGAACGATGGGTCCAGCTCTGATCGAAAGTAACACTTGCTGCAGACAAGGAGGAGTAAAGCCAACCCAAGATCCCAGAGTCGGAAGAAAGAAAGAAAGAAAAGAGGTAAGCTGCCGGAGCGGGCTGACGTTGGCGATCGGACGAAACCATCACGATCTCCTCCTCCCTCCCCCGATTCACATGCCGTCGATCTCCAACTAGGGGCCCGGGGGGGTTAAAGGACCAAGGTTCACTGACCTCCAAATTCGTGTAAGAAGGAGACGATTCGCCAATCCTGTCCCGGAGCCCTCTCCGAGAGAGCCTCACATGACGGGCTGCATTGTGAGTACCCAACGGCCCAGTACTTTCGCCCAACTTCAACTTTCCACCCTCGACTCCTCCCCCCCCCCCCCCCCCCCCCCCCCCCCACGCCTAGCAAACATCGCGACCCCAGGAACCCAAAAATTCCGTTGTACGTCCAAACTTTAAAATTGCCCAGTTACAGATGCTCCACGGGCGACAGAATCAGTGACATCATAAGCAATGGAGCAAACAGGACCATCGTGATGAGGCGAGCTGCGATTCTTAGGCTGTTGACTCTCCCCCCCCAGAGAGAGGGACCCTGGCCGGGATGGGATGGTGGGTTTTTTGTGCCAGCGATTCGGTGCCAGCCAGCGGCGTTCGCCGAAGAATCATGGAGCCCCATGTCTCGTCCGATGTGACTCTCTTCGTCCGCCCATCTACGGGGTGGGTTTCTAATGTTGCAAAAAGTCTCATGACTTGCATAGCCGACTCCAATATGGCCAATTAATGGTAGAAAACGGGAGCCACTTAATCACCATGAGGCTGAAGCTGGTCGACCCGAGGATATGAACCGCCGAGGGATAATATACGGGACCGTATACCGGCGCGGCGGTGCCGGATATGGGGTCTGTTATAGACAATGACTTCATCACAAGAAACGATGTTGCTGATGCTAGATACCGGCTGCCTCCTGGGGCACGGTATGCCACTTCTCTGGTTCTCTGCAGATATGCCAGCCTGCGTTGTCTTTGTCTCGAGGCCGAGCAGCTTTCTGGCAGTGATAGTTCAAAGTTCACAACACATGGCGATAGCCTCAAACTAAGGTTAAGATCACTAAAGGCCAAGAATAACACCGTTGAAGTCTGCATATGAGAGCCACGACGATATGCGATTGAACAGCAACAAGCTTCTCGGCCCTGCTCCACGGAAGAACAACTCCATGCAGTGATAGCAAGAGTTGCAGCTTGATTAGCGTCAAGGCCGCGGAGCTGGAGAAACTGATAACCAGGTGCCGACGCGCGTTAGGGCGGTAAAAGGCGCAAAAGACCCGGAGACAAGGGTCCGCCTGTCTTCCATCATGCTGCCCGCTGTTGTGCTGTTTGACGGGCCTAAATTAGGCGGGCAGACAAAACAGAAGCCAGGGCCCTGGAGCGCAGAACAGATGTGCATGATATGAAGAGGACTAGGGTGGTGGACACCCAGGAAATGTTCTAGATCGTAATGGACGCCGTCCGTTGAGGGTTTGCGGTGTGTGCCATAGAACGGTCTTCCCTGAAGACAGCAGCAAAAAAAAGGTAAGAGTGGAGTACTCCGTATACGCTGCGCTGCAGTAGCAATTTTCAGCTAGGGGGGTTTTAATAATGGTCGCTGTGGTGAGACGACCAATGCGGGGGAGAGGGAAGGGGGGTATCGGCATTACAAGCGCAGTAGCTGGCCATAGTAGTTAGTACCTTCGAAGTCGCCATTTTAGCACACATCGACTGGCTAGCATGCTGGGAACCCTTCTAGACTCGCCTATTTTGCCGATTATCGAGATACGACTAGACGATTGCGCCAGTGCTGAGTCTCGGGAAGAGGACAGAACGTCGCTACATGCGCATGTTTGCCAGAAAAAAAAACAAAAACACAATAACCAAAAACAAAAACGTGGCTTGGTGGGATGGAGTGACCGACAGGCGAGACTGCGTTGGTCCCGTCTTAATCGAGACAAAGAAGACACTACGACTCTTTCAGTCCAAATCCTTCAGCTCGTCCAGCATGTATGATGCCAAGACTAGAAGATATCCGAAGTGATGACGTTCGGATTACGGATTTCTCACAGACAACCCTTGGTACACAAAACTTTATTGGTAGTAGTGCAAAGGGGTGCTAAAGGAAGACGGGAGAAGGGGGAAAAAGAGGGGGGCTCCAGGGCTAAAAACAAAATAAAATAAAATAAAAAATTGACGATGCTTGAGTGTATGACGAAAGAATAAGGCCATTTTGCTGGTAGTGTGGATAGTAGCCATACGATGGAAAAAAAAAAAAAGAAGAGGTCTCCATCCATTCAACTAACCAGAAACTTGGTCCATAGTATCCGTGTGCGTGTGTATGCGCCCGCGTTTGAGAGACAAATTTGATAGGTAACTCTGGGATTACAGGACGTCTCGAAGCAGCAGCAACACCAGGCGGATAGGATGGGAAAGTTCTTGGATACTGTTTTGCTACTGCTACCCCAGCAAATCCAAATCGGAATTGGGGAGGCCACGGCGGATACCTCAATAGATGAGGGTAATTGGGGCGGCAACTAAGAGCCACTTGCCCATCCTTTTTTTTTTTTTATTCACCTAACGTAGCAGGTTGTAAATCATGAACCCTGTAGGCAAGGCCCTTGGTAGAGTTAAACGCTATGCAGCCCCGAAAACGGACTTGGCCCTGCGTGTACCCCCTAGCACATGGGGAGAGCTGTCATGAACGTGATGGCGGCCCTGGGTGCACATCAAATGGTCGAGACAAGTCCATAATGCTGACACCACCATCACACAGTCTGACGACCATCAGTGTCTGTTCCTCACGGGAGAGAAGAAGTGTGTATCTAAAGGCGTATCCAAAGGGCCAGCCCAGTGGGTGTCGCCGTATGAATTGTTAGGTGTGGTCACCATCACGAAACGAGCGAAGCAGGATTGGTGCATGGCGGCGGAGATGAGAAAAACCACTAAAGACCCTCAGGCGCGGTCACGGGTGTGGTCGCAAGGCCGAATGGAAGGGCGGCATGCGCTGGTATCCATCACACGGCATCTAACTTGTTCGCTCCCGTGGGTGCTTCCATCTATAGGCTGTGAAGTGTGGGATGACTTGGTCCGGCTCTGGTTCTGGCGTGATTAGCTGGTGACAGCGGAGACAGTGAACTGGACCCTAGGACCCTGATTTTCGGCCACGGATGTGAGAATAAGGGTGATTTCCTGGTGTGGGTTGCAACATTAGTTGGTTGCTTACAGGAAACAAAATCGAGGGAGACAGAGAAGAGAGATGCGGAGCGACGTCCGAAGGAGGTATCATCGTAGTTCCGACTAGCATCGCAGTCAACATCCCTCGTGCCGTCCCAGGTTGTAGGCGTAAGGGGCGCCAGCGCTAAGTTCAGTGGGGTTAGCGTTTCTTCCTTGGTTAAAAACTGGTCATGTTCTGTGTCGGTGAGGGGAAAACAAGGCTGGAGAGTCAATAGTGTATGTAGAATGCATTGCGTTGGGATGGAATGAGATTGGAATGTAGGGGGGGACGGCCCAGGGGGGAGACACGTCGGAAGGAACCCACCGTGGGAACGGGTAGGAAGAACTGAGTACAAGTCCGATTGATTCCATTAGACTCGGTAGAGACACTTGGATGGAAAATGAGGATGCCCGGGCAGCAACACCCAACGGAATGGAGAAAAATCGATTAGATGCGGAATATGCAAAATATGGCATGGGAAAGGGACACTCCAGGGGGCATCGGCAATGTCTTCAGGGAGGAAGGAGCACTATGGGAATGAGCTTGCCAAGATCTAGGTGGGAAAGTACCTCCCCAAGCCCCCCTCATCCTCATTCCTGCCCCAAGAACCCAAATTTGGAGAAGGACGGAAAGGAGCATGGGGGAGGGTCACCTTGCACCTTCTTCAGGAGAGACAGGACATGTATCTATAAGACACATTGGCTATCCGTAAATGCCAATGCAATTTCCCAGATCGTTCAGCCAAGGCGAGTAGGCTGCCAAACCTTCTCGAGAAACAAAACCTGAGCAATTCTTTAAACTACCTCATATAAATTTAAGTTCCATTACCTTTTCCCAGCCTCAACTCGGACGACTTTTAGATGGTAATAGTAAACTATTGGAAAGGGAAAAAAAAGTGAAAATGAACTCGGGGTTGAAGGGACGGAAGTAACAAATAAAAACAGCACATATCCGCCCACATAAGAGGGATTGCTACGGACACTCCGACCGACCCTCTTCACGATGGATTTGTTTCAGTCTTAACACCAGAAACTAAGACCCAGCGTGCCATTAACCCGTAAAGGGCGAAAACCTGGAACTTGCCAACTCACCTGAAAGGTTGTATGTTTATTGCTACATGGTATTTTGTTATAACTTTCCAGTCAAGTGGCCGCGTCTTCCAAGTTTCAAGTATGCCTGCTTAATTGTTGTCGTCCGTTGTTGTTGGCAGCCGCGCTGTCCAGCTAAGAGAAGTTGCGGTGACCCTGGACTGTGGGTGGATGAGATTTAGTGTGTGCGTGTGTTCGGTTGTGACCACCCCAAAACACAGACCGGCAGCACGGTGTTTTCGGCGACGGTCCGGCATGACCCCTCGCCAGGAACGTGGACATGTGTCCCAGGGTGAGAGTAGGGTGGGCAGAAAAGCCCAAGTCTTGGTGGTGTATTCGTGCATGGTATTAGTATCTGACTTGGCCTTTTTTGCTGCGAGGGTGTGCACGAGTCGAGCAGAGTTCGTGGAATAGTTCTAGGCCCTGAACATAAATGACAACAAACCGTGGAAGCAGATTCGAAGAGGGATGCGACACACGCAGCTCTTGGCCTGTAGACTTTGTGGATTACGCCGCATTTCACCCAGGAGCCCCAGTCCAAGACGTCAGCTGAATTTGATGACGGGTACCTGATTGTTCATAATGCTCAACTACGTCATTCCCGAGACCAAGTCCACCAACAGGGGGGCGAAGGTTTTGGGGGCAGAAATGAGTATTGCCAGGCGTCTCCTGGGCTTGTTGCTGCCTACTGCAACAGTCTGGACCAAGGGGGGAAAAGTTAATGATGAATGCAAAGATGAGCAAGCCTCAACATAGAACACCTCACAACGACCATTTAACTGCCCTCCACATAAGATAAGATAAGAGTATGCGCAGAGGTTGAAGTGGCTGGCTAGGAGAAAGAGCTGATCAACTGCTAGGGGTGAAGGAGGTACGGAAAGGACTTACCATGCCCGCGCCTGCTTAACTGGGCGTCTTTGTCTGGCTTGCGGTCCATGCTCCCACACTGAATGAATACGGGGGGTGCGATTGGCTAGTAGTTGGCGTTGAAAAGGGGTCCAGACTGGTCGACATTGAGATGATGATGCTAGATTTCTAATGTCTATGGATCCTATGACGTCAAGCCCATGCAGACCCACCCGCCAAATAAAGGCCAAATCTGGCAGTCCAGGTACGGGGAAAGTACCTTTCAGTTGCTGTCTCTGTCCCCCCTCTTGGCCCTCGACCTTTTGTAACAAAGAATGCCATTGCCAAACAACGCGAATTCAACACAAAACATAGTAGAACACCCACCCAAAATGCAGAAATCCAATGAGTCCCATCAAGTAAAATGCGCTATTCTTGGGGGTGTGTGCCTCGCCGAGGCGTGCCTTCTCCCCTCACACCTCTTATTTCTTTTCCCCTTCCTTTCCTTCCTTCTGATCCCCTCCCCTCGTGACTGACTGGCGGCGGTCTGGGGTTTGCCCTGTCCCTTCCCTGCCTCGCTTTAGACCGACTACTGGGCTCCTGCAAGCACGTTTGGCAGTTGTCCGCCATCAGTTGGCGCCTGCACATTTGAGCCTGGTGGCTATCTCAGTGGGGAGACTTTTTTGCTTTTGACATGCATTCCACGATCCAACGGGAAAATCTGATGTCAATCTGTACTCTTTTGCGATGCATGCCCCAGAGGACAATCAAACACAAGACTTTGGGGGGTTAGAGGGAGACGTGAAAGACAAAGGCAAAAAAAAAAAAAAAAAAAAAAAGAGAGGTACAATGCCGCGACTTGCAAGCGACAATTCGTCGGGCCCAGAAGCCCAGGTCTGCGCCATGCTTTCCTACTGGGGGTGCTCAACCGAGACTGCATCCAATGAGGGAGAGAGAAGCTGAGCCGATCCAAGAAGGCACCCGGGTTCTATGACGACGTGGATGGGGCCGCACCCTGTGGAAATTGGCAGCCGCTCGGACAGTGTTCCCGGGATACGCACTATATGCACGGCACGGAAAGTTGTGTGAGTATACAGGGAGGTCAAGGGAAGGTGATGGCAAAATGCTGACATAATGCTTCCAAAGACCCGGCTCCCAATAGGTTCACGGGTACCCGTGCGTGTAAAATTTCACGGGTACCCGTGGAAATGACTAAGCAACTCTGATATGGGGCTCATGAGCCAATGAGAGGCACGGCCTGCATCAAACTTATCCGGAAAGTTTACGACTTTACTACGATGCACTCTTCGGGCTTACTACCAGCGTATAACGCCTCCTGCTCTGCCTTATCTTGCTCGACTCGTTTCTAGACTTCGCTTATACCTCTCTTACTGTTTTTAAAGGGGTTTTGTCTATCTTCCGCAATAATCAGCTCATCGACCCGTTTGTGTTTAGCCCTATCCTAGTCTAGATAAGCCATTATCTCCTCCTTCGTCCAATCCCTTGACCCGTGTGAGGTAGTGCAGCGTCCTTTCATCTGCTTATAGTCAAGACACCACTCATAACACTTTTTGTCATAACGTAGCGGAAGTCCCATTGCCCTTCGATACTCCTGGTTTGTTTTGATACTCCCACGAGGTTGAGCACCGTACCAGGCGCTTCTTGCTGCACAGTACCGTCCGTATATCGCCTGAGGTGAATCGTATCCTGGCAGCGAAGGTGAATGCGAATGCGCAAATGGTGATAATACCCGAGGTGGTGATATACTGGTCTCTACTACTATAGCAATAGTCGGTTGAACCAACTCTGGTACGTCCTGCACGGCGTTTGAAGGAGGTTCTTGTGTATCTGTCGTCATCCCGGTAAATATCGCAGTTGATACTGTAGCTGGATCTGGAGTAGGTGTCGGTTCAGGCAATAAATGCGTGTATCGCAGAGGGCACGCCTTTGAAGTCATAGTATAGCCAACTATATGACACCTACTGCATTTGCTTGGGGCCCGTGAAGCAACTTCAACAACTTCGAACCCGCTAGGCTCTCGTCTAGTGCTTGATTTGGGAATACTGGGATTCTCTAATTGCAACCTGGGCTCTATGCGCTGGCGAGGCTCCAGCAATAGCTGCGGCGCTCCATCACGCCTCAAATGCCAATGTGCATGGAAGTGCTCACGTAGAAGAACAAGATTCTGTTCTTGTAAAGTCTTCAATTTGTGTAAGCATGGGAGACTATATACTCGAGAAAACATCCCCGTACAGGCTGTGGAAGGATTTGTGTCTTTCTTCGTGAGCAGCTTCCGTTGCTCTTCTACTTTGCGCAAGGCTTCATGCGATACCCAGCCAAGCACTGCGCCGTACATTGACCCTGAAAGCTCAACTAGTATCCGTATTTGCTATTTAACTTGATTTGACTTTAGATCCGATAGCTGATTTAGTAAAGCATGCTTCATTGCTCGCCAAGCTTCAAAAAGGTCTAATGTAGATCGTTTCAAGTGCGATTTAAGTAGTGCATGAATACCCTCAACTCGCGAAGTAGCCACATTGCCAAAATAGGTATGCTGATCGACCCAGGCTTTCACTAGCTTTTCCTTGTATGGTTTTAACCAAACGGACGTAACATAGCCGACTTCTTCGAGATGGTCTAGAAGATAGCGTTCCTCAAACTGGGAAACGCGCTCCTCAAAAACCACCTCAGATGGCGAGCTGATGATCGAATGCCAGGAGTTATAGAATTCTTCCTAGCTCTGAGTTGAAGGTTTGAGCGCTGCAGGATTGTTGACTGTCTTTGGCTTAGTAGAGTCAAAAGCTGGATTACAATGTTGAAGAACGGCCTTGTTCGCATGCCAGAGGCAAAGCAAAGATGCAGAAGAGGGGAAGATGGTTGCAACAGCGTTAATGCATGCTAAGCAGCGATCTGTGAGGATAACCGCAGGTAGGCTAGCGTTGCACTGACTATACAAGGATTTGACCCGCTCCAAAGCCCAGGTATAGTCATCTTCTACCTCGCCGCTAAGAAATGCAAACGCAATACAGAACGACCGTTGGCAAGCATCGATGCCAACTATATCAAGAAGTGGCATACTATACTTATTAGTCTTATAGGTACAGTCTAGTAACATGATGTCTGGGTAGGCTTGGAGAAGGGCTAAGGAATCTGGATGAGCGAACAAGACAGCCGTAACTCGGCCATCTGGTGCAAACTGCATGCGACTCCAGAAGCCTTCCTCATCAAGTTGATTGGCAAGTGCATGGATCGAGGTCTGCCCTTCACGAACATCTCGTTTAGCGGCTGCAATATGATTGTAGATATCCTGCTGGGTCGCTATAGAGTCTGTCGTTTGTCGTATGTATGTTCTGATGTCCCTGGGTGCGACGCCAGCGTTTGAAAGACCGGCCACCTTGGCTTGATCCTCCTCAGATAGCTTGCGATGCGTTGGGTGAGCAGACGGATGTTGGCTTGGGGGATGATTATGAGAAGAAAAACGCTTATCGGGCCGGTGTCTCAAGCTCCATGTGCTCTTATCCAAAGATTCCTTAGCAAGGACGGAAAATTGACAACCAGTCCCCCTACTAGTAGTTTGCCTTTGCCGCGCTATTGATGTGCTTGGCGGATGACACGACCTATCGCATGAATATGTAATCGTCCGTCGTCCGCTTTTCTCCTTTGTTGATCTCCCGGTAGTGAATGCGTATCCCTTTGTCGCCGCCCAGTTGTTGATTGACATAAAAAGCTTATCGCGAGATTTATGATCGCTTTCAGGGGGGAGACTGTCGTCTGGGAATGTGAGTATTGAGTCTTTGAGAGCTATTTCCATTTTTAAGAATATATGACTGAAGTGCTGGATGCAAATAACGCGTGAAAGGTGTATGACACAAGACGCGTTCATTGACGTGGGCAGGTTGCTTAGTCATTTCCACGGGTACCCGTGAAATTTTACACGCACGGGTACCCGTGAACCTATTGGGAGCCCAAAGACCCAGTCATCTTACGTAACAACACCGTATTTACATACAACTATACAGCCAAATTCCCACCAGCACGCCACAGGTCTGGCACAGGTCTGAGGTCAGAATCTCCGCCGGTTAACCCCAACCCGCCGATCATTCCCATCCAGGACGACACACGACCTCATCGGACATCACACCCTCTTTTTTTTTTTTTTGCCCTTTCCGCCTCCACTCATTACACGCGCCGCTGCTGCTACTCTGTTATTCTGTGTTGTACTCTGGACCTGTTCTAGCAAGATTACAAGGGTATAGCCATTGCGCAGAGGGCAGAACATTCAGGGCACTCAGGGCAATTCTGTGACTTGCATCCCAGGTTATTGGGTGGTCCCGTCCTCGTAAACTACACCCCCCTCTTGTATCTGTAGACAAAACCAACCTCTCTGTAATTAGGAGCATCTACGTGTACCTCTCTGTTCCTCGCCGAGCCAAGACCCCATTCGTCGCCGTCGCAATCCACTGCCTTGGGTTGCCATCAGAGCTTGTTTAACCTCCTTCGCTTCTCACAACCCATCGCATTTTTACCACACACACCACCATGAACAAAATCAGAGAAGAGAGAGTAAAAAAAAAAAAAAAAAAAAAAGCCCAACGTCCCAGACACACCAGAGTTATCACTTTCTGGAAAAGCCACACCGAACAACCCAGTGTCTGGCCAGACCCATCCACAATAGAGAATAGGAAAAAGAGCAGCAAAGCCATAGCCAGAACCAGACCCAGCCATCGTGAGTGTACCACAGTCGCAACACCACACCTGCTTTTCTTTCTACCCACCCCCGAAGATCCCTCCCTCCCTGTCGCCAGGGGCCCCCTTCTTCCTTCTCCTTCTTCCCCTTCCCTTCCTCCCAGCAAAGGACCCTTTTTTCCCCCCCTCTGTGTATGTATGTATGTGTGTGTGTGCTGCGCTGCTCACTCAACCTCTTTACCTTGTCTCTTCCACACCCCCCCCAGACTTAACCGGGTCCTCCTTTTTCCTCGTGTCTGTCTTGTTCTTCGATTTCTCCACTGACCCATCTGTCCGCCTTCCTTGGTCATCTTTACTCACCCAGTATCAGGTCCCAACTGCAGTTTCTATCGTTTTGACTTTGGTCCTCTGCGGTGTGCTGGCTGTGTATGCTTGTTGCCCGTTGTCAACTGACTTTACTACGTTCAACCCGAGGCGTCGTCGTTTCCCACAACACTGGATCTCGGGACGCCGAACGCCACCACCACCACCACAACCACCACCAATCTACCCTGTCCCGTCCTTGTCCTTGTCCTGTCCAGTCTGTGTCTGTCCTTGTCAGCTCAGCCCAGTCAAAGTCACATTTCATCCCCGAACCCCGTCCCGTGTCCCCAAAAGAGCCTCCCCAGGAGTCAGTCAACACAAGGCGCAAAAAAGGGCCAGCCAGCTTCTACTACCACCAACCACTGCTATTGCTACTACTACTTCTACTACATACATCTCTTGACTTCGCTGCTCTCTGCTTCGACCGGGTTTAGATCGCCACTTGTGTCCCGTCACGTCAGAACCTCCCCCCGCAACCTTCTTTTCTCTCTAAAAGACCCCCCACTGCCTTTCCCTTTTTCCTTTCCCAAGAGCCTCTTCTGCACACCCTCCCTCCATTTCCCCTTTCCCTTTCGATCTATCTGAACCCTAGCCTGCCTTTAACCGTCCCGCCAAACGCCATACCGCAATGGCGCTATAACTGAACCAAAGGGCCTGATCACTTGGCCGTCGTCGGAAGCATCTTCTTCAGCGCATCCGTGGCTCACATCAAAGCACTCCAAAATCGACTATCCATCCTTCTTTTCATCCAACACACCCCCCACCGAACCCGCTCTCACCATGCTCGACAAAAGGAGCAGCGACGGGGCAACGTCCGTCCACTACACTATGAAGACTCCTCATTCCGCTCCCAGGGCATCGCCTGGGCCACGCCCAACACATAGCCACTCCCACTCACAATCCAAACTCTCAGTCACCGCAGCCGTTAAGAGTCCCAAGCCTACGACCCCGGCAGCATCTCCTAGGATGCCATTCTCCGTTGGTCAGCCTTTACCCCCTCAGAAGCTGTCACCCGCACGACCTGCGGAACCAAGGGCAGCGAGCCCCAACTATTTCGGCCTCGTAGTCGAACAATCCGTCGATCCAAGAGATTCCTCGGCGATGCCACGAGACAACTGGAGCTCCCCGACGTCTTCAGTCAAGTCATTCGCCGCCGCTCTGCCCAAGCAGGTCCCTATCGATGCTAACCCCGACTATGAGGCCTTCAAGCGCCAGGCGGACTTGAATCGTGGCAAGGGCTTCAGCCTATCCTCCTCACACTTTCCTCACGCGCCGCCCAACCCTACCACTCTCCGCCCTCGCCCGCCAAGATGGAACACCCACGCAAGCGATTCGACCTCTGACTTCTCTATCCCGCGGGTGACCAAGGAGAGGCCCATTAGCCGTATGGACATGGACCAGGAGAGCAGCCACGACTCGGCCTATGTGTCTTCAGAATCGAAGCGCAACTCTGAAGCTTCGATAAACCCACCACCGGCAATTTTGAACTTGAACCTCCCGAGATTCGAGTCACCGAGGCCGACTGAACTATCGTTGGACCGTAGAACAACCCTGTCCAAAGTCGATGACCGCCACCCGAGGATGTCGATATCCGAGAACAGGGTTGACCCCCCATCTCCACGTAGTAACGGAGTGAATCAACCTCGAGCTGAGACTCTGCCGCCGACGATGGAAAACGGTCCTTCGTTGATTTCACCAGCTCAACTGAAAGGCATGATCGAGGCTAAAGACTCCAAGACGGACCTCCTTCTTTTGGACTTGCGAGTTTCTCAGCAATACGCTCAGGCACGGATCAAGAATGCTCTTAATCTTTGCATTCCAACGACTCTACTCAAGCGGGCCACGTTCAACCTGACCAAGCTGCAGCAAACATTCCAGAATGTTAACAACGAAGAGCAGTTCTCAAAGTGGAAGGCGACGAAGAACTTGGTCGTGTACGATGCGTACTCGGCAGAAAAACGTGATGCAGTGTCTTGTATGAACATGATCAAAAAATTTACCAACGAGGGTTACACAGGCGGCACTCACATCCTGCGGGGCGGCTTCAACGCATTCGCTGATGCGTACCCGGAACTTGTGGACGAGGGGTTGGGGCCCGAGATCAACGGTACCTCTCCAGCTGCAGCCAATAAGGGTGGAAACCGGCCCGGTATCGCACCCGTCATAGGAGGTGTGATGCTGCCAATGGCCAGCAACAACCCCAACCCTTTCTTTTCCAACATTCGCCAAAACATGGATCTTGCCGATGGTGTAGGCCAACTAGACATCGCTAGGCCTAGCGGCATGGAGTCGCCCACCCTGCCCCGTTGGCTCCGAGACGCATCCAAGCCCGGCGACCATGGCAAGCAAGTCTCGGATAAGTTCTTAAACATTGAAAAGGACGAACAGTCTCGGATGAAGGCGGCATATTCGATGTTTGGAGGAAACCAAAAGGACAAGAATGCACCTCAGCTTTGTGGTATTGAAAAAGGAGGCAAGAATCGGTACAAAGATATCCTGCCGTTCGAGCACGCGCGCGTTAAACTTCAAGGTCGTCCTGAGGGAGCCTGCGACTATGTCAACGCCAGCTATGTTAAATCGTCCAGGAGCAACAAGAGATACATCGCTACCCAGGGACCGCTCCCGGCTACTTTCGATGTAAGTAATCTCGACCACTGGATGATGGTTTGTGACTGAGGCTAATTGTTGTAGGACTTCTGGTCTGTCATTTGGGAACAAGACGTTCGGGTTATCGTCATGTTGACTGCCGAGTCGGAAGGTGGCCAGCTGAAATGCCACCCCTACTGGCAGGGTCGGGAGTTTGGTTTACTCAAGCTGAGGTTGCTCTCTGAGAAGAAAGTGTCGCTAGACATTGACAAGCATCGCACCAACCAGGGATCGGCAGCACCTTCAGCGGCCGCCGCAGCGGCAGCGGAAGCTGGACGCCGCCGTGCCAACACGACAATGACTGGGCCCACCGCTACCGCTTCACCTGTGCCACCGCAGGGCGAGACGCCTCATGTCATCGTTCGGAAGTTTGCCTTGTCCCACGCGTCGCATCCTTTTGCGCCCATGCGTGAGATTACTCACCTGCACTACCCATCTTGGCCGGACTTTGGAGCTCCTGCTCAACCTTCCCACCTGCTCGGTCTCGTGAGACTGGCGAATTCTATGCAGAGCTCAGCCAAGCCACTCGACACCATGGCAGCTGTCCGGGCGTCGCCGGAGCCGGAGTCTGCTGACGAGCCGGAGATGAACCCAAGGCCTAGGCCAATGCTTGTTCACTGCTCTGCAGGCTGTGGACGAACTGGGACATTCTGCACGGTGGACACCGTCATCGATATGCTTAAGCGGCAACGACTTGCCAAGACGAATTTGAAGCCGGTCCGAAAGAGGGACTCGGATGGTGATATCAAGATGAGTGGTCAATCCGAAGAGGCTTCGCCACGCGAAAAAGTATTCGATTTCAACCCAAGCAGCCGCCGATCCAGCACCGATGTGCGACGCGCCTCTTTGGATACAACTCCGCCCTTGGACACAAGTTGGTTAAATGACGACTGCGATACAATGGATCTCATTCAGAAGACGGTAGAGGAGTTCAGAAACCAGAGACTGAGCATGGTCCAAAGTTTACGGCAATACGTCTTATGCTACGAGACAATTGTCGAATATGTGTGGAGACAACACGAGGAGTTGAAGGGTGGAAGAGCCCGAAGTGGGAGTTTACAACTCACGGGGGACATTTAATAACGATTCGACTAGAAACTTCAGGACCGTGGGAAAGGAAAGGAGGACTCGCGTGGAATCGTAATGCGATACCCCTGGATGGTGAGAGGTGCCAGCATCAGTGAGCAGTGGGAGCATATTGCATTCTGTTTATTTCGCGGTAACAAGCAATGAGGATATAATAAGGTCCTGGGATAGGGCTTATGGCATGAGGAAGGCGTTTGGGGCATTCGAACAGCATACCTTATGATGCATGGGCGTTTAGTTTCCATGTGCCGTCCATGGCACTGGCATGTTTGGATCCGGTTGCGGCCGGACCTTGGATTTGTACACTAGAGGCGTTCACAAAGACAAGTATAGAGTAAGCGCTACTTGCAGCTGCTCTTTTGACCTGAAGAAGTTTATGTCCATCATGAGTGCCGAGTGCGGGTGAAGAAGTGATCTTGAATAGTCAACGAAATGTTTTTTTCCTATGATGTATCTATCATTTGTAGCCTGGCTGTTGTAAGTCCAGATTTTGAACCCATAGGTGTCATCGCATCGGACATACTCGACTCACTCTCATGTTAACATATGAGAAAGCAAGGCACCCCGTATTGATCTCCATTTTGAGTCATCTTTTGGTATCATCTGTTGTGTGACCCTTTTCACGACGGCATACTGGGGGGCAGAGTGGACTATTGACGTACATCATGAGTCGTCCTCGAAACCAAGTCGCCACCCGGAGAGCCCCGGGTGACCAGGCACTCACTCCAGCTTTCATACCGAACCCCCCCGTCTCTCACACCCCCTTTTCCCACCGCCGCCGTCTAATGTGTCTGTAGTCGAACATTGAGCGAGAAATCGTCCGCCGCGGACCAGAGGTGCCCGCGAAAAAAAGAGTGTGACCACTTGGGCGCCCCGTAACGGCGCGAATCAGGGTTTGTAAAGGACGTTCGGCGAAGTCGGACTGCTATTCTCTTTTGTTTCGGATCCTCTCTCGAGGTTTTGCTTGTCCTCCTTTTTCATGTACGCTGAAAAAACGTAAGGTCTGGCGAGATTTTTGCCCGTTACTTGACCTGTTTTTTTGCTCCGGCACTTCAAGGAGCCTTGGTTAATAACATTTGCGCCGTTCGACGATATTCCTAGTCTGTCCTTTTTCAAGAAGACATTCTGTTGTTGCGTTGTTGCGTTGTTGCTTGAAATCCGCCGGTTGTAGTCGATATTACCAGATCCATATTGCTGAAATGATCAAAAGAGGACGTTATAGGTCCTTCTTGCTTGATCGTTGGTAGGATTCAATGCAATGATATCTCGTTGGCAGCAGGATATTGTGGAAACCCCTCGGGATTTGTGGCTACTACTTTTTGGTAGTCTCGGGGATCGCTTCCGTGGTGAATGGAGTTTCCTACGGATGTATTTTTGCATCTAGCTAAACTTCTGGTAAAGGGAAGTCAAGTTCGAGGGTGTCACGGTCCTACCCGGGCCGTTCTGACGCTTTGCATGTAAGATGGAGAAAAAAGAAAAGGGGGGTTAGCTTGTCGCAGGGTCGTCTGGCTGTTAGACACTTCTGCAAGACTTGGAAGGACAGGGAAAAGAAGGGGAAAAAACAAAAGTGACAACTTTGTTTCCCCCTTTTATAGAGAGACCCTATAGAAACAACGTTCAACAGGTCAAGCTGGACTGCTTACCACCTGAACGAAGCATAAGCGGTCTGGCACCCAACAGTCGCCTTTGGCCTTCACAACTGTACCATGACATGCACCACAATATACAGAGACATGAAATGGATGGAAAGGGTGCAAGTCATCGTGGCTGATTCCATGTTCTATGTAGTCGTACATATTAGCCGTACAAGCGGCCACTGCATAATCGCGGGCGCTGTTTCCACATCCCTGCCATTCCCAACTCCCGCCAAACCAAAAAGAAGCCTTCGTGCTGCTGCTGTCGCCCTCGCCCCTCCCTCTCCTTTGTTTTTGCTTACTTCCAGAGCTTGCCGAGGGACACTTCCTTGTCGTCGTGCTTGTTGAGAATCTTGGCGGTGGCAAGCTCAAAGTCCTCCTGGGTGACGTGGACTCTGCGCTCACGGAGGGCGTACATGCCAGCTTCTGTGCAGACACCCTTGAGCTCGGCACCGGAGCAGCCGTTCATCTTCTCGGCGACCTTGGTCAAGTTGATGCCTCTCGTCAGGTTCATCTTGCGGCTGTGGATACGGAGAATGTCGGCACGAGCCTCGACGGATGGTGGGGGGAATTCGATCTTGCGGTCGATACGTCCGGGACGCAACAGTGCGGGGTCGAGAATGTCGAGACGGTTGGTGGCCATGATGACCTTGATGTTCTTGGTGGGCTCGAAACCGTCGAGCTGGTTGAGGAGTTCCAACATGGTGCGCTGGACTTCTGAATCACCTCCCGAGGAGCCCTCCACACGAGAAGAACCGATGGAGTCGATCTCGTCCATGAAGATGATGGAAGGGGCGTGTTCGCGAGCCATGACGAAAAGCTCACGGACCATACGGCTACCCTCTCCAATGTACTTTTGCACCAACTCGGAACCGGAGACACGGATGAACTTGCAGTCGGTGTGGTGGGCGACGGCTCTGGCGAGAAGGGTCTTTCCGGTACCGGGAGGGCCGTACAGGAGGACACCCTTTGGTTGGGCGATACCAAGGGACTCGAAGAGCTCTGGGTGCTTGAGACCAAGCTCGATGACTTCCTTGATTTCCTTGATCTGCTGATCCAGACCACCAATCATGTCGTATGTGCTGTCGGGCACCTTCTCGACCATCATGAGGGAGACGAGGGGGTCGACGGATGAGGGGAGCATCTTCTCGAGCTTGTAGCTGTCGGACAGCAGGGTTACCCGCTTGCCAACGGTGAGCTTTGTGATGTCGACATTGTCGGAGACGTCAACGACTGCGATGGATTCGGGGTTAGCACTGCATCAGGGTGAAAGTGGGAGGGGTCATGCAATCGTCAAAGACATACCGTATTTGCCTTCCGGATGCACCTTGACCAGGACCTTCTTCGTGCTCATGACCTTGACGACCTCACCGACGTATGAACCAGGCTGCTGCAGCAGACCCAGCTCTTCCCGTAGTAGGCGCACGCGGGAGTTGTAGTCATTTCTTTGAGCTTCGAGACGGCGGAGAACTGCTTGACCCTTGAGGATCTCAAGCTTCATAGCCTCAATCTTGTTCTGGTAGTAGCTGTCGAGCGCCATCGTGATGGATGCCCCGAGGGAGGATAGAATGGGGGTTAAAAAGTGTCTTCTCGATGATTGTGTGTTAAATACCGGGGAGCTCAATGGGATTCGTCGAGGTTCGCGAGGTGGTGGAGGGTGGTGGTTGACGTCGCCGGGGTTTGGGTGTGGTGATGGAAGCTTGTCGTTGTGGAAGCTCGATGGATTCGGGAGTGACAGGGCTGGACGTCTGTATGGCTGGCTGGCTCCGTCGGTCGGTCTAGTCAGCCGCAGGCAAACGACAGTCGACGCGTTCGCAAAGGTGGGGGATCACGTGAGAGCTACCTCCCGGAAGTGTTAAAGCTCTGGAGGGGATTAGAATGCCTTAGTAATCATTTCGGAGGGAGAGAATATCCGATTGCCGGGTTTCTGGAAAAAGGCGATTGTGGTCCGTGCGCATTGCTATGTATGGTGTGGAAGTACGAAGCTGTGAGAGGAATGCGCAGTGACGTTTAGGCACTCCACTCGGCAAAGTGGAGTGCTGCTGCGGCGGAAGATGTGCGATGTCGAGCACCTGGACACAGGTGGGACCCTTTTTCGAGGATCGAGGTGCAGTGGGACAGATAGTGTGGTAGACAGAGTCAATGTCATGGAAGAGGCCCCAACAGCGGGTAGACCGCTACAGGCTCCTCCATACAGGCAGTATCCGTACACTACCTTGTACATAGTAGAAGGAAATCGATCGCCAGACGCGGCTCATTGAAGTTGCACCCTGTTTTGGGGCGCAAAGCAGCGGTGGACGATGGTCCTTGGAGCATAAGCCGGGCACTAAGCTGATTCGGGGGGAAGCTCTAGTTGGCCTTGTCTGGGCGATAGCACCATCATCCATGTTGTTCAGCAACTTTAGGGTGCTAGGCAAGCAACGCTTACTCCACACTGGGTGCACTGGAAGAGCTAGCGGGATCCACTTAACATCCGCTAGATTGCGTTCCTACCCTATCAACAGACCGCCGAAGGTCAGGGAAGGTACGGAGTGCAGGTTTGCGCATGTAAACACCAAACAGAGACATCTGGAGAACAAGACTGTGTACGGAGTCCACATTGCTCTCTGGGTGTTTATACCAAGAGAATCTGAGACAGGACTAGATGTGCATGGGATGGATTAGTAGCCATAGACGTTAGTTATAGGCGCAGTCGCAGTCGCATTCGCCGTCACACAGCACCAAGCATACAGCACAAAACACACACAGTGGTATATGCACTGAATGAAAAGACAACAGCAGCCTCCATGTTCTTGCTTCCCCCATTAGAGGCCCGTAAAATCAGATGCACATGATCATCTGTTGCACACACAGCTTGATCAACAATAGGAGATTCCTGACTCGGACATGCCAACGTGAGCCTGGTGAGAACCGTCAATGCGACAGGAAAAGCGCGGTCGCGTACTATGTTTATGGGGACAGGAACACCCTCGATGATTCCACCTGGTCCTGGTCCGTCCACTGGAGATGGAAAGACCGGCGGTGGGAAAATGAACATGGGATGAGAGAAAGAGCTGTCGCACCACCACCAACCTGCCTACTTCCCTACTTAGTGGAAATAACTCTTTTTCATTCTTTCCTTATCGTTTTTTCCAGAACAGGAAAGGAAAATCTGCAGTGGGAAGGGGAATGGACAAGGCTTCTCCGTTGTAGCCATCATCACTGAATTACTCTGTTTCTCTCACTCTCCCATCGCATCATTTCTCCTCCTTTTTTCTTCATCATCCTTCTCCCGGCCCGCCTGTCGTTTGTGTTTGTTGTTTACTACCGTAAACCACCACAACCCAATACCACGGGCTGGCTGCCTACCTCATCTCACCTCTCACCTTGCTGACCTATCCCATCTTACCATCAACCATCTCTTTTTCTTTCCTTCTGGCTACCGTGCTCGACTCCTTCTCGACCCATCTTTGGGCCCTCTGAGGAATCCTAGAAATCTTACCCGAGCTCTTGGACCACTCGCACCTCATACACGCCACTCTCGGTAACGGCACGAGGACTCGACAGACTAATTTTCCTTTTCTGTCTTACGTCCGCTCTGTTGTTTCAACACAACACAGAATATCGTAACCAAAAATTCCAAGCTCGAGGCCAACCCAAACTACGCCCGAGCCTCCATCCCCGTCACCGTCCACATTAATAACCCACATCTCCGGTACCTATCATTCTCTCCACCGTTCCTTATCCATCGTCTCCAAAAACCACTGCGCGATCCATCGCCGCCCACCATGGATCCCTCTCCGGGGCCCGACACGCCCACAACGCCCGCTCATCCCTCTCGCGATACATCATCTGCCGCTTCGCCCACCGATACTCGTCATAACCCGACACGCTTCGAGTCGTACTCTGTCTCGCGCGACGAAGGTCTATCCGAGAGCTTCCAGTCTTTCCAATCCACGGACACGGTGCGGAGGCGCCCAGAAGCTGGATACGGTACGTACGACCCGCTGCATGCCCAGAAATCTAATGCGTCTTGGTCCTCCGAGTTGCCGAGTGACCCAAAACAAAATCCCTGGCTGACGCCCACCGCACCCCCGTGCGCGACATAGGTTCCATTCAGACACAAGGTTCCGCTTCCCAGTATTTGGCCGACTCGTCTGCCCACGACCGCTCTCACTCTCGTTCTGCCCAAGCTGCCCGATCTCCCATGATGGGCCCCGAACGCCCAAAAGCAAACCGCCCGCGAAAGCCCCCCATGGCACGGAGACTCTCGACAAACCCTTCTGCGCCGCATCGCGGTGAAGTCTTCTCTGCCGACGATGACATTTACGAGGTTGAGGCTGACGCGGCCGAGCGTCAACAAGAACAACACCGCGGCTTTGGCACGCGCCGCAGAATCCAGCTGCCGACCACTCTCACCCGCGTCCAGTCGTCTAGAAGCGAGCACGGCGATGATGAGGACAACGGACCCCGAACTCCCAGAGCTGAAGATGTCCTGCCCGAGCATTCCGAGCACGTCCCTTCTGTCCACGAAGATGAGGATGTTGGAGCTGAGTCTGATGGCGACGTAAGCGATGCTGAGAGCTTCACGCTCAAAGATCGCCAGCAAGCCATCAACGAAACTCATCCTTTCGGTATAAGGTTATGGAAGCCTGCTCTGTACAAGAAGGATCGTTCGGTGCAGAAGAATGCCGAGGGAGATATCCATTCCTCCCCTGGTGGTCGAGTCAGCAGTTGGCTCCTCTTTTTCAACCTTCTCTGGACCCTGTTGTTCGGTTGGTGGATGGCCACCTTCGCCGCTCTTGGTGCCCTAATTTGCTTCTTGTTTGCAGCAACTCCTAGCGGCAGAGAGTACGGTAGAGTCCTGTGGGGACTGGCCAGCTATCTCTTCTACCCCTTCGGCAAGTACGTGCGCCTGGAGCAGGACGAGGCGTACTTGGACGAGGATCAAGGTGAAGGACGAAGCATTTCCGAGTACGAGCAGTGGCAGAGTGGTGATCTGGAATATGGTCGCCTGTTTTTCGGCCCGGACGGTGCGGAGCACAACCGCTCCATTGTTGGCCGCTCAAGACGAAGCATAGATTCGGAGCCGAGCGAGACAGATAGCCTACTGGGCCGCACCAGACGCGGTGAGCGAAGCGAGACACCCCCGAGACTCAAGCGTCGTCTTTTCGGACGAGGCCAGTGGAACATCGGCCGTGTTGTCTTCTTCTTGTTCTTCTACCTGCTGCTGTCGCCATCTCTCATCCTGGTCTCCTTGGTCTGTTGGTTCTTGGTGTTCTCCATTCCCATGGGTAAAGTCACCATGCTACTCTTCGACCACCTACGCCGGCACCCGCTGGCGCTCTCGTTCGAATCCGACATTAGCCTCGCTCGTACTGCCGATGCGCCTCACTCATCCATCTTGCTGTGCACCTACCGTGCTGTCGGAATCAAATACTGGAAGTACACCATTGACGGAACCAACGTCTTCTTGTTCAACCTCATGGGCGTTGTCTTCTTCGTCATCTTCGACTGGCTTGTCTTGGAGCGTGTTCTAGACCTGCATATCTTCATCACCTCGCCAGCATTCCTCTTCATCGCAGGTCTGTTCTCCATCATCCCTCTTGCCTACTTTATTGGCCAGGCTGTTGCTTCGATCTCGGCGCAGTCATCCATGGGAGTAGGTGCCGCCATCAACGCATTCTTCTCCACTATTGTCGAAGTCTTTTTGTACTGCGTCGCTCTTAACGAAGGCAAAGGCCAGCTCGTAGAGGGCAGTATCGTGGGAAGCATCTTTGCTGGTATTCTCTTCCTTCCTGGGTTGTCCATGTGCTTCGGTGCCATCAAACGCAAGACTCAGCGCTTCAATGCCAGATCGGCTGGTGTCACCTCGACCATGCTTCTGTTCGCCGTTATCGGTGCCTTCGGTCCGACGCTGTTTTATCAAATATACGGTACTCATGAGCTCAACTGCTTGGACTGTGTCAACAATAGCGGTATTGGGGATGGCCTCTCACCTGTTGGTGATGGCCGTGATTGCCGCCGATGCTTCTTCTCCCAGACGCCGGCCCTTGACGACCGCTTCTATCTTGAAGCCGTCAGGCCTTTCTGCTACTTCTGCGCCACCTTGCTGTTCCTTTCTTACATTGTCGGACTTTGGTTCACTCTGCGGACACACGCAGCCGTTATCTGGAATTCCGAGATTGACGAGAAGAAGCATGAGGAGGCGCATGCTCATGCGCAAGCCGCTGCTAGACAGTCGGGGCCTCACTCTTTCGCAGAAACCACTGGTACCTCTGTCGATGTTCGCGATTCTCATCTGTACAAGCGGATTCTTGGCCAGTCTCTGAAGCAGGTTGGCTTGAACGCCAAGGGCGAGGATATCTCCCGTCAAGGCTCCATCACCGGCCTGGGACTCAACCCCGGCAACGGCAGCGCCAACACTCCGCACGTAGTACCCCCAAAGATTGATGACAGCGATACTGTCCGGTCGGCTGTTCACATTCCGGGCTTTTCAGAGGCAGAGAACAACGCCTTGGTTCGCGAGGTCGCCGAGATGGCCGCTACTGCTGCTACACTTGCTGCACGGGAGCGCATGCCACGCAGAACCTCGCAGCAGCCTGGTGCCTCAGCCGTACCGACGCCTCGTCCTCCCGCTCTCCGCACTGCGGTCTTCCCCGAGAATGAGGACCCTGCTGCGGCCAGTGCCGCCCAAGTTCCCCACGGCGGACACGACGCTCCCAACTGGAGCCGAGGCAAGAGTGCTTTCATCCTCATGGGCGCTACGGTCTTGTACGCCATTATCGCTGAGATTCTCGTTGATACCGTAGACGTCGTCTTGGAAGGTTTTGCCATTGACGAGAAATTCCTGGGCATCACTCTCTTTGCTCTGGTTCCTAACACCACGGAATTCCTGGTAAGTGCTTCTAAATTTATGTTACAAAATTCTACATTCTAACATTTTGCAGAACGCCATCTCATTCGCCATGAATGGCAACATCGCCCTGTCCATGGAGATTGGTTCTGCCTATGCACTCCAAGTTTGCCTGCTTCAAGTCCCAGCTCTTGTGCTGTACTCTGCGTTCTACGCTACAGGAAATGGTGCCGAGGATGTGGGTAACCACACTTTCTCCCTGCTCTTCCCTCAATGGGACATGGTGACTGTCATTCTCTGCGTATTCCTGCTCAGCTACATGTATGGCGAAGGAAAGAGCAATTATTTCAAGGGTAGCATCTTATTGTTGAGCTACCTCGTGGTCATCGTTGGCTACTATTTGTCAGGATACACGGAGGATGCGATGAGCGCGAGCCGCTTCGATATTATGGGTGCCGACGGGAAATACTCTTCGTTCAAGACCATTGGTCGAAAACGTAGCGGTGTTGCTTTCCACGTATAAGTGCTGAGAGGGGTCGATAGAGAGGGGCCGTGATACCCAAAGAGCGCCAAATATTGATAAACTACACGTAGACTAATTTGAGTTGAAGGAGGGGGGCATCGTCTGAACTGGCCAACACTGGCCTCTTTGTTACCGGACATGAAACATTGCATTGCACTTTTGTTGACGGGCATGATGGAACGCTGACGGAGTTGTGGAGAAGTGGACATACCTAGGTTGCCCTTTGATTTCATTGCGGAATATACATCTTTTGAGACGCAGACTTCCTGTTATCCTTGTGAGAGCCGAGATATGAACGGTGTGAGTTTTTTACTTGGACTCATCGCCATTCTGCATTTCCACTTTCACATTGGTGGTATTTCAAGGCCATTATCTCACTGATTGCTCAGTAACATGATGGACGGGTGAAGGTTTTGTGTAGGTCACAAGTAAGCTCGCAGAGGACGGCAAATATACTAGGTCCATTGGAAAGGTAAAAAGGCTACTTTAATTTCAAAACCGGACGAAAGGGTGGTCCAGACCGTCTTGATCGAATCTAATTGATCCTCGAGCGCGGGGACCAAAAAGCTTGAACAACGCTGACATATCTGTGATTGTTAGCGTTTTGAGATGCCGAGCTCCCCACCCGAATGGAGTATGTCAAGTGTTGATGCGTCGATGACGGCATCTCGTTGCAACAAAAAAGCCCGCTCATTGGCACCGCGCCTCTTCCTCATCTCCATAAGGGAAGGACGAAATGCCCGTCAGTTTGAGTAATGCAGGCTGACGATTGAGGGGTTGTCTTGGGTGACGGGACGTACGGAATGTAAAGACAAGGGCTTGTTTGGGTTGGTGGAGTAACACATTCTCGGACAATATGAAAGACAAGTTTCCCATTGTCCCAAGCCAAATTTCTCATTCCTCTCACTGACCCCATCTTGCTATCGAATTGTCTTGTATCGGTCACCATGGCACCCGCTGAACCCTATGCGATCCCCTTCCGGCCGAAGGGTGAGGTCCCTCACTTCAAGGAGGAGAGGGAGGGCTGGAAGGGATACATTGAATGGGAGAAGTACCCAGAGAAGAAGAAGCAAGTGGAGGAGATTATGAGCCAATATGACTTTCCCGACGTGAATTGTTCTTCCCTCTCGCTCGCTCTGTGTACTCGGTGCTGATATTCCGTATTAGCCGCCTCAGTTCCAATTAGCCGCTCTGCCCGACAGCAACCCCGTTCTCACCGGAGAGCGATGGAAGCAGTACCACCAAGCAATAGGGCTGGGACACATTCCCGACATCAGCTGGGACATTGTCAAGAAGGAAAAGTCCGAAGACATGATCCACGTGCTGCAGTTTCCGTACAACGGAGAGCCGCCCCGTGTAAGTCGCCGACTTGCCCCTGTTCGAAAGCCGGCCTCCCAACTAACACCCGAAACCTCACCACAAAAAGAAACGCCTTGTTGAGACCGAACTTACCCCAAACAAAGACCACTTCGTCCGCAACCACGGCGGAATCCCAGAGGTCGACGCGGAAAAGTACACGCTCGACATCACCGGTCTCGTCAACGAACCAAAGACGCTCACGCTGCACGATCTCAAGACTAAGTTCCCGCATCAAAGCACAGTTGTCTCGCTACAATGCTCGGGAACCCGCCGCATCGAACAGATTCACGAGTACCCCGGTGACGGCGACGAACTCATCAACGCGCCGTGGGGCGAGGGGGCCATCGGCACGGCGCGCTGGACGGGCGTGTCGCTCAAGAAGGTGATCAAGTACTGCGGGGGCCTGAAAGACGGGGCGGGCCACCTCGAGTTCTTCGGGGCGGACACGTACTTCAAGAAGGGCAAGGTGTACAACTACGTCGTCAGCGTGCCGTGGCGCAAGGTCAAGGTGAACGAGGTGCTGCTCGCGTGGGAGATGAACGGCGAGCCGCTGCCGCGGATCCACGGGTACCCGCTCAGGGTCGTCGTGTTCGGGTACATTGGCGCGCGGAGCGTCAAGTGGCTGACGGAGGTCAGGGCCATCCGGGACGCGAGCGCGGCGCCGGTGCAGAGGAAGGAGTACCTGTACTACACGCCGCAGGTCGGCAAGCAGAACGCAAAGTATAGCAACGGGTTCTCGATCCAGGAGATGCCCGTGTCGTCGGCCATCATGGAGCCCAAGGACATGGACCAGATCGTGCACGACGGCAAGATCAAGCTGCGCGGGTGGGCGTACTCTGGCGGCGGGCACTGGCCTGTCCGCGTGGAGGTCAGCGGCGACGGCGGGTCGGTGTGGTACGAGGCGCCGTACGAGAGGATGAGCAAGAAGTATTTCCACGCGTGGAGGCTGTGGGAGATTGAGATGCCGGTCGACGCGGAGGGGTGGCTTGAGTTTTGCGTGCGGACGTGGGACAATGCTATGAATACGCAGCCTACTTTTGTGAGGTCTGCTTGGTGAGTTTCCCATTTTTCGTTTCTGTTTTTTTCTTTTTCTTTTTTTAAGGAGGGAGGCGTTGTGAGGCGATGGCGATGGCGATGGCGATGGCGCTGACATTTGTGATAGGAACTGGGACTTGCATGTCACGTCCTCGGCACACCGGATCAAGGTGTATAGCATGAACAGGTCGAAGCCGCAGACCGCTGCCAGGCTTGCCGAGCTTGAGAGACGAGGCATTCCCATCTTGCCTATTACGCACCCTGTCGAGTTCGATCTGGAGTCGGATGAGGAGTATGAGAGAAACATGGCGGCTCAGGGAGGGAGAGACCCTGAAGAGTAGGGTGTTGTGAGGTTGGTCATGGAAGTGGTTTGAGTTCAGATTATCTGGTTCATATCATTGTGTAATTGACAAAAGGTTTGGGAAACAACTACAGAGTTGTTCATCAGTCATCGCTTGTGATGAGAGACTGCGCAATCCTTGAGTGTGGACGAATTTCCAGGTTACTAGAACGAGAAAGTTTTACAATGACATGAGTGTATGAAAGCGATACTTTCCATTTTAAGAGGTTAACCAGTTTCATGAGTGTATACGGCCTTGGATGACTGTATGAGCCGGTGAAAAGGCTGGTTTCATTTTTCTGTAAGTGAAAAAGCCACAGCCTGCCCGAGAACCTGAGATGTAAGATGTATCAATTGGCACCGACTGAAGAGTGATGTTTATAAGTTAATACATCTCATTCATCTGCTTTGAATTCTAGATTTAATGCTAATTGTATGAGTCAATCTTTAACTAGTTACAAGTCTGATATTACCTCTGAGAGTAATGCGTGGCCTTTGGTGACAGCGTCCTCACCAATCACGCCAAATTTTCGAGATTTGACACCTAAAAACAAGATAAAAACTGTACGAAATAATTATCTCGACCCATCCACTTTAAATACTCACTTTCAGAGGTGCAAGAGCGATGCCCATGCTGAATGTGCTGCATCTGCGTGATATAACCCGCTTGTCGAACGCAGCGACCAGCAGTCAGCCAATCATTCACGTGGCTTAGTCACGTTCTCTCCGAATGGTGTAGTTGGTTCATCACGTTCGACTGTAATGGTTCTACCAAGATAATCGAAAGGTCCCTAGTTCGATTCTGGGTTCGGAGAACGATTCTTTTTGTTTTGTTCTTATCCTAAGCTCTATTATTTTCTTTTGGGTCGCATTCGTTATTGTGCAGCCGCACGGTTGCATTTTCCACTCGGAAACGGTTACACGCAGAATCAACATGCCTTGGCTATCAGACCACCTCACGATGTTATGAACTGTATTGTCAGACCACTTTCGAACAGCGTTCTCATGGTATTGTTACACCGCCTCTTCCTGGACAATACTATTCGTTTTGTACAGACCTGAACTTGCGGCCTACCGCAGTGGCCGCAACGAGTGCATGCCCGCGGCTTCAAAAGTGCTTTGTTTATTGCCTCCGGAATGTCTCGGCGAGAAATTGATTGGACCAAAGGAGAGGAGTTATACTGGTTTCTCGTAAATTAAAGACGCAACAAAAGAGAAACACATGTTCTTTTTTCAACTGATTTGTCGGAACCATTATTTCCCACTGATATATAAATATATGCATACATGACCTCGCTTCGCCTCGTGTGGCCGGCTGTTTACGGCGTATAATGTGTTGAAAAGCCAGATCCCCTCACCCCATACAAAACACGCTCATTTTTGATTGCAATTTATGTTCAAAGCCCCATCCAATTCCCATTGACGTTTCCGCCCATACCCTCGAACCCAGGGACATACCCGTTGCCAAACATGGCCGAAAACTCGTCCATTGCCGGCGGCATCGGCGACAGGCTGCCGTCAAGCCCGAAAAAAGGCATCGCCGGCGGGAGCGACGCGGTACCCTGTCTACCGGTCCCAGGGGCGACATGACCATGACCCCCATGACCGTGGCCGGTAGCGCCCCGCCAGAACGCAGCAGGGTGCGGCGGGATCGGCAGCGCAGCGTCGTGGCTCCTCTCGCTCCTGGCATCATGCGCCGGGGTGTCGGTCTTCCAAAGCATCTCCCACTTCTTGAAACGCGCATAGTCGGACTCTTTCGCGGACGCCGCGTCGTCGTTGGTGTCCAGCCTGGCGATGGCGCGCTCGAAGGCTTCGATGAGCGACATCTCGGACTTGGCCGACTCGCCGCCCGCAGACATCTCCTTGAGCATCGCCATGCCCTCTCGCAGCGCCTCACGTAGACGGTCCGTCTTCTTTTGCAGGCATTGCGTGATTATGACGAGAAGCGCCGCGCGGCAGGAGCTGAATTCCGTGTATGATGCGCGGGCGAGGCCCACGCTGTTACGCAGGAGGCGGCACGTTTCGACTACGCAGAGGGCAGCATCGACGCAATCCGCCACCAGCACCGATCGTGGGTGTGTTTTGCTATTGGAACCGCTGGTGCGTGGCGGCACGGCGGACTCGGCGGGCGAGCCGGAGGAGCTGGCTGTGCTGCGGGTCGATTCTCGGGGGAAGATGAACGGTCGGCCTGCAAACATACGGACAAGGCAGTATTCCAGCCTTAGATGCATGTCGGGACGGAACACCACGGAACCTGGACTCGGGTCTTTGCAGAAGGTCGCGTTTGGAAGGCTGTTCCACCAGTTGTGAAGTTTGGCCTTCATTTCTACTAACCTAGCCATCCCGTCCGGGATTTCGGCCTTTTCAAAAGTCTTGAAGAGGGAACTGGAGAGGTGTCAGCTAAAGGGCGCCACGAAATGGTTGGGTAAGTGAACCGACATCTGATGGGCTATCCTGCTCAGTGCTTGGTTCAGTTGTAGAGTAGCCAGCATGTGAGCGGTGTTTGGTGGTGGAGGTCCAGGCCAAATGTCAGGGCGATCAGCGGGCATCTCTGCATCGACATCGGCTGCGGCAATCGATATCGGCCGGCCGTGGAATATCCCAATGCGCCTAAGATTTGTAAGTCTGTGAACACGCAAAACCCAGCGATAAGAGATGAACGTACTTCTCGGTGGTGTAGGCCGTCCACCACACGCGGTTCCTCGTCTCGCGGATGACAGGGTCGATATCCTCTCCGGGATACTTCCGGTGCATACCGTTCTGGATAGCGAGTTTCACTGCGAGGTTCAGGTACACATACGACAGCCCGGACGCATCGAGAGGGAGGGTGTACAGGCCGATCAAGAGACACGCCTGCACGCTCTCCAAGCTGGATATTGTGATGACGTCCGGGACAAGCCTGCAAGCTTGTTGATAAAACATGATGCCGATGGTGTCCTCTGAAAACGGGCTCGACTCGGCGGCAGCGCTCGGCACCCTGCCCCTCTCATCACGGGAATCGAGGTAAGCATATTGCGTCCCGATAGCGAAGACGATCAGAATGATACACATTGTCCCTACATCCCGACGGGTGAGGGATGCTGGGTTCTCATACACCATGTCAAGCTTTTCCTGCAGCCAGGTGCGCTCAACGTAAAAGTAGCTTGTTTCGGCATGGTTGAAGAAGGCATGGACGAGAAAGTCCGCGACATACCGTGGCGGCAAAGAGGAGAGAGAAGCCACGGTGTTGGAGGACGACTGCAGCTCTTCGGGACGGTAGTACTCCTTGAACTGGGTCTTGGGGCCGTCAGGGGCATCCTGAACGATGTCAGCACTGCATCTCCGAAAGGTATGAAACGAAGACGTACATTGACACACTGTTCGATCCACTGTTTTATTCGCATGGAAAAGTTCCAGTGCGAGAACTCGCCAGAGTAGTCTGCTCACGGTCAACATCGGCACGCTCGGGATGCTGAAGATTCGGAAGCTTCATCTTACGTGTGATGTTATTCTCCAAAGGCTGGACGGTAATCTCGTCCACTTGAAACGAGTCGGAGCTCTGCGACTTCACTTCAACGTCGGCGCCGACCTCCGGCTCCATAGAGGCATCCGGTCCTGCCCCGGCAGCCGAAGCCTCCGGGCCGGATCGCCCTTTCTCTACGGAGTCGGCCAAGGTCTTTAACGTCTCGGCATCCAGTCTTGATTGACCGGTATAGTGCGCAAGCAAACGCTCCATGTAGGCCATCCGCTGCCTCAGTTCCGAGTTCTCCTGGTTCGACGTGCGCGGTCTGCCATGTCCGCCAAGAGCCTGGTCAGCCAAGTGTTGGCGCAATCAATGGGATCTGGACATGTTGTTTCACTGATGAGAGGGCTTTAAAAAAAAGAGGAAGTTTACCTTGCCGCACTGTCAGGCCCGGGCTCATCTCTGGTCGTTGGAGTCAAAAACTCGCACTGGCGGCGGAGGCGGGTGCACCGCCGGCATGGGACTCCGCCGTCGCATTTCTCCTTGAGTCTTCGGCATCCGTCACAGCTTTGTCGGGTCAGCATAAGGTGATTCTATTCTTACAAAAACAATGAAACAAGTGAGAGGTTGGGGGCTTCATCGTACGCTCGAACCGCCCTCTTCCGCTCCTTATCCGCGACGCGGCGCTGTTTGTGTCGTTGCAGACGCAGGCCGTCTTCGGGATCCATCTATGTTCGGGTTCGCGATAGCCGATAAGGGGGGTTGGAAGGGCAGGCAGGAAATGGATCGCGGCGTGCCGATCAACCAGCCAAGACCCCGGGCCGGTCACGGTTTGCCAGGTGTGCACGTGTAAGCCCCCTAAGAGTGGCTCGGGCCAGTTTTGCCAGTATCTCACAGACGGTAGTTCTCCCCTTGTAATTGAATTCTGAGTGTGACAGTGGGCAAGGTATGCGGGTGGGTAAAGTGAGTGAGGATATGACGGTTCCGAGTGTGTGAGAGGAGCTAAGATAGGCTGAACTGCAAGTGCGGCGCCTTTCCTGAGAGGGGATGAGGGGGGGAAATTTCCAGAGGGGCAGAATTTCGGCGAAACCTGCGCCACCGTCGGGCGTCGGAGACCCGCTTTTCTCAAGACGCGGGGAAGCCGGCATACACCCGGTCGGAGCCGAAAGTTTGCATGGGAAGGTCCCTGCAGTCAGAACCTGGAGATGGCGAATGGATGGTTTTCAGATAAACCAAAGCCTAGTTCAATTCAACGCAGAAATTATGCTGTTGAGAGAATACGCTGGCTTCACTATACCTGGCCCCATATGTATGATGGCCAGCACGACCCAGCCACCTCAGAAACTGTCTCAACGGTACATCCAGCTACAGGCAATGTCTTACTATTATACCTTATTCTCTGTCTCTCCCCCACACGGACGTAAATGAATCTTCCAATGGGCTGCGCCAGTGTGACATTATTGCCTCCACGGTCCCATAATTGTTGGCAGGCGTAGGCCCGCAAACGGAACGTCGTCTTTGCCCATCGCTGCAACTCCTTGCATGAGAACAAAAGATCAGGCTTGCCGGTATTTTGGATGTATAGCGACGGTGAATCGATTTGGTTTGACTAGGTTTGCATCGAGATGAGACATGCAGTTAATCGAGTTGTAACGTGCCTGATGACTGCTCCTGTCGACATCTCTCTTATCAAATGCCAAGGAGACCTTACTGCCGGCCTAAGCATGAATCGTCTAGCCCCGCTACTATCCCACCTCAGAACCTGACTCTGCATGTTGCCATCGAAGAAAGCATGGCCTTTTGCCCCGCAACAGCTCGTTGTCGTGAACGGTGCCGAACTACTCCACACACTTTTGAGAGACCATCTCCCATTCCCCGCAGACAACGTGCTCCTTCCTTGTTGTATGTTGCAGGTGTGGGGGGCTGTGGTGACGAGAGTATGGTTGCAGGTTCGTGCCTGCCAGGGAATTTTTGTCGAATCCAGGGGCTATCATGAACGGGGACAGTATACAGTACGCCATCTTATCTACACCTTGAGACGATCAGAATCAGTTGTCCGCCCTGTGGTTGGAATGACTTACATAACAGCATCTTGCTATTTTAAAGCAACGTTCCTCAAGTCGACATTTCCTGGCCCTACTGGGTCTCAAAGCGCTGCTTCTTCTGCATTGTCATCTTTTCTATCAAGGTACATGCCTCTAGCCGTGGAAGATGGCTGTCGTTCTCTCACGAATCTTTCTCGTCATTTTGCTCTATGCGCATGCCTTTGTGGCTGGCTTTGGCGCTTACTTGGCCTCATTCGTGCCATTGATAGGTTTAAAAGTACCGGAGCAGACATTCTGGCCATGAGGTTGGCGGTGGGAGAGGATTTAAAACCTGAGCGGTCGGCCTTAGAGCGGCCATGTCAGGTGACTCGGTTTAGAATATGGTCGGCGGCACATGTCGTCGCATACGTCTACTGAATGGAAAACATGCATAATTGAGGACTGCCGACCCATAGAATTGCGGGCGGCGCATGAATAATAGGGTCAGGTTGTTGGCGTGGCGACTATTTGCGCCGATATCTTTGCGGTCTAGTCCGGCCCTGTCCAAAGTCTCCCTGGGCTCGAGACGGGAAACCCGGCGCCGGTCCGAGACCGGAGGCCGATCCGGCCTCGGGCGCGCGACGGAACCGGCAATTTGCCGGTCCCAAAATCTTCACCCCTCAGATAAACACACATGCAGATGCAGTCAGACACTTGTAGGGCATGGTGCATGATTTATTTGAAATAACTGAAAGGACCAAAAATTATCTTTTCGATTATGACGTCGCGAGCTGATATGAATTGCTATCCCCTCCTTCACTCTGACCGGCCCTCAGACGAAGCTATGATCTTGCGTGCCAGCTCCGGTAGGTCATCCGCCATGACATCCATCTCACCAAACAAGTCGACGCAGGGTTCCTTTTCGTAAACGCTGCACCACGCGCCCTTGAACCCGCACTTCTTGGCTGCCGCCGCATCCCACATATGTGCCGCAGCAAACCATGCCTCATCCCCTTTGAAACCTTCTAGTAATGGCTTGTATGCGTTGGGATCCGGCTTCCCTAAACCATCAGCATCGCAGCTCCGCAGGTTCTCTGCGGGCATCTCGATGCCGGCCTTTTCAAAATAGCCTCCCACACGTTTCGCATCGCCTGCCGTGAATGCCCAGACTGTAAATTCTGCCTCGCGAAGGAGCGCATAACACTCCTTGACGCCCGGTCGGGCTTCTAGCTCGAGGAGACTGTCCATGATGAAGGTAGCGTCATTGTCAGTCGCAAATTGGCGCGGCTCCGGCACTCCGGCCATGAATAGCACACGATAGAACAGACTGTGAAAGATGTCGTAAAAGGGCTTATAGCGACCTTGAATACTGAGGTAGGTGTACTCGCGCTCGGATGCCTCGATCCAGGCGAAGCCTAGGAGGGCGGGCTTGATATTGTACTCTGCAAGCTTGGATCCCAGTCGCGCGTCAATGGCTCTGTAAATAGCATCGTAAGACACGCAGGTTCCTACGACGTCAAAGACAACGTGTTTCTTAGCCGACATTTTTGCTGAGACCTGGGCTGTGCTTTAACTACTAAGTGTAGTAATATGACATTCGCTGCGGTTGAATAACTCAAGCCGGAGGGCAACTGCAGCTTTATACTCCTTCATAGCACATACTTTGGAGTGATCCGGTATTGATTGTTAAGCAGCAGCATTGCTTCATCACTAGTACATCATCGTCTTATCTCGGCGCGTTGAGGCCACAGGGGGAGGTGCGGGGTTCCAAGCACCCCGCATCCACTGCCGGCTCCTTGCGGGACCTAACACCCAACTGTGCATCCCGCTATGGCGACTATCCGATACCAACCCTGCGTGGGATCCCTGATATTTTCTTGTGATGTTTTTGAAAAGCTACCAAAAATCTACAACCCGGGACAAGTTCACTAGAAATATCGTAGACACCAAGTGTAATAGTGCAATACTTGTTTGAAATGTTTTTCTTATTTATTTCTTCGCCGCTACTGTGGCGTTTCTCATCATGGTATCGATACAAAAAAGAACCCCCGCGGAAGATGATGACCTTCGTCTGGCACCACTCCGAGATTAAATACATGCTATGCCTGTCCGCCGCAACCCGCTTTTATGTTTTCGTGACGTGTCTTGGTGTTAGTTTACAGAGATTGGAAAGTCTTCTCGAGGGCCGAGATGAGGATGGGAACTAATGTTAATGTTAGTGTCTGCCTACATCGTTGTTAGGCTGCGGACTGCTTACTGTGTGACTCCTCGAAGATCAACATGGGGCGGAGACGGATGGTGTCCTTGCCGCAAGCACCGATGTTGACGCCCAGGCGCTTCATAGCACCGGTAACGGCGACGGCACTCTGGGTGTCGAAAGCGATGTAAGTGCTGTGTTTCTTGTTAGCAGGTTGCTTCCGGGCCGAGCTTGGCTTGCAGGTTGACATACCCTTGACCCTTGCCACGCAGGTTCTGGACGTGGTCGGGATACTTTTGAGCAAGCTTCTCCATCTCAGCATAGAGGACAGCACCGACGCGAGCCTAGTCATTGTTAGTTTAATGATGGGAAGAAAGCTGGGCGAGGGACATACAGTGTGCTCAACGAGGTTCCTCTTGCTGATCTCGTCAACGACAGCCTTGCTGACAATGACACGGGCCGGGTCGCCAATCCAACTGAGGCATGTTAGCGACTTGAACAGTTTTTCAGATGACACAGGGGCAATTTACGTGTTGAACTGGCGGTAAGCCTTGTCAGGGATGAGCATGCGGTCACCAAAGTAGTAACCGGCAGTCTGGGCCTTCTTGGAGAAGGTGACGATGTCAGGGGGGGAGGTAAGGTTCCAGTGGGCGTGGCCCCAGAACTTTCCAGTGGCACCAAAGCCTGCGTTGTGTTAGTGCTCTGCATGCAAAGGCTAGGTGTGAGGCTGCCTACCGGTCTGGACTTCATCGACAATCATAACGACATCGTACTTCTTGGTAATGTCACGCAGGCCCTGGAAGAAGGCGGGGGAGGCATGGTTGTCACCACCCTCACTCTGAATGGGCTCAACAATGATGGCAGCGACGGGGCAGTGCCAGTTGTTGATCAGCTCCTCAACCTCCTTCAGGCAGCGCTTCTCCTCGGCATCGTTCTCAGCAACGTGCTTCTCAAGAGGGTACTTGAGAGCGGGGAAAGAGGCCTGGGGCCAGTTGAAGGAAGGAATGTCAAGCTTGTGAACGGCCTTTGAACGGGTAGTGGACAGACTGCCGAAACCACGACCGTGGAAAGAGTTCCTGAAGCTGAGGATGGCGAGCTCGGGGGAGCCGGGAGAAGTGTTGTGAAGGCAGGAGTGAATCTCCTCGTGGCTCCATTCAGCCTCACCACGCTCGCGGCGGCGGTAAAGCATGAAAGCAGCCTTGTAAGCCAGCTCATTGGCCTCGGAACCGGACTGGGCGGTGAAAATGTGGTTCATGCCCTGAGGGGCGACCTTCATCAGACCATCCTGGAGGATGTCGTGCCAGAAGGTAGAAGGGAAGTTACCGATGGCCGGGCGGTTGACCAAAGCGGAGATCATCTCGGGCGACTTGGCGGCCTCGATGAGTGTGGGGTTGTTGTAACCAACCGGGATGGATGCGATCTGAGAGTAGCTATCGGGTTGAGATTAGCGAACTGCGGGGAAGGGCGGGATGCCGAGGCTTTCGGCGAGATGAGTACTTACACGTCCAAGTACTTGTTACCATCAACATCGACAATGCTATTTCGCGTTAGTATTGGATTTGCGGAGGGATTCAATACTGCATACTAGTTGTCATGGCTCTTCTCGTAGTCGACGACGAAGTAAACAGCACGGGCGTCGAAGAATGCATCAAGCTTCTTCTGGCTGGCCTTGGACAGAGGTCCAGGAACCTCCGTGACGACCGACTGCTCGACAACGGAAGGCATTTTGATTTGGCGTTCTTGTTACTTGTGAGAACTGGTGTCTGGACGGTATTGGATCGAGTCTCGGACAAAAGAGGGGCTGGTAATGAGAAGAAAAAACTCTATGACTTGATTGTCGCTCATGATCATCGAAAAGCGAAAGTATCGAGTATTTATTTCTCAATCCAGTGCCGGAAGCCTCCCCCTTTGCCCCTCATGACTGAGGACCGGGGACGAGCCGGCCGGTCCCGAGCCGGCCAACCCCATCCGGGCCCAGACCCTCTTAATATGCCCCACAGAATATCCATCGGCGCTAGCATGATCCATCTCTATCGCCATTTCAATTGCGGCTCACCATGACCAGAAAATCGGGTTGCGCGTTGAGTTTGGTCTTTTGCTTGTTCCCACGTGGAATGGTCTATTTCCTTACCTATTCCGGCGGTTTCATGTGTCATCCCCTCCCGTAATTGGCTCCACCCCGGCCCCGGGCCGGTCCCAGAATTCCCATCGTTGTTTCCACACCGGCATAGTGACTGCCTCGGCGATGTCGCAGTCATGGAGCACCGCCGATTCGATGCCATCGTGAGGGGTTATTATAAACTCCCAACGCAAGACAGATTGCCAGCTTGACGCGGTTGAGACATCAGGCCATTTTGATGCAAGGGCATAATCGAAGTGCATAATTCCGCTTTTTCTCTGCTCGTTACTATGGCGTCAGGAACACCCCAGGTAAGTTTTCATGTATGTCGGGGAGCGAAAAGGCCCCCGACGGTCGCAAACTCACTATCATGAGAATTGACTTCGTATCACCAGTTGAAAGATGCTTCGCTACTGAAGACATCGTGCTACGTGAATGGAGAATGGGTGGGTGCGGCATCGGGCAAGCTATTTGCAGTCGAGAGTAAGTTTTTTTGCTCAACTCGCGGCAATCAACTTGTAACTTACCTGTACCAGATCCTTCTACTCTCGCCGAAGTGGCCAAGTGCCCTGAGTTTGACGAGAAAGATACCGAGGCCTCTATTCTCGCCGCTCATGATGCCTTCAAATCCTATCGCAAGACCCCTGCACGAACAAGGGCCCGCTATTTGAGAAAATGGTTTGACCTCATGATGGAAAACGCAGAGGACCTGGCCACCATCATCACATTAGAAAACGGCAAGCCGTTGGCCGATTCTAGGACAGAAGTCGCTTATGCCGCATCCTTTTTCGAGTGGTTCTCTGAGGAAGCCCCCAGGATATACGGCGATACCATTCAGGCGAGCAATCCCAGCTGCAGGCTTGTCACTCTCAAGGAGCCGGTCGGCGTCTGTGGACTTATCGCGCCATGGAACTTCCCCGCTGCCATGATCACTCGGAAAGTCGGCCCGGCCTTGGCCGCGGGGTGTACGGTGGTGGTCAAGGCCCCTGCCGAGGCTCCCCTGACGGCTCTGGCGCTCGTTGAGCTTGCGCATCGGGCTGGTATTCCTGCCGGCGTGGTTAATGTAATCACCGCTCTTGACAACACCGTCGCCGTTGGAAAGGTCTTGACGACACATCCCATCATCAAAAAAGTGTCTTTCACAGGATCGACAGGTGTTGGGAAACTCCTGATGAACCAATGCTCGTCGACTCTGAAGAAGCTTTCTTTCGAACTTGGGGGAAACGCGCCGTTTATCGTTTTCGAAGATGCAGACCTCGAGGCTGCTGTGAAGGGCCTTATCGCGTCCAAGTTCAGGATATCTGGTCAGACTTGCGTCTGTGCGAACCGGATTCTTGTACACCGGGCAGTTTACGAAAAGTTCACGCAAATGGTTGTTGACACTGTAAAAAGCTTTGAGATTGGTGACGGATTCGGCGAAACGACAACCCATGGTCCTCTTATCCATGGTCGTGCCGTGGCCAAAGTCGATGAGCACGTCAAGGATGCCGTGTCCAAGGGAGCATGCGTGCTTCTAGGTGGAAAGCATTTGACCGAGCTCGGCCCTAATTTCTACGATATCACGGTCCTGGCTGGGATGAAGCCAGGCATGAAGATTTGCTCCGAGGAAACATTTGGCCCCGTTGCGGCGCTGTTTGCGTTCGATTCGGAAGAGGAAGCTATTGAACTGGCAAATGACGCTGATGTTGGCCTTGCTGGCTATTTCTTTAGCAAGGACGTATCCCGCTGCTGGAGGGTGGCAGAGGCACTGGAGGTTGGGATGGTTGGTGTGAATATTGGTAAGAGCCCTGCAACATTGACTTGTTGATGATGAGAGTGATTACTAACGTGTCTTTAGGCGCCATTAGCGATCCTGCAGCACCATTTGGCGGTGTGAAACAGAGTGGTTTTGGGAGAGAGGGAAGCAAGTACGGCATTGAAGAGTTTTTGGTTACCAAGATGGTTATGACTGGCATGTAATGAAGAGGTAAACTTGGGGAACAACGCAATTAGATCATAGACAGAGCAATCTATCAAGGCATATGTATACTTTGTTGGGTCACAAGAAGTTGTTTTCTTTTCACAGAAGCCGCTTTCCGCGCTTTACTTTCATACATGATGACTCAAATCAGAAGATTCTTTGACATCTTTATTCAGTCAACAATTATCGTAGGACTTTGACTCGACTTTTATTCTGGTTCCATTTTGTAAAGAGGGATTACTGGTCCGAGCATAAAAGGAATTAGCTGAGAAATAGTTCTTGGTTTCTTTGACTAGGTTCTCGTGTATCTGTTATGTGAACTGGGAGGTTAATCATTCATATTGCTACAGTTGATCTGGCTGAAATATGACCCGCTCTTGACCATCAGTACTATCACCCTAAATGTTCGCAAAAAACATCAAGGACCGAGCTTCGGCCCTTGTATTTCATCCGAATTGACCACAGTGTTGAGACTTTTTGGCAGATCCAGCGGGGTTTCTGCTTCGATATGCCATCCGAGACTCTTGAGACTGGGTCCGCCGATACTGCATGAGGCAGGCCCCACGCTCCGTTGAAGATGGCAGCAAAAATACTTGAAAACTCACGTAGCTTTCTCTTACCTATCAGAGCAGGGTAGTTTTTGATTGGATAACCTTGAATAACTTTTGGTAAGTTATCCAATGCTTCATAACTTGCTTACCCTGTGCAGCTTGTGCGATGAAAATCTTTCTGGGGAAATGCAATAGGTCCTTTGAGTTAATGAACTGCATACTAGGTATCTGGGCACTAATGTCTCTGAAACAAAGATGCGCTAGTCTTTTGTTTCCTTGTGACTAAGTAATAAAGTAGAAAGTATAAACTTTGAACAACTTCGAAATCCTATCCGTACTTTCAACAGAGTTTGACTGCCTGGGCAGTGCCCCACAATTTCTGACCAACACACCACGTCCCAACCGCAGCGCCTGTACCCGTGTTATGAGTAGTTCGAACTTGATGATGTGAGTTGCTAAATTCCACTAGTTGAGCTAGTCGCCGTGGGAATACTCCGAAGTGAGACAATATCCATAAAGGCTATAGAGTCTGGGACAAACTGTTATTGAGATCGACCTGTGGGACGACCAATTCTGGCGATCCCCTTGAGTGTTGTGAGGTGGGCCATAGCAGCTAGCGAAACTTTGTAGAGCTACTCTCAACGACGGACACAGCAAAAACAGAGTTAACCATGCATTTTATATCCGAAGGTCGAGATTTCATGAATTTAGTGACTGGTAGTTTCCATCTTAATTATGACGCCTAAGATGGTCGGTTTCTACTGCCTTAGTTCACAATATTCTGCACGTTGCAGATGAATCTTTCACATTGAGACTGACTCGTGCGATGTTGAGATCACTTGATGACTAATAACCGGTCGTGTCTGTGGTGCTCCATGGCATTTTGGTATCTTACACAATAAGAAAAACGGTTTATTCCTCTTGAAAACCGCCAGCCCTGTACTTGGATAGTCAAGCTCGCACGTGATCTTGCTTGCCCCTAAAGATGTCGGCTTCCCCGTGCTGACAGGCTTGGACATATCCTAGGCGAGCCGGTCCGGCCTAGGCGTTTTGGCAGTGGACCAACCGTTCCGGCGAAATTCCTTTACTTGGTACTAATACCCGGGCCTTCAAGCACCCTAACTAACTGCCGTCTGCGCTCGAACAACAAAACCCCGCTTATTGCCCCGTGATTCTAAAGAAGAAAACAGGGGGACAGCTTAGGACCATCAGGGTTAGAAATGTCATGTGATGGCCGCAGTACGATAGAGGTGATGCGACGTGTCATAGTTGTAGTCGTTTTCACCGGATTATCTGTAAAACTCCCAGACAATGATATAGGGTTGCAGATATACCAACTTCAACATGGAAGTCACTTCTAGCCGACCGCGCAGGAGTACGAGGAAGGTGCGAGCTGAACTATCTTTAACATGTTATAAAGTAAAAAGAGAAATGTTCGGCGAGCCCGAATCGCAGGTGACCCTTCAGATGAGGCGCCCCAGACCATCATAGAATCGTGGTTGAAAGTGATGGATGTAGTGCAAAGCTCCTCACAAACGAAATGATTAATCGGGTTCAGAACAAAACAGATTGTTCTGGTTTCCTGCTTTGTCTCGGCCGCTGAGCCCAGATCGGTAGGCACTGATCCAAAGCCTTGCCCGCAATCATCAACGTTGAACAGGAAAAAGAGTGCGAAGAATTATGGGAGAATCTAAACGTAAATGTCTCTGTGTTAGCCGCGGAATGAAACTGAAGATGAGATTGCAAAGCTAGCCTTTGAGTCGGCCGATGACGAAGCTAAGCATAGTGATAATGTGCGAGAATGACGGGTCCTCCAAGGCAATAATCCCACAATGCTAGACTCTCTCGAACAGAGTGAGTAGTACTGGCAGCAATCTTGCTCATTGGCTAGCTTGGCAGCGAAGTTTGCTGATATGGTGTTTCGTCCATGGAATCCCACGTTGCGACGCCTAGTAGCCTCCATGCCTACAGCACGGATATACGGCACGCCGCAGGATTCTAAATCCCCGGCTATCACTCGGCTACACCGCTGTTGGCCTTCCTGGGCTGGGTGTCTCCCATGGTTTTGGTGGCGGCTAAGACAGAAATTAGCTACTACACCCGGCATAGTCGGTGGATGCCAAGAGCCATGGATTGCTAGCGCCCTCTTATTGCTAGGGTGAGTTGCAATCTCCAGGAAATGTTTGCTTATCTTGTACACAATCCCTGTCTACTCAAGCGTAGCCAGTGACCTCCTACTTGGAGAAACCATTGAGAAATTTGAGGATGCGTATGAATTTTGCAAGATTTCTTGTCTAATTGAGGCTATCATGGTATTTGGAGATCATTACGCTTGGCGTTGCAGATGTGACATAGCGACAGATTCTCATTGGAGGAACAGCAGTTTACCGTATTTGAACATGATTCAAGACCGCAATATAGCAACAGCCACACTTCCTATATGGTCATTATTTTAGGTTTTGACAAGTTGTCCAGTCGGGTGGCCCCGACAAACCCTCGGCTTACGTTTCACTGATATTTTTCGTATTGGACAGCTGACTGAAATATTGTATCACAACGTACCGTACCTCCACAACCCGCGTTGTCATAGAAAATAAGACTCACTTCAGACAGGGTTTGTCCATGGCAATTTCTTCCGGAAGGGTTGGTGTAGTCTTAGTGGCCCTGCTAATATGGTCACGTTGTGGTATATTCTTGATCTAGGTACCTTGCTTGACAATCCCAGCCTTGGTAGTAGTTGAAATACCCTGAAAGCGATTTGGGACTCCCGTGCGTGTTTATCGTTAAACTGTAAAAGATCGTCGGCATTTCGGACTTTAAAACCTCCGGACAAAAGGAAAGCTACCACGACGTCAACTATGCATACCGTGATATTATTTTCTCAATTGTTGAGCCTCTTCACTGTGCCCCTCTCGTATTGACATGGATTTTAAAAGTGTCATCTTGCGGGCAGAAAAACGCGCAGTCGTTGTCATCCTCGTGAACCCCATCGGCAATCTTTCGGCAATGTATGGAAGGACTTTTGACAGTCGTCGGAGGGCTCCCGCCTCGTCTAAAGCTTCACAATGACTGGCGCGTTTAAATTTTTGCATTCTAGAACCACCGCGCTCTTCCCGCCGAAATGTGTTGACTATCAACTAGGATGTCAGCAATAGTTGAGCAGGGTGACAAAGGATAGGCCCCTGGGGAAGTATAAAATGATAATCGTATGAGCTGAGGGTTCGGCGCCGTCGCGATTGTGGGGGATTTGCTTCTGCTCCAACTAAAGGGCTCGATAGGGCCAACTGGGGGGTGCTCTAGCCAAATGGGCAATATAAAATATATGAAATGCAACCCAGAGTTGCATTCGCCGAGGCCTGACAAAGCCGTATTTTATGGAACTGCGATTCCGTCAGCGGAAGGTCATCTGTCGATCTCAGTCTCACACAACGCTCTCTGGCCTTGATTTTTGGAGCTCTCATTCGCTTCTATCCGTCCATCTGACCGCCACTGGGCATGAAGGTCGGCACGGTGAGCCGAAATTCAAATTTCGCTGATCAAAGGGAACATACCGAGAATAATGGGTAAAGGGGCTGTATTCCCACAAGAGGTTCCATTCCACCGGCATCGACGATCCTTTGAAGAATTGCCAGGCGCCACTCTACTCAACTTGCATGACTTTTCCTGTGGCTTGCACTTCTCCTAGGACCTCGCCATGTGGCTCCTAATTGGGTCGCTGGAACGGAGTGAGCTTGAGGCTCAATTTATCCCTTGGCATGCATACCCTGACATGACGCTCGGGTAATTTGTCTATACGTGGTTTACCCTTGAAGGCGTGTGAAGTAAATCGCATTCTAAATGTCAGCACGCTCCAATTCTTCCTCACACCGCCTAATCAATTTAAGCAAGCCGACACCAAATGCCATCAAAACACGAAACAAGTCAGGGGAACAACGCGGGTAAGCAAAAGGAAAATAAAAAAAAAAGAATAAAAAAAAGTCCGTAATTTCTTTTACTTTTCCTTCCTCACCCCTATCCGCAAACCATGTCCTTGGCAAATTGTAAAATAGGGTCCGCGGAAGACGCAAGCACTCGTCAAAGAAAGGGAAAGCTTGAGCTTGGGCCAGAGTTAACACTGGGTCTTTTTTGTTGTCGTGTGCAAATATGGAGTGAGTTCGGCGGTTTATGCTTAACAGATCTTATTCATCATCAAGACGACATATTGGACCACGGAAAACGACCGAAACTAGAAGTATATTGGCTCCTTTCTAGGCCCACGTTTTTCCGCGTATTTTCTGGCCCCCAACCCCTTTGCCACAAATGCCCGCGGAGGTCAGCACTAAATGCGCAGAGGACGTAGACCCGGGAAATTCGAACCGTTTCATCGGAACGACTGCTGGGGCCAGCTAAGGCGCACTACTGCGACTTTACTTTTACCCATCAGGTTTACCTCGCCTGTTTCCCCATCTTGAGTGGCGGGAATACCTACGAAAAGAGACAATGGAACGGGGTTGACGGTGTTCCATAGGGCAAGTTGGCATGCGCTAGGCGCGAACTGCCGCTCATGGCATCGCCATGGCATCTTTGTGACAAGCACCAAGACAACATGGGCTCCCCCCCCATCCACCAAGAGCCCGCATCCCTGGTTATACCCCTTGACACGACACGTGCCCTATCAGCGGAGCAGTCTAATAGGCGCGTGAAAGCTCCAATTGCTCCAATTGATGGAAGTTGCCAACGAACTTTGGTACGATGCTCGATAAGGAATATGCAGCCGGTGCTATCAGGAACAACCCTGGAGCCTACAAGCTAGGGGGTGAGTGGTAGATGAAGGGGTCATGGAGCACATCACGGCCCCACGCAGGGTGGGGTCTCACCCATACCATTTGCCTGCGAGCAAGTCGGTTACGGCACGCATGCCATGGATTTTCTTCGGAAAGTAGTGTGGGCAAGCTTTGTGTTGCTGCTCGGCCGAAAACTGGTTAGGATTTTAGGGCGCTTTAAGGTGGTGCTGTGAGATGAGGCTGTCGTCAGTTCGCCAGACCTTGCCAGTGGGGGGGAAAGATGTTCCCGGTACGTTCAAGGGGAAGAGGGGAGGGAGTAAAGGATTGGGAGAAGTGTAGAAAGCCGGGGTGCCGAGAAATAGACGCCAAAACATATATATCATCGGCCTCGTCCAGCTCTCGAGAAAACTTGGAAGATCCTTTCTTTCTTCAGCAGCTTTCGCTCTTTACAGTCACTCTTTTTCACCAAACCAACTCTACATTCATTCTTTTTTTGTATCTACACTTCTGTTCGTTCCGAAAGCTATCAAACATGCGTACTGCTATCCTCTCTGCGGCACTGGCTGCCCTCCTCCCCCTCGCCTCGGCCGCCGATGCCGTCAAGGGCGCCGCCGAAGGCTTCGCCAAGGGTGTCACTGGTGGTGGTAGCGCCAAGGCCGTCTACCCTTCCACCACTGCCGAGCTCACCAACTACCTCAAGGACAGCTCTGCCCGTGTCATTGTCCTGACCAAGACCTTCGACTTCACTGGTACCGAGGGCGTTGCCTCCGAGACTGGCTGCGCTCCTTGGGGAACTGGCTCCAAGTGCCAGACCGCCATCAACAAGAACAACTGGTGCACCAACTACCAGCCCAACGCCCCCAAGGTGAGTTCATCTTGGAATAATCATAAAGAACACTCTCTTTGGTTTCGATAATCCAGCTGTAAAAGCTGGTGACCTGTTGGGGAAGGAGCGCTGGGGCGCTGCCGGGTTACAGCCGGCAAGAAGGAGCGGAGCTGCGAGCCGACCGGCATCGCGTCTCAACGTCGATCCCGGGCTCAAGTCCACAATGACACTGGGATTCCTACGTACTGGCTTTCAAAAACGATCTTGCTGTTTCGAATTACCAGTTGTAATCTCTGGTTTTCGTTGCCCAGCACTTCCCCTATTGGCAACTGTTGTCACCGCCCATCACGAGTTTCACGCATACTAACATCTCTCTCCCTAGGTCAACGTCAAGTACGACAAGGCTGGCCTTAACCCTCTCATTGTTGGCTCCAACAAGTCAATCATCGGCCGTGGTTCTGCAGGAAAAATTGTTGGTAAGGGTCTCCGCATTACTAACAATGCGAAGAACATCATCATTCAGAACGTAAGCAGAAGCAATCCGATGTGACTTTCGTATATTAATCATGTCAGATCCACATCACCAACCTTAACCCTCAATACGTTTGGGGTGGTGATGCTATCACCCTTGACGGATCCGACCTTGTCTGGATTGACCACGTCAAGACTTCCCTCATCGGTCGCCAGCACATTGTTCTTGGCAACGGTGCTTCTAACCGCGTGACCATCTCCAACAATGAGATCGACGGCTCCACCTCCTGGTCTGCCACTTGCGACAACCACCACTACTGGGGCCTGTACTTCACCGGCAGCAACGACATGGTTACCTTCAAGGGTAAGAAAAACCTCGGAACTCCTCCTCCTTGGTGAGCCTCAAAACTGACATGATCAAAGGCAACTACGTTCACCACACCAGCGGTCGTGCCCCTAAGATCGGGGGCAACTCCTTGGTCCATATTGTTAACAACTACTGGGTACGTACCTCCGGTTGAAGCATTGGCGGAGACGCGGCGCTAACACATCACCAGTACGACAACACCGGCCACGCGATGGAGGCTGACACCGGCGCCAAGGTCGTCCTCGAGGGCAACGTTTTCCAGAATGTGAAGGCAAGCATGCAGGCTGGCCTCGCCGGCAAGGTCTTCTCTAGCCCTGACGCCAACACCAACAAGGCTTGCTCTTCCGGCCTCGGCCACGCTTGCCAGCTTAACGCCTACGGCAGCTCCGGCTCCCTCACCGGCTCCGACAGCAGCATCCTCTCCAGCTTCTCTGGCAAGAACATTGCCTCTGCTGGCACTGCCAACGATGCCAAGGCTGCTGCTACCAACGCCGGCTTCGGCAAGATCTAAGCTTCGGCTGAGAGTCTTTATCTCTTATGGATCAACCCTGCTTAGCAGGTCTGTGACGAGATAGACGTTGTAATAGTGGAGGAAGGAGAGTTAAGTCTGAGGCACACCAGAGCCAATGACAGATTCATGTACATAACTTACTTTATCGTCTACGACGTAAATACAATGCTTGATGCATCAACAAAGCCCTTGCCTTGTACCAACTCGCTCTGCCTTCGACAAACAACACTATTGTGGAACAGTGTCACATAATGTCTACAAAGGATTCAATAATAAAGCATACTTAGCAAAGGACATTGGTTATTAATTCTGTGCTGTATTGACTTTGTTGGTAGCAGTTGGAGGGAAGGCCAAGACTGGGCGGGAATGACACACGAGAACAAGCCATTCGAGTTTGAGTGGGGCTTCTTCCGATTCACAGATTTTGGTCAAACCTGACCTCCTTCCCAGTCCCGAATCCCCCGGTTTCACACCACTTCTTGTGATCGCTGCTCGGTTTGGAAACAATCCCTGTTTAATTCAACTCTAATCCTCACCATACAAAATGGAAACATAGAGAATCTTCGCTCTATCTCTCTTGCCAGATCCTTAAGTAATTTGACTGTCCACCCCACCACAAGAAATTATATGCTACCGGGTACTACTGGGACTAGTACCCTGATAAAAGTCCTTTTGAACTTCCTGTAAAATCATTCGCTGCCCACCGAATAGGTTGCGAGGCTTGGTTCATGTCCCGCTTGCAATACGACTTTCGAGAATGTAAATCTTCTAAATATGGGTGCTTGGGTTATCGTATAAACGAGTGCGATCCGATGGTGATTGGAAATTCCACGGCCGTACGCCTGGAAACCTTATTTCTATTTCTTTTGGAGAAAGCCTAGCAGCACGCCAAAGGTCTTCAAACCTAGCGTCCACCATCTCTCCTGAGATCCCGAGAAGGATACAAGCTCTGCGCGGGCGAAGGCGAGCCCAAAACGACTTACGCTTAGCCTCAGTTCTCGGGGGTCTTGGTTTGGTCTGATTGGGAATTGGTCGCGCGCAAAACTCGAATTTGTCGGTGCCGTCCATCGTGAATGAGTATGTATCCTTGAGAAGGTTTCGATAGCCGGAATCACTCGGCGGAGGAGTCTGAGATGGCACATCTTCCTTGCGCATGTCCTCTTTCCTAGCTATTAGTGATTAAGGGATGAATATTCAGAGACAGAAGAAATCCCACGGAGAGAAGAGAGACAAGAGACTTCGGACGCTGAAGTGATATGTAGGTGGGAAACTTTAGCAACTATCGGAGCCCCCACCCACAGCCCCACGAACCGGTGGCCCAGCGAAGCCCAGCATGACCAGCGTAGCCCATCAAAGTCAGCGTCTCTATACAAAACTCTCCATACTGGTTACGATTTTGATGATGATTTAAGCTATTACAAGGGGATTTCGCCCAGTTGGAGCCCCCCTCCAGCGGCTCCCGTTGCTCGAGTACCACCACAACAGCTACAATCACTACAAAGGCAATTAAATGCAAATGAAGTATATTTAACTAGCAGCTACTCTGCGAAGAAGAAAGATTCTTGGTTAAGTCAATTCGCGAAAGATTTTGCAGTCATCATGATAAAAAGAAAATGCGTCGAAGGGTTGCGTCTGTTTCATTGTCAAGTCGGAACCCCGTCTTCCGCTCCAGCGTTTCGCGCTTCAGCAGACGCTCCAGATCAGTTCGCCCTCTAACAGACCACAACCCTCGATCAGCAAAGCCTCTCCCACTTCGTATTTCATGCTAAAATCGAGTATCCAGGGGGAACAATCCCGCCTTCTTTGAAATAGTCTCTTAGACTCTGATGGTGTTTTTGTCTAGTACGAAAATCTCATTCTCGTATATATCGCGATCGGCTACCAGGATTGCTCGGGCAATACCTGAAACGTCACGAATCGCAACGCGCAAGTTTGGTTCAGGCAGATTGTGCCCGGTAGTTCTGAGCAAAATCTTCATGTAAATGTGAGCCATATCGACAGCCACAGCTAGGTCGGGTGTCAGCGGTATGAATGGTTGGTCCGTCTCCCATATGCTGGCGGTTGCGGCACATTGCTGTATCACCTTCCCTGGTATCATCGCGACGCACTCCCCTTGTCTTATCGACAGGGAACCCTGGCCTGGTTGGGGGTGGATGGCTCGTAGTTGTATCGGTGGGTTCTGGTCGGCCTTGATGCAAATCCTCATTGCAACATGCGGCCGCTGCGAGAGGTTTTGATAACACTGACAAGATCCGTGTGCCTTGCATGAAAAGCAAGGTATATATGCTGGGACCGTTTGCTGTCTGAAGATAGTCTCTTGATGTTGCTCCCATGTAACTGTCAAGGGAGTAAGAGCATGCAGAATCTCCGCGGGGCTTAATTCGTGTGCGGATATCGCAAGGGACGGGTTGTCGAGCACCATGCGGTCGTACTCAAAGACTGCATCATTGCCGTTTTGCACTATTTTTGCAAAGCTTGATCCAAAGTCTCGCAATATCGAGGACTTTTCGGGGCAAGATGAGATGTAGTCGTTGATCTCCTGGGCCGTTTTACAACCCATTTCCGTATCGGTGGTTTTCAGACATGGCAAAAACCCAGAGTCCGTTCCACTAACTCTAGACAAAACGTTTCCACGCCATAAGAACTTTGTTGCCGCTCTGCGCTTCCTTTCACGGTCCTTTTTTGAAAGAAAATCAACTCTGGGAATATCTTGGTCACAATCGCATTCTTTTCTTCCTTTGACCGGCGTAACCGGTAAGACTCCTCTTGGGGGCTGGTGCGGACATGCATTATGATCATTCCGAGCCGGCGTAGATAAGTTATCAGACTCCTTTGGTCTTGCATGAGAAGTATCCTTTCTGTCAAGCTTTGGATGTATTCTATGTTGGTCGACTGGGTGTTTGTAAGGAAACGCCATGGTAGAGGATCGCTGCACAATCCTCGCCACGTCTTCAGGATTCCAAGGCATCTCTTGCCGCCGCCCCCATTCAATATTTCCTGCGCAATCTCACCAGAAGTGCTGTCTGTTTTTTGAAGCTTGCAAGGCGACTGCTCGAGCTCCGATCCTCTTGATCTTTTCTTTGTGCCATTCTGCTTTGCCTTCTCTGGATTGATATCGACAATCTGGGGCTTGTGGGTGGTGTTTTGTGAGGCTCTAGTCGCCTTGTCGCTCAAGTCGCCTGTTCCGGACCTGGAATTGTCAGACGCATGACAATATAGCTGCAGAATTTCGATACGTTCTTCTGATGGTCGGGTTTCTTCACCTATCTCCTTCATATTATCCCGTTCATCCTGTCCTGAGTTCGGCAAAGTCCGGATGTGAGACTGGTTGATAGTTCTCTGCATAGAACATGAGTCCGAGCAGAACTCATATCCCTGAAGACCAATATCGTTTAGTTTCTCCCATGCCAGATTCACAGCTTCAGCGAGATTTGCACCCAAGTTGACAACTTGATGGTACGTGTTGGGCATCGTAAAGATGAGCTGACCAGGAGCGCAGTGGACTATGTCGTATTCAACTTCCCACCGATCTAGTGTATCTGGCTGGATAATCATATTCAAGTGTCTCACGAACTGAGAGCAGATCGAGGTTGGTTGATTCCAAGTAGCGCAGCTTGCAGATATCTGCCCTTCCAAGCGTTTGGTTGAACTAGGTTTGACGATCAACCACACCTTAGCAGAGCCCCAGCGGACGAAGTTAGCCGATGGCACAAGCAGATCCTCTACATGCATTCCAGTGCATGTCTGTCCTCCTTCCGAATAGTACAAGTAGGATTCTGTAACTCCAGGAAAGTTGCCTTCGCCTCTGAAAACGTCGCGGAGGTGCTTCCCACATTCGAGATATGGAGACTGTGAGCCGAAAAAAGCTTGTATGTCTCCGATGAGATATTCCTTCGGGGTTTGAACACCACCTGCAAGAGAACGGAAGACATGCTGCCAAATATCGCAGTTTTCTGAGGACGACTCTTCGTTGGGCTTCAATTCAATTGTTCTGCCGTGCTTAGTGGGCTGCTGTTTCTCGAACTCGATGTGTTGACTACCGTCAGGTCGAATAGCCGATAAGGCGGACTTGTAACATTGGACAACATGGCTACTCCCCCGAGTCGAAATCTTGAGAGTGATGCTGTCGAGAAGTCTGTAATCGCTAACAGTTACTAATCCGAAGCCGCTTTCTTGGACACTTTGCATCCTTGAGAACTCTCCAAGAGTCACTGCCGTAGCTGGGCCCAAATCCCCTAGCTCACAAGTCAGTCTTTTGTTGATGGGCGCTCCTGGTTTCTGGTTGGTAATATTGGCATTTCGTTTCCCGCTGCTAGAAGTGTCTTCAGTGACTTGTTCGGGAACATCTTGCGACGTTGTCGATTGTTCTGAGTCATGAGTCTGATTGGTAGTGACGCTGCCCGGTCCAGTTGACTCTAGTGAGCTGACTGTACCTTGTCTTGATAATAAGTCACTCATAAGGGCTGGTTCATCGGTCGAATTTTGTAGCTCCCCACTCTCGTCAGAGTGAGGAAAACCTCTGACCCTCTTCTTACAAGTATCCAGTCTGATTTGAACAATCTCTTGAATAGTCTCGAGAAACCACCACTGTTGCTATTTGGATAACCGTAAGTAAGTAGTTAACTGGGATAAATCCAGGGTAATCTCATCGCTTTGGGAAGGTACCTCGTCTGACATATCATCTATTGCTGCTAATATGCGGTCCCAGAGCGCCCATACGTCGTCTGCTGAGTTTGGACTTGGCGTTCGGTTGCCTTCCTCCAGGCCAGGGGAATTCATATTCGGCGATGTCATATTAAAATGAACGCAATGGTCAAGACTGTCGTGGCTGTTGCATGTCGCGTTGGCGAGGACAGATGGTGACTGCTTGGCGGGTATGTGACGGTAGTCTTTCTGTTAAACTTTTGTCTCTCTTTAGAAAAAGAAGAGGGATACTGTGTCATTTGTTTGTTATTCGTATCGTGGATGCGCAGTATTTGGTGTCACTTCGAGTGAAGTTGACGGTACTTTTCAAAGACAGGGGGTGGTCGATTAAAATTTGGATAAGGTGAGAATCTGTGGTTGCCTTCTGACCTGGGTCGTGACGCGCTGCTGGGGGCGGGTGCAAAGGTTTGTAGGGAAGGAGTGTCAGATGGGCTAGCTTTCTCTCCTAGACGTGTTTTGGCAAGGGGAAAGTGACAATGTCGCCGTCAATGACTTCGCAACATCACTCTTTCATGGAGGTCGCCAATCCGCTGTGGTTTACCCAGAATTGTTTCACACATAAAACTTTTGTGAAGCGATTCGAATATGACATAGAAGCTTTCTCTCTTGAAATTTGTCGAAGATAATACCATTAGAAATACCAGTCGAAAACCATGGCTTCCTGTTTTTGCCGTAGACCAGCATCACCATGAAGCAAATCAAAGATGGCACACGCCAACCGCACCCTTTCAGATAGTCTCGCCAAGAATTTGAGCAACTCCCAGAAATGAGCAAGAATCAGCCTCCAGTCCTAACCCCATGAATATTGATCCAACTGCTGCATTCTTCTAATTAGTGGTTCACTCGAATTGTGCAAGATACCTACTGTGAACAGCCAGTTGAATTAATCATCCTCTGGTGGTGATTTACTAATTTTCGGTGCAAATGTCACGCTAATAAGTTGTGGTTTCCTTGATGTATCATATCCCTCATTCTCGATGGAGGCCAATGAACCCATACAAACCTAAGCAAATAGTAATGGTTTATAATGCGTTCCGCCTTCCGCACTTCAACTTGTATGTTCCATACCTGCAAATGACTGCTCAATCAAAAGTAAACATTATACGTAGTACCAGTCATTATTCTCGGACAACTTTGCGCTTTTTGATAACAGGGCCTTCCGTATCATCATCGTCAAAGTCAAACGGGTAACGCCCATAGTCTGACATTGACGCGCTCTTTGTTTTCGAAGCCCTGGGAGACATGCGTCTGGTAACCTCGCGGAATTCTTTCTGGACTCGAGAGTTAGACTTAGTCTTTCGTAAACGGATATTGCCATAGGCCTTTTTCTGCTTTTTAAGACCGAATCGTTGTCCAGGGTGTGTTCAGATTTTGAGTCCTGACGAGATGCGATGCCTTGCAAAGAGTTCGGGGCCTCAATGCCGATGTCTTTGACATGCCGCTGCCTATTCTTGCCTGCTTCGGTGTTTACCCGTACTGAAGGGGGTGCCAGCAAGATTTCGCCATGCTTGACTCTACCCCCCCCTCTTCCTAGCGAGCCAAAGCTTGTTCGATTTTTGACTGGGGACTCGCTTGAACCTCGGTTGGCTCTCATCGGTGGCCTCTATCTTGCGTGTAGCGTTGGCTTTGCTTTCTAGGGTCCTCTCTCGTAAGGTGCCCGAGATTTGAGGATCTTGCTGAGTTTGGGCCTACGTAGTCATCTTCCACCCCTCTGAGTATTGATATGGTTGCTGTGGTGGCTATTTGAAAGACCAATTAACTGCAGCTGTTGTCTGGGTCTCATCTTGTGGATCTTGTGAAGATGGACACGTCAACTGCGAGACAATTAGAACCAACATAGCAGTTTCTTGGGAGAAAAGAAATAGACATATTTAGCGAATAGTCTTCTGATAACTGAAATTAAAATAGCGTGCGAACGACTGCTGGTAGGTCCTAATGATGTCGTAGTTGAGAGGAAGAAAGACACGAGTCACATGGCATGTTGCAAGAAAGAGGGTTCTGTAAAAGCCCGACAGAGATGGAACATGGTGACTAATAGACGTAGGAAACCTGGTGTTTATTAATCAGCCTCAACAGTCATACCACTACCTACAGCAAACCTCTTTGACCCGGAGCGTTTGCTCCTACACAGACCGTTGTTTTTTACAATAGCAAAAAATCTGTTTATGGATTGGGTTTAAATTAATACAGCTCTTCAAATAATATTAAGCAGATAGAACACAAAAGAGACCAACATAGGTGATGGAAGAATTATTGTTGCTCACATGTCAGACCCGCGTTTCATTGAAGAGCTCACTCAAGCCAGACCAGATATTAAGTATCGACATACCACTTTTGACCTTCAGCTTATCAGTGTCAGTTTGTTAGAGACAGCTAAAGATCAAGCATCGCGTTGTTGTCCCAGGGACAAATTGATCTGGAATTGCTTTCGAACAGAGCGTGTGAGGGTCGGGGTTGGCTTGAAGACAACAACTATCCCAAGCCCCCCCTATGGACAACTGCATCAAAAACTAGCGCCATTCGACCTACAGAGCAGCGAAAAAGGAAGAGAAGACTAAGTTTCAGGCCAGTCGACTTCCAACTTCAAAATCACCTCACCCCTAATGCCTATTCTGGGTCTTGGGCGCCCCAGTTCAGTCCATTTTCACTCGCCGATTCCGCCTCCATTTTGCTACATGAAATCTTTTCTGACTTGGGCACAGAATTTTAGCTGCATCAAGGCGCCTTAATCTATTTCAAGACAAAGAAACTCTAACCCATGTTTTCCTTGGTGTTGTATCTGATCTCGTGGTACCGCAACAATATGCAGCAAAGTATCCTTCAAATCCACAGCCAACAATCAATCCACACAGCGGAATAGTTCAAAAACATCGTAAGCGCTGGGATATAAAATGTGTATTGGTAATTTGGAACTGTGACAACAAAAGTGGAACCACAACTGCTTTGCAGCAATTGCACCTCATCTATCATGACAGTAGCTCTTAAGGTTTCTCAGGGATTGACTACTGTCTCATGCCAGGCAGGCTAATCTTTCGGGGAGTACTGTTTCCAGCCCATTCTACTGTCTTCTTAACTCTGCCAGGCTTGCCTATCTTTTCCGCTGAGCTACTCTCCTCCTTCACTTGCTCCTGTCTCATTCATCACTCCTTCCCTCGCTACTAATTTTCACTTTTATTTTGTGCGCGCAAAATACAAAACTCACTCACTGAGAATCAAAATTACTTCCTCGAGTAATTAGTGCCGTCTTATCAACAACAGAACTTCATCTTGTCCATACAAACCGACTCTTTCCACCACTCACCACTTCAGCTTCTCCCGCTTTTGACCCTCCAACATATTGCACTTCACACCTAGTCATCACGATCCTCCCCTTCACATCAAAGGCCTCAACTTTCGCTTTGCTCTTTTCACCATCACGAATTCCACACCTTGTCTCGACATTCTAGGCACTAGTCGCTTGGCCATCATGGCTAAACCTTTACCTAGTCAGCCTATTTGGGCCGACCCCTCTGTTGCTAAGAAATTCGTATCTGAACCATTTACGTCAATTACGCCAAACCTAGAGTCTGCTAAGGTATGTTGCCTCTTAGAGGCCGGTGGCCAGATAGTCGGGTACAGCGACTTCGCCCTCACGAGAGCAGGCTCTGTCATAGAAGATGTGGTTATGACACAAATGACTGTGGTAAGAAGGGGCATTTTCCCTTCGTGCATTAGGCTACGACATATCTTCCAGGAGACGGGCAGAAGAAGAGTTTGCAGCCTGGTCGAGATACCCCTTTCGGCGCTTGTTTCCGCTCCTCGAGTAGAGGATGTTCAGGCCAACGATCCGCAACAGCTTATACGTATGCAAAAGTCTGCAGACGATATCAAGATACGCGAATCCATACGACTTGTGCTCAAGATTCAAATCGAAAAGAGTTGGATTCGCTCGGTGTCTCAACCTCGATATAAAAAGACGAAAGAGATGACTGAGGCATGGTTCAGTAACCTGAATCGACTACATGGTCAGGTCGAAATCGCCATTACTATTGCATCTGAGCAGATGTTGTTTACAACTTTTCTACAAGACATTGAGCGAGAATTTGAGATCGCTATTCGATCCCCAAGAGAGCCATGGGCCGCGGCGGAAGCCTTTTTCCAAGACCCTTTGAAGCCCAACCAGCTTGGCTGGCAGACATTGGACTTGGAGAACCCAAAGCCGAAATTTCAGAATCCGGCAATGGTGGCATTCCATGAACCCCTCTCTCGCATGTTAACCTTGCAAATGAGCTCATACGAAGAACTTGGCTTTGAGCTGGCTGCTGCTTATGAACTCGAAAAGTATCATTTCCAAAGTGTTCTGATACCAGACACTTCTTCGTGCTGGAGTGGAAATGAAAATGAGTTTGGGGTAAAGCCTGACGGTACTTATATGCGCTACCTTGCAGTCATGACATGTATTCCAGAAGAACAACGATCTCTTCTGCCTGAGATCGGTACGCCTTTCAAAGTTACACTCAAGGTCGATTCGCCAACTCAACGTCTGCCTACTGTCAATGAGGATGATTCAGAAGGGGATCTTCGTTCGGCGTGCCAATATCTTATCGAAAAGGCCAGAGATTTTCAAATCCAGTGTGACACTGAGACCTCTGGCATTGCGGATACAGAGCAGATCAGCAAGGCTATACTCAAGCGCGATCTCAAAATGATTGGATCGATCGTCGCATGCTACCCCTCCTCACTGCCACAGGATATCACTCAGGTTCCGGAGTATGTAGACTTGTCCGAGGACGGACTCAAAGCCGTCCTTGCCTGTCGACATATCAATTCATTCTTCCCCTTGCAAGAAGATGATGAAGAGTGGACATCGAAACTGATGGCTTGTTTCGCTGGGTCACTGACGATCAAGGCTCCCGCATCGCAAGAGCTTCCTCGGTGGAAGGCAGTCAGGCTTCCAGTGCCTCGAGATGCGTGCACTTCTTCAGTTTACCTGCAGATACATACACCTTGCGAAGAAGACTGGCCACAAGAGTTTTCGTCTCCGCCTATGAAGTTTAACCTTGAACTTCCAATTCTGACCGGCGACTTAAATCAATACGTAACCAATGCCAGTTATGGTCATACCAAGGAGCTGATTATGCATGTCGAGCCCACTACGACTACCACGCGCGAGGAGATGGATGCAGTCCAAGCGATGGCAAGTGCGGAATCGGTCACGATGCGAGCCCCCAGATAGGAGTATGCTGGCAAGTTCGAAACCGATTGCACTGTCAACGCACTCGATCTATTCCCTGAGCTCCAGCGCCTTCGTGTCGATGGCCCATACGAGGCTCTCACCCAAAGTCTTGGCCACCTGCCAGCTGGCATGATGTTGTACACTGGGGGGCCCGGTTCTGGCAAGACGACCTTTGCAATCAAGCTTCTCCGTCAGCTTACATCTAGTCCTGGATTCCGAGCGATATGGTGTGTTCAAAGTAACGAACTGTGCGACGACGCTGCAGAGAAGCTCGCTGCAAATGTGCCTGCGGACCACATTGTCGCTCGCGTCTATCCCATCAAGCGTACAATCGCCGCGATCTCAGGCAGACTCAATGATGTGTCACAGCCGACTGCAACTAAAGAGTCACTCAAGGGAAAGTGCAAAGTCGAGTGTACAGTCATTAAACACATCACGGAAACCCGCAAAGCTATCAACGGCATCAATCCGCTTGCTCGCCGTGACTCGATCGCTGTTATTGCCCTTACAATGGCACACAAGAATCGTGAGAAGTTTCGAGAGTTTTGGGCTTTGCGTGAGAAACATAACCTGAGTCAAGGTGATTGGCAAGAGTTGCAAACACAGTCGTTCCGTCTCCTCTCCTGGGTTCTGACGAAGGTCAGCTTCTTGGTCGGAACACCAGTTGCTCTCGCCCAAATCGGACGCAATACTCAACTAGTTTGAGAGGATGTTGGCAAATGGGAGCCGAGAGTCGTCGTTGTTGACGAGGTTGGAAAGATGCCAGAGTCACAGTTCTGGATTTTTCCAACCTTTTTCGCGCCTGATCTCATCTTGGCGTTTGGTGATACACATCAACTCAAGCCTACCTCCAAGAGCTTCGACAACCACGGAAAGGGAGAAAAAGAGACAGAGTGGTCATCATTGTTTGGACACCAGCGGAAGATGTCTATTTTGAGGCGTGCAGAGAAAGCCGGTGCGACGATCTCCCATATCAAGGTCAACAACCGAAATCTCGGCCACATCGGCGATTGGGCTAAGATGAATGTGTACGAGAGTGAAATGATTCTCAAACGCTTCTATGATCCTCTAGTTGAAATTTTTCGCCGCGATATCGGCCGAATTATTCGCTGTGAGTATGCGACTATGAATAGCTTCATCGTGGACATCCCCGAAGGTAAGGAGCAGCCATGTGGAACAAGCTACACAAACTCGGCCAATCGGAACTACGTTAAATGGCTCATAAACAAGTTGTTTGCCACTGGCTTCCCGTCAGTTTTCGACGTCACAAAGCAAGGCACAGTCATGGTTATCACGGATTATACCTCCCAGCTGTCTAGGTACCAAAGTGACTGGGCCCGTCTCGCGCTGGATGATAACATAAGGAAAAGAGTTACTTTCCGCACAGTTGACTCTTCGATGAGTGCAGAAGCTGATATTGTGATTCGCGACATCGTCAGGACTGAATCGCTTGGTTTCACTACCGACCTTGCTCGGATGAATGTGGCAACAACACGGGCGCGTGGTGCAATGATTACCATCCTGAGCACCAAGAATTGGACTCGTGCTTGGTCAAGCAAAGGCAAAGGAAAGGTCACCTATCCACCCAGTTCCAACAACATGGTCAGCTACTTCAATGGTCATGTTGACCGCCGCGCTGTTGTTGATTATGGATTTGGCGGCCAGATTGGCTGGAAGAGCATTTGCGTCTACTGTGGCAGACCAAACCACTTCAAAGAGGAGTGCGACGACACCGCATGTAGGTGTGCTCGATGCGGTGGACTTCATCACCAACTCTTCTGCAATGTGCCTATGACCATATCTACCGAGTACGATGCCGCTGGCAGAGGTCTCACTTCTATTGCACCTAATGCTACACCCTCTGCCCCGCCTGGTCGATCCAACCCACCGCCGGAGACCAGCCGCTCTTGACAAAATGTGGTGGAAAGTTCTCTTCCAATTAATGACGCTGACGAAGAGAATTTGGCAGTTTTGCAGCGGTTCAGCACCTTCACCGAGCTCGTAGCATACTGCAAAACCTTGAATCTGAGCACAAGTTTCTCAAGATTGACCTTGGGAAGATTACGCCGACATTTTAAGTCCAGCTCAGGAGGTCATCGGCACCGAGGAGGATCATGGTAATAACGAAGTTGACGAAGAATCCGGTGACGCAAACTCAGAAGTTACGAGTGAACAAGCGGCAGGGGATGCGGTCAATTGGTAGATATGGATCTGGAGGTAATCGCCGTTCTTTTTTTGTTGTGTTTCTTTTGGGGCTCGGTAATTCGTCTGCATACACGGTCACTTTGCAGTCTGACGTGGATGTAATTAGTTACTCTCGGGCCGGTTTTACCGTTTTCCCTTGGCCCTTAAGCAGAATTGCTGAGAGTTAGATAGCAATGCATTGACTTCATGAGACCTGCTTCTTTGTTGCGATCATGCTTTAGATGCCCACACCTGAAATATGCTTGATGTCATGTCACTTGGTGATATCCCAGGCTATAAGCTTCGTTTAAGGAAGGGCTGCAAGTGGAAAACACGAAAATCGATAGCTTGTGAGTGTAAAATAGCATGTTAAAATCTCGAATGGGACGCGGCAAGGATTTTTATATAAGTGTAACCCACTCTTAAGTGCCGCAAGGGTAAGTTGCTAGAAACAGGGAGAGGAGTTGATGATGGGTTGAAAATATTGTTGAGAAGTTCTTGCTAGGGATCTATTGCTCTTCGCGGTGAAAGTCCGTCTGGCACTGAGCGACTTAGGCCGAATCGTCCAAACCAATTTTCCCCACCCAATCTTCTCATCAGGCGCAACCTATAATTTTATAGCATGCTTTGACTTAGCACCAAATAATCGCGCCAGAAAATCTGATTCAGCAACAATCAACCCTCTCGGAGCAACAGACATTATACCGGAAATTAATTGCTGATCTGCTGGCAGGGGCTCAAGAAGAAGAGAGGTGGACGATACCCTGCCAAAGAACCGGCCTCCTCGCAGGGACCAGCACCTGGGACTAGTGTGGGACTAGGATCACCCTGGGTGGATGGTAATCGGACGACTTGCTCGGGAGCTGAATGAAGCTCTGTTTGACGAATGGCCCTAAGTTGACGACGCAGAAGAGGCAAAACAAATTGCTGTCTTCAACCAGCCAATAGCGAAAATTATTGTCACAAGAGACTCGGATGCTAACGTATGTTCAAGTGGAAAACTTTAGCGAAACTACTGGGGCACCTGCTCTAAGATCTAACCTGCCCTGTAAATTAGATCTTAGAGCGGCAGAACCCTACTGTTTACTAGCTGGCCGTAACAGGGATAACAACCTAAGTTGTGAGAAATGTTTGTTTTCGTTTTTACCCATAAACTATCTAGTGTCCTTGAGGCTCCCCTCAAAAGTCAGACGCAGCGTTTGCATTCCGCTCCACATGCATACCGTTGGGCAGGTTATCTTTGACTGCATCCTGGATCACCTCACCGCCAGTCCTCATAGCCTGAATGATGCCAGCCGCAGGCATAGGAACGCCGACCTTGTGTAATATGTCTGTTTGCTCCGCAATGGCGTCGATGCGGCTCTGAAGGCCGTCCGAGATTTCCTGCTGTTTCTATCGTAAGGAAGAGGTTATTGTTAGTGGTGTTCAGTAATATAGAAACTCTCTTAGTCTGAAAAGACACATGGGCTCACCTGAGCAACAAGTTCATTTATAGCCTTTTGCGCAGCATCTGTGAAGTTATTGAGCTGATCGCGCTTGGGAGCGATCTCTTCAGCAGTCTTTGTGACCTTGCTTAGTTCCGTGAGAAGGTCAAGGCCCGGGTTAACGTATTTGGCGTGCACAGTGGTATACATCTGGCAGATCATCTGTAGAAGATCAAAGTACGCCTTGATCTGCAGGGTTGAGATATAGATGGTCTCGATGTCGAGATTGTTGAGCTTCAGCATACCCCTCTGAGAAGCCTCCTGGCCGATAGCTGTGGCATCAGTGTCGAAGTTCTTCACCTTGGTGTCAATGATAACCTTGACCATGGTAGAAAGAGCATTGAAGAAGGTAGTAAGCTTGCTGATCTGCACTTTGAGCTCAACCAGAATGGCGATGCATTCAATCAAGATCTCCTTGACGCGCTCAAGGGCTGCACCAGCAATTTCGATGCCCTGGAGTTTAGTTTGAATGCCAGTCAGCCTCTTCTGAACCTCCGCGGCAGCTTCGACAGCCTTAGTGTAGTTGGCCTGGGCGGTCTCAAGGGCCCTTTGATTGAGGGCAAGCCTTTCGGTGGCAGTGCTCAGGGCGGCAGTGACGGCACTATTGTCCTTCTTATCCACTGAGATATTGTTCATCTTCGGCGCGTTCGAGGAGGAGCCAGGAAACGACTTTGCTGTCGCCTCAAGCTTGGTGACAGTGAGCTTGGCCTGGGTAATGGCATCTTGCCACTTTTTGATGGAGGCTGGATCAGTCTTTGCGGAGCTAAGCTTTTGCTGATTGGCAACCTCCTTCTTGACAGCCTCAACGATAGCAATACTGGAGTCAAAGGCAGCGGCAAGCTCAGTGCTAGGTGTACTAGTACCCAGCTTTGCAGACTTCTGTTGCATCTTGAGATTGCTGAGGAGCCAAGTAAGGCCCTCGGTGCCGGGTCCCTTAGACGCCTGGTCCTTGAACTTTGACCAGTCGGGGGTATTGCCTTCACCAGCAGTAAGGTATGTCAAGAGCGTAGTCATGAAAGGAGCAAGAAGAGGGGCGGCGACATATGCAGGATCAGTCTCAGGAGTTGCGTCGTTGAACTGAAGGGTTGCGCCGCCAGGCTGAGCGCCTTGCTGGCCTCCGAGAAGAACTTGGGCCATGAGTGGTGCACCGGGAGCGTTGAGCGCACCCTGGCGACCAACTTGAGTGAGCCCGTTTACAACTCCATTGACTGCAGACATGGGATTCGCAGCATTAACAATGGCAGGTAGTGCCTGGGCAATAAGTGCGGGTCCTGCCGAAGTAATAGCAGTCAAAGCACCCATAGCGCAGGTCTCCCAAGCTGCGAAAAGACTTTGTTAGCATTTTATTGCATTGTAATGGGCGAGAACAAGTCAAATTACCAGACGGGACAGCGTCGTTGGCGGCCTTAAATGCCTCTTCCTGCTTGGCGAGCGACTTTTTCATCTCTTCAGCGGCATTGTCGGCCTTCTCGAGTTCCTTGTTTGTGTAGCTTGCCTCGATCTCAGCCTGTAACTTGGCGGACAGATTGTCTTGTGACTCCTGCTCAGTGGTACCATGTTTCTGAACAGACGCCTGGTGGAACTCGGAAACAGCTAGCAGCCAGGTATCAAAGGCCTTTTCGGTGTCCTGGGCGTAGGTGAGACAATTGTTAGACATCCTTCGCAACTTTCCAAGCTCGTTCGTCAAGTTGCGTTGAGTGTCTGGAAGGCCTTGGATAGCCTCAACAGTACGAGAGACGGTCTGTATGAGCTCAGAAGACGTGCCAGCAATAGCTGACATGTTGCTTCCTGCGACGCGAAATGCCTTGTCACCCTCCGAGGCAACGCATACCAGACAGGCCCTGAGGGTTGGGCTTTTGGCAACACTAGAGATCTTTAAGTCGCTATTCCTACAGGACGCCTGGAGAACTGATGAAGGGGAACAAACCGCAAATACTTGAATCCTCCAGCTGGGAGAGCGTCAGCCAAGCTGATAGCTGCGGCTTCGGGTGAAGCCGCGGCAACATGGCAAGCACCAACCAACGTAATGGCAGTCGGAGCTGCGGAAAGAAGCTCGTTCCAGTTGTATTGAAACAGCAGGGACTCCTTGACCTCTTGAACAAACTGGGCTCCTGCTTTGCCACCATGAGTCTTCTTCAAGACGGCCTGTTGAGCGGCTTCAACCTTGGCAAGATCATCAGCAGACATGGTGATAACTATGGAACGAAGAAATCAATTTCTGGAGAAAGGGATGATAATTGTATGTTAAAGCCGGTCGTATTGGGGTCGTGGTGGTTTTTAAAACTTATTGAGAGTGAATATGATGGGAAAAATTGTCCTCTTTATACTTAACCAGTCTAACATTTCCTGCTTTATGAGCTCCAATTGTACAGACCAATCATGCTCAACTAAACTTCTGATTCAAGCAGACCCCTAGGACACTACGGAGAATCCAGACCTTCGGAACTTGCGGTCCAGATTTCGGCTGCTTCCCTGTATCTTAGGCTCTCTGTATAAGCGCCAGGCTTCCAGGTTCAACATCCTCCGCAGATTCTCACTATGAATGCGGAACCATGGGGTCTGTCTTTCATGTGAGCGTTTCTATCAAGTACGCGATTAAAGAAGCAGCAGAAAGTATCTCCTTAGCTAACGTAAACAGGGATAAGATAATTGACATCAGGTCTAATGAGTATATGTCGAGTGATAAACATGCGAGTTTGTGTTGAGGCATGTTAGAATGCCTGCACGTTAAGGTGTCGAGGCACTGCTTGAGGCGGGGGTTGATATCTCGAAACAAAAAGGGTTGTTTAGTGATCCTAAGCTAAGAAGCTATAAACAGCATAGATTGCAAGGACTACTTCGGAAATTATTGGGAAACACATGGCTGGAGTGAGCGAACTCCGGAAGACATGATCTACCTACTACAGGCTGGGCTGGTCTCAGCAAATCCCATAGCCAGCCAGCCAGCCACATGGGCTCTATTAATTGGGATACTAGTTAAAGGGGCCGAGTTCTTGTACGCAGTCATGTTCATTGGATGGGTAGGGCGTGAACGTTCAGGTGTTAGAAGAGGGGCAAGATGTGGTTCGCAAGGCTTGCAAATCATGTCATTGAATGTGAAACACGATAATACACTTAGCTCAACCAAGAAATTGACCCCGGCAAGCAGCACGCCACACATTGTTCGCATCAGGTAGAATGGCTCTAATTAAATTGATATAACATTCACTAACTTAGGTCTGCGTTACGGTCGGCTCCTCAGCAGTACGGAGTCACCGAAACCAGCAGCCAGGTGTCCGACGGTTCAGTGTGGCTGGCTGGTTGGAAGCAATACCAAAGAATGTTAATGTGTCAGCCGATTGCAAGAGTTGTAAAGGTGAATAGTCTGTACTGAAAAATCTATTGATTAGCCTGACGTTTCCAACCCCTGACACGAAAGTTAGTACTGTAAGCGAAGCCGCTTACCTCTTCCTGCTATACAAGCAAAAGGTGCCCTACTACATTTTCATCTTCCTCTCACAGACATCGAAGTCAGTGCTCAAACAACGGTTGCTATTCAAATAGTCCGTTGGGCTGACATCTTTTAAAAAAAAAAAAAAGATTCAATTCTCTCCCAAAGGTGCCGCTTCAAACCATTGTGCCTTCCGCCCTTTTCAAGTTCCAGTACCCCTGTCAAGATAATCAAGTATACCTATACCGATCTCGTAAGTCCCTTATTGCCTTACGATTCTAGTGTTCTTACTTGAAAAGAAATAACTGGTTATAGACAAGATGAATTACAGTGCAAGCTCCGATATTGCAGACAAATATAAAAGCCTAGCTCGTGGCTCCAACGTCATTCGGCCCAGTGCCGAATTCGACCAACAGGAATTCATTAACAAAAATCGAAAATATGCCGAGTCTCTGTCGGACAAGTTGGACAAGCCTTTGCTCAAGGATTACTATATAGGAAAGGCAGCTGACGGAGGGCTCTGCTCGGCTGCGGTATTGCAACGGCTTAGCACCGGCTCCATCCCACCTGCCACCGAAGACATGGTTACGGTACTGTCTAGAGTCCAAGGCTCCGCTGAGGTCGACAACGAGCGTGATTTCTTGACTTGGTGCAGTAACCTATCAACTTTTTTCAAGAAGCTCAAGTATGTCAAAAACAGCAAGGGCTTAGATCTCAACAATACCCAAACTTTCATCAATTATCTGCTTGACAACTCAGGCAAGATTAATACGAAGTACAAGCTTTTCCTAATCCTTGTTTTTAAGGATGGCACCTCCCATGCGATTGGCCTAAACCTCGGAACTAATCGCTTCTTCGATCCTAATTCTGGCATTTGGGATATTGAAGCTACCAAAGATGATGTCAAAAACATTGTCTATGCAATTTTTGGCTTAGAGCAGATTCGAAATCATCATGGGAATGTCGTCGATGTTAGGGCTATTACTTACGTTGACTATTAATCTAATCTCTGATTGGAAAAGGTTGTCTTGTAGAATATTGATCCCTAGGTATGATTCAGATCAATTTCTAATGGAAAGTAGGATCTCACCACACACAACGGATCACTGCTTTAAGCTAGTTTCCTTCCTCCTATAATACTGAACACGATGTTCTGGGACCAAACATTGCATAATTAAAACCACAATTCGTATAATCCTGACTGTTAGTGCAGGCAAAACCAGCACAGAACGCGCAGAATAGTGATGTTTTTTTGTGTATTGAGGTGGAGAACTAACTAGTTACCTAACTACCTAGTGGGCTGCGGAGGCTGGAAAAGCCGAGGGTATGGTCAAGGCGACCATTGGGGGGGGGGGATAACCTGACCAATTACCCACTTATTTAAATGAATTATGGGTCTATCTGACCAATTTCATGATTGGCTGTATTGAGGTGAAGTGGGTCCACCTGACCATGGAATTTTTAATCGGTCAGGTGCACGGACCAGTTACTGATTGCGTCCCACTACTGATTAGGGTGCATACCCCATATTAATATTTAAATCCCTATTCTATTCTGATTCTCTTCCTTTTCCCTCCGTAACCCTTTCAAATCGTATGCGCCCCCCCCCCCCCCCTGGCGCACCGATTCCTAATTACTTCCGAATCAGTTCAGAAATCCGACATCATGCCTTCATACAAGGATTCTGTAAGTACAATGGAATCGGTTTAGGATCGATTCAGAACTGATTCAGAATCAGGACGATTACAAGACCTACAAAGAAGGTCTTCTCCAGGGCGGCAAGAACCACCGCATGGAGGATCTTCCTCCCTTCGAGTTCAACGAGGTAAGTGATTCAGAAGCGATTCCACAACGATTCAGAAACAGTTCTGAATCGATTCAGGCTGGCGAAGTCAAGCTCGCCCCTGGCGAACTCTACTGCCGCTGGGTGGTAGATCCAGCAGCATCACGTGCACCAAGGTAATTCAGAATCAGTTCCGGATCAGTTCAGAACCAATTTCGAATCGATTAGACGGAGCGGTTCTCGAGCGAGTCGAACCTCAAGAACCACATCAAGAAGCACAAGCTCGACGGGGTCCCGGCCAAGGTTAAGAGCCGCAAGTCCGGCGCGAACTCCGTCGAGGAGAACGATGATGCAGCTGGTAAGTGATTCTGAACTGATTCTGTACCGATTCTGACTCCATTCTCACTTGTTTCTGGATATTCTATAAATGTAGGTAGAAAGATTACTTTTTGAGCAAGTACATGAACATCCCTGAGGCTATTATGCCCAGAACGGGTTGCCTCTGATGAAACAAGTGTTGGAGGTATTTCTGAATCGGTTTCGAGTTGATCCTGAATCGATTTAGAACTAATTCCAAAGTCGTTCTCATATATCCCTACCTCCTCATTTACTGGTAAGCCAGACTGGGCCTGGGCTGGTAGTTGATAGTAAAGATTTAAGTCTTCTTCAGCTTCTGCATCAAGACTAGTAGGTTCTAATAGAGGACTTATTCCCTCTAGGCGAGGGAAGAGATTTTCAATCGATTGAAGAGCCATTGTAAATCGATTCGGAACGGATTTGGAAGCGTTTAAATGTCGTATGTTCTTACAAAAAGTATGTCAAGGGTGAGGTTTCAAACCGCGCTAAGGAATTTCAACCTGACCATAGCTAACTAGCTGACCATGGTCAGCTGATCTCAGGGTAGCCCCACAAATCACAAAATAAGTGGGTAATTGGTCAGGTTATCCCCCCCCCCCAATGGTCGCCTTGACCACACCCTCTAACTAGCTGACCATGGTCAGCTGATCTCAGGGTAGCCCCACAAATCACAAAATAAGTGGGTAATTGGTCAGGTTATCCCCCCCCCCCAATGGTCGCCTTGACCACACCCTCGGAAAAGCCCCATGGTGGCAGGCGGCCCCGCCAAGATTTTGCGGCTGCGAACTTTTTACCCCAGACCTACGCAAGCTTGTGAGGCTAATTCTCTTTCCTTTTGTTAATTTCATCAACCAACTGCTGAGCGGCGGTAGGCTTAGGGCTGAAAACGATACTCTGATGACGGTCGCACGTCTTGTTTTAGTCAAGGGCAATACAAGTAAAGTTCATCACCACAAGAATCAAATCGTCTTGCCAAGACCAGTCGCTTCCGCGGCGAGTGTACTTTTGATGGGTAATGGTATTGCATTAGAGCTTCATGAACACCTGAGCAGCAAGGGTTGTAATTGCCGGAACTCCGGGTTGAAGTGGCTCCGTCGCTGGCAGACCTGCCGGCAGCCAGACAGTTGGGTATGAGTTCCGCGATCACTTCCCCCAGCACTTCTGATGGAGCGACTTCTTAATTATCAGACATGAGTTGGCATCATGTGAGAAATCTAGAACCGAGTCCATGAAATGCAAGACAATGCTTGTAGCCCCAGTCACCTGTTAGGCCGTCAGTTGGACATTGAGTGACTGAGGCAATAGACTAATAGTGGATTTTGGCAATGGTTGGCTGAAGTCCTGCACTTCATTGCTGTTGTAATAGTTCTGGGCCGACTCGACCGCGCCTTGGCCATGTGGTCATATGAGGACGCAGCTCCCGCGACCCTATTATTAATCGGCCCTCGCTCCGCTCGCTCACTTAGAGAAGACAAGCCGTTTTGTTCCTAGTTGATGCTGTGCCCGTGCCGTAGTCGGTCACAACAATCGCATAGCATGAAAGCTGTAGAGGGTTCTAACGGATGCCCAAGGCATTCGTCAGAACTCGAAATCAGAGAATCTGCAGCTGCAAATTCTTGAATCACTGAGATGGTCATAGTCAACCTGAGAAATGACTCGCCATTGTCCTTTTGGAATGCCCGTCCTGACGCAATGAACATCTTCAAATGTATGCTCGCGGTTATGGCGCCGCTTCAGCTTGCTATCCTGAGCCATAACGGTCTCTGCGTCAACCATAGCCATTCTTCTCGCAGAGTCGCGGGTTGCAGAGTAACGAAGGCCTTGTGCAATCGATAGTCTCAAGACACGCTTTGTCATTTCCTTGATGGTTTCGGGTTTAGAAAAGGCGAACGACGATGGGATATCGTAAAGTATTCCACGGTTCTCATCATTGGACTCTTGTTCAATTGGCACTTTCGTATGGGTTTTGGCCAAGGGTAGATGGGTGCCGTTCCCAGCTTGGTCAAAGAACCTGACTCGTTACTGTTTCTGGGACTGTTCAGGTTCAGCGAAATCTACCTTTCGTTTGCCGACTCCGGGTGTAATAGGCCAAAAGATGCAAAGTGACTGAGAATCAATAACTTGTTTTGTCAAGGCTTTTTCAGTCTCTGATTTGCTGTCTTTGGAAACAAAACTCAAAGCAGTGAGGTAAGAAGCGCTTTGGTCTTGTTTGAAACGAAGTTCCTGATCGTTAGATCGCTTTGTGAAGTGCTTGAAGTGCATGTACTCATGGTAAGAATTCTTCGTGTAGGCACGGATCATGTGAAGGGTCAGACTTCGCCTACAGGGTTGCAGTGGCAGCCGGACACCAGCCTTCAGCACTTGTAGAAACAGAGGTGCTACCCAATTGAGCTAAAAGCAAAAGGATACGTAACAACAAGTCGTCCACTTGCTGTTTGGCTGCACTTAAGTAGGGATAATGGCACAGCCATCAACCAGGCATAGCCCGTATCAGTGTAGGCACGGATCACTTGTATAGAGTGGTTGGTACTGGCCTATACATCCGGTTAGCATTTCCTTGACTGTTAAGGGGTACTCATGCAGTAGAATCTCGTAATAAAACAAAGATCGACTCACTCGGTGTATCCGGTTTACAGTCTGGTCCTCGATAGGACCACTCCAGGCTGGTTCCATAGCGAATGCAGCCTGGCATGGCCCATCAAGGTTGATTCCTTCTCTTCCTGTTGCGTATGACTGGAAAAGTACTGCAACTGATCCGGGTACCTCTGATCTGAAGCTTTTGATGATGGCCATGTCCGTTTCCATGAACATGTTGCCGTATCTTGCGGCTGTCGGAATCATCAACAATTAAAGAATCTTTTGAGTCACAAACACTAAGAATGGAGATGCCAGGTTGACCATTAGCTTCGCCTTGTGCATGTTGTCAATGAAATTTTGCTCAACGTAATGCAGTAGCTCTTGCATTTGCGGGCTGCCTTTTAGCGTTAAAGATAAATGCTGTGACGATAGTGTCAACGCTCACCGAACACACCGAAGGAAGCGTGTTTCTTGTAAGCCATATGAAACGCACACTGTAGACGTATAAGTACGTGCTTTCTCACGCACATACCCTCTGTCTGAATCAAGTCACTCTTTTACAACTTTTCTAGCCTGATTGCTATGTGCCTAGTTCGTCACAAGTGCTTAAAAGCAGTAGTCGGGACGGGGTCGTAAATATCCCTGGCTAGGGGGAGAGGTGCGTGAAGTTGACATTGGTCTTTCGCATGTCATCAACGTAATCAAATGTTGTTCCTGAAGAGACTGATTCCAGGAGCCGATTAATTCTGTAACCAGGTAGATTAGTCGCATTCATGGCCATGTATCGATACCATTTAATGAGAGGCGAGGGATGGTCAGAAAGGCGTTTTTCCTGCTTCCACATGTGATTGGCTCGAATTATTTCCCTTTTCTAAGTTAGTCTCCACTCTCAACAATCATGAACATTACATACAGATGAATCTGGAGGTTCTCATCTTGGACGGCCTTCTTCAAGTGTGCCGCTTATACAAGCCCGAAGGCCGAGACTATGAGAGATGGCAGGACTGACTTAAGGCTTATAGGCCCTCTGCCATCTTGTCTGAAGATGACTGAACTTGCCGATCGACGGATGATTGCCACAGAACTGAAATGCCGGAATTTCTCAGCCTACTGAGCCTTATCCTTGGAGTAGATAAGGCCTCGTACAATCTTTGGATGTATGACAAGGCTCTGATATACAGGAATACGGCAGGGCTCTAGTTTCTTTGACTTTTGAAGCTTGTGCAACAACAGGCTGTACCCTCCTTCGTGCGCAATGTCTCCCAGAAGCTCTTGTTCTTCTTGTTTGAGGTTACCAGCGCGGACAGCCCACATTACAGCTGCAAGAGCAATGTAATCCTGCAGATCAGTTAGAATAGGATGATGTATTGCGAAAGAAAGAAACAAGCCTTACCTGAACTGAGTTCCTGCAGGGCGTTGCGGTGATAACAATCGCTCTCCTTGCAGGAATTATTACTACTCCTTTATGCCACTTTCGGTGCATGTGCTGATCCTTTGAGCTTCACCGAAAACTGTTGGAATAGCCGAAACTCCGGGTTGAAGTGGCTCCGTCGCCGGCAGACCTGCCGGCACCCTGCCTGCCCACGTGTCGGGCAGACCGAGTGACGGCTATAAGTTCCGCGACTTCTTTCTTCAGCACTTCTGCTGCAACTTCTTCCATAGACATCAAACACAAGACAAGCAACCAGTTTTCCCCTCAGTTATCCCTCTTACGGGTACCCCTGTAATCCTAGCGGAAACGGCGATCTCGAATGTCCGATTCTATCGGGCGTAGAGAGATTCCGCTGTCTTCTTATGTAAGGACCTCTTTTGCCATGACATATACGTTGTAACAAGTATAACTCGCCGAGGATCCTTTCTCTTGGCGGTTGCGAGCCTTTTGCCCTAGACCCATGCAAGCTCATTGGGCCAATCACCTTTCCAGTATTCAGGCTTTTTCATGACGAACATGTTGTCTGGAATGCTGTTGCCAAAGTCAGAGATCACAAGCCAGTCGGGGAACATCTTGTGAATTTCGTCGACCCATTGCTTAGCGACCGTAAGCGTAGGGCTGAAGACGATACTCGGTCGACGGTTATTGTGCCTTGTCTTGCCAAGACCAGTTGTGTCCGCTACGAATATGCTTTTCGTTGGGTAGTGATATGGCTCCAGAGCTTCGGAATCACCGGAATACAGATTTTTCTGCAATGCAGTATTGGCATGCTGTGAGAAATCTGGAATTGATTCCATCAGATGAAGTACAATAC